TACTTCATATATGTGTCAACGTAATTAATTACCTTGAGGAAGTAATTTCGTGTTGAATAATTGAGATATTGTATGGGATCAATCGATTGAAATCATATACACTATGATTTTATTGGATCTACTCCCGACACGAAAGGCATCAATTACTGTTTGATGAGAAATCTAGGAATTCCGGCTTCTCTCTTGCTTGGCGGCCTATTCAGTTTGCGAAATAATCTTCATTTCTATCATTAGTCGTGTGGGTGGTATTAATTATTGTGATATTAGAAAGAAGTGTGTGGGCAGCCTCTCCTATGACTTCTCAAACTTGGATAAGTTCCTCAATATAATTGCTACATGGATTTGTTCGATTCACGTTAAAAATACTGTGTTTTACTTTGTTGGATTGGTTATACATATATATTATAATTTGAATTAGATGCATGTAATTTGTATTTGTCTGTTTGTTGACACCAAAGTAAATTATATCGGGTGCCTATTTATTTATATATATTTAATATTTGCATATATGTTTATTTGACTGCAATCAATTGCATTTGGTGAGCAATTGTGACTTAATTGTCTTTTATTTATTTAATCAATCATTTGGGTGATTGACGTTCAATTTATATATATGCATTCAGTTTGATTATTGCAAAATTTATTAATTAATGTGTGTATGTTAATATATCTGCAATTAGATTTAATACGTGCACAATCTATTTATTTATTCAAGGTTGATTTTGTGAATATCAGAATTGTAGATTCATTATGATCCCTTTTAAGGTCCAATTAAATTTGGAATATAGCATATGTTTTCGACATTATGCATTTATGCAAATTCGATTATAAATATTTATTATATTAAATTTATAGTCTCTTTGGGTGGCATATTTTTGTCTGTGTTGCATTTAGTATTTTCTGGACCATTTGATTATTTTGATGAGTCCATAAATTAATTGTTGTTATAGTTTTAATATGTATTGGTCATACATATATGATGTATTTTAAGGTGAATTTAATTAGCAATAAAGAGTATAATGTATTTTATGAATTGGTTGAAACAGTTATGCTGCCACAGTAGCCTCTGCTGTGTAGATCGGTTTATTTTATATGTTAGAAGTTTGTGTATGTGATTTATAAGGCTGCTGATTGACCCAAAGGCAAGTCAGCGATTAAGTAGTTACATGCATGTTTAATAACATTGAATGTGGTGATGATAATTTGGTTATTTGTGTGTGAACAATAGTTTTGTCCACAATGGAGTGTTGTTCGACACACTATTTTATTGTCAACTTTCGATTATCAAAACAAATTTATCACTGGCGAGTCAGTAATTTGTCCAAAGACAATTGCTGATGTTGCTCGATAAGTTGTAATAAGATTGCTAATTTATTTTATAAATTCACATACGGAACACTCAATGTGTACTTCAGATTGCATATTCATGATGTTTGTGATTTATTTTAAATTTTATTTAATTGGGGAATAGCCACAGCATCCTCGATTAATTAAATATTTGTTCATGATTTATTTGTAATCACATTAATAGACATCGATTGTAATTATCATGTACAATGTGATGAGATCTACCCACAGGAGTCTTGTTATATTTGTATGAGTAATTAGGATAAAATATCGAGTTGTATTTCTCAATCTACCCACAGGAATTGAGAAAAGGAATGCAATTTGATAGTTTTATTGTAAAGTTTTTGTTTGAATCTAATTGAGTAAAACTTTAGCCCACAGGCAAGTCTTATGTCTTTAGATTCATGTCTTAACATGTTTACATTGGTAGAACATGTAATTTATTTGTCTCGTTTATTGATGAGCATGTATATTTAATTTGGAGCGTTTCATCCTATAAATTTCTCTGACATTAAGTGTGATGTCCCCAAATTGACTGGTGATAATTACGAAATCTGGAAGGAAATGATCCTCCTTCATTTAGGCTGGATGGATATTGATTATGCCAGTCATTCAGTTCTCCACCATGAGATTCACGGGTGTGAGGGGTGTGCGCGAGCACATAATGCGGATGCGGGACATTATCCTACAACACACATAAAGATAAATGGTCCATCAATGAATTGATAACCATGTGTGTTCAAGAGGATGAGAGACTATTGATGGAGGAATGTGAGAAAGTTTAGTCTGTAAGCTTAATAAATCCATATATGGATTGAAGCAGGCATCCCGCCAATGGTATTTGAAATTTCATGATGTTATTTCTTCATTCGGCTTTAAAAAAAAAAAAAAAAAAAAAAAACATCATGGATCACTGTATATACCAGAAGGTTAGTGGGAGTCGTATTTGCTTCCTTGTGTTGTTCGTGGATGATATTTTGCTTGCAGCTAATGATAAAGGGATGTTATATGAGGTACCTTCAAGGTACGAAGGATTTCATGCTCATGTATAGACAAACTAATGTCTTGGAAGTGATTGGCTACTCCGATTTGGACTACACTGGCTGCATTGACACTCGGAAATCCACATCGGGTTATGTGTTCATGTTGGCTGGTGGAACTATCTCTTGGAGAAGTGCAAAGCAGTCTATCACTGCTACTTCCACTATGGAGGCTGAGTTTGTTTCATGTTTCGAGACTAGCTCGCATGGTGTATGGTTGAAGAGTTTCATATCCGAGCTCAGAGTCGTTGACTCTATTTCTAGACCGATTAAGTTGTATTGTGACAACTCTGTTGCGGCGTTTATGGCTAAAAACAATAAGAGTGGGAGTCGAAGTAAACACATCGACATCAAGTATTTAGCCTTAAGATAACGTGTTAAGGAAAATAAAGTGGTCATTGAACACGTTAGTACAAAGTTGATGCTTGCTGATCCCTTGACTAAAGGCATGCCACTAAAGAATTTGAGGGATCACGTAGCAAGTATGAGACTTGATTCTACAATGTAGTTTGTTTGCGCACATTGTTATTTGAGACTCTTATTCAGTTTGATGTTTTCTCGCTTTATTGTGCACATATTTGTTTATTACTGAGAAAAATCGCTTAAGTTTAACCCGGAATAAATATAAGATTTATTCATTAAGTTGTGAATTTAGTTTGAGATGCTTGACATATCGTGATACATGGAAGGTAACATTCGTTTATAGAAGACCTACCGCCATGATTCGTATGTAAAGTTTCTCGTTATGTTGTGATGGTTGAGTGGGCCAAGTGGGAGAATGTTAGTTTAATTAATTATTTAATCATATTTTGAATTTTGATTATTTTGAATTATCTTATATAATTAAACTAACCTTAAATTGTGGCCCACTTTTCTCCCATTAAGTCTATCACATTCAAAATATACGTGAGAAGTGGCAGAAAAATCGTGATGGACGGTTTCTCTTTTTTATTATAAATACTCTCACATACGGGTTACTAAACCTACTCTCATAAATTAGAATACACCATCGCTATTTGAGAGCCAGGGTTTGGCAACGTCATCCTAGGGTTCTAAGATCTGCCAACATCTTCCCAATGGTTCCAAAGTTGGACAACACCATCTTCCTGCAGTTCCAACCCACCGTGTCCTTGAAGCAGAAGATTTCAATAACAGATTTATATTTTAGCAATGGCTGGAGGTTTGTTTAAATTCCGCTTCCGCTAACATATTTGATTATATGTTTATTTTCTAACAATATGAGGACAAAAATGCCAATATAAACATAGTAAATGGAACGAAGAAAGTATTATATTTAATAATTATTTTATTAAAAAAATCAGAATACAATAAAGTAATATACAGAAATGAAAGAAGATTCTCTGTACTTTAAAATTAATAATGTAATTTGAATACGTTTATTTAATCACATCATTGAATTGCATAGGGAATTAATTATATATTTCATCCGTTCTGGAACTATAGTTTTAATTGGGTTGACCACGGGATTTTTGCCATTGTGAATGTATTAGTGTAAAAAAGTAGTGGCAATTGTGTGATAAAAATGAAAAATAAAAATAATTTTATGATAATATGATTATTTATGAAAATAAAACTATTGTTTTGACAGACTGAGTAAAATGTATTGTATTGCATATTTTATGCATTGGATGAATGCTATTTTTAGTGAATTTCCAAATAAAAATCAAACAAAATTCTAAAAAAAAAAGCATACTATCCACGGTTATGTGTCATTTAATTATATTAGTATTTTTATTTATTACTTTTTATATTTATTTTTGGATTATCAGCAAATTTTATTTGGGTGTGCTTGTTGAAAGTAGGGATTTTTAATCAATTAAATTTTAAAATTGTTGGAATACATAGGTACTGCGAGATTGACAAAGATAAAACGGTTTTCGTCTCCACTGAGAGTGATAACTTTACTCGTTGGAGCTCCGACGAACAAAATGAGAGAGGAACTGAGCAGGGAGACGGCCGGAAAGCTAAAAGAGATGAGAGAATGATGAGAGAATTGTTTGAAGCAATCGTAATTTATTCTAATTATAAACTTTCCATTTGTGACGATCGTAATTTATTCTAATTATAAACTTTCCGTTTGTGACGATCGTAATTTATTTTAATTTCAAAACTTTCGTTTGAAATTATAATAAACCTATCAAACAGATAATATTTTGTCTAAATAATATTGCGATTTAGGCTGTATATCCGAGTTTAATTTGATGTTGCGCAATTTGGTTTGTCTCGATAGCCAAAATAGTGAAAATATTAACCAAATCCTATACATATTTATTTCTTCTAAATTAATCTAATCAATTTGGTAGACCGACCCACATTTTCACTCTAAAGATAATCGATTGCAAAATAACCGATTATCTAATATATATATATATATAAATATTTAATTTATTATTTAAAAAAATAAATGAAATTAATGTTTTTTTGAAAAAAATTACAAAAAAACACCGAACCTTGAATTCTGTTGGCAAACTAAAATTATTTTTAAATTCGGTTACTCAAAACAGATCCGTTGCCCGTTGGAAGAAATATCTGGAGAAAGAGAGAAGAATGCATCCTGGCCGTCCATTTCTTCAATTACGATATTGCCCTTAATCTTATCACAAGTTTCCTTCATTACCCCCGCGGTTCTTTGCCCCGCCCCGCCTGTCAAAACCCTAAAAATCCTCCGAGTCCAATTCGTCTCTACCGCTCGGCCTTCTCTCCGTCGTCTGCTCCTCTCGGTAAGTTCCCCATTCCCACTCTCTTATAAATTTGATCTTCTTCGCGCTCTTTCTCCGCACAGGTTATTGTTGATTTCTTTGTTGTTATTTCAAGGTTTGGATTCACGTTTTTAAAATTTTTTTGTTCGTTTGTTATCTTGTTTCGCGTTTAAGTTTATTGGATGTTGTGGCCATTTCTTGTGAATTTTGAGAGACTTTCTATGCTTTTTAATTCAATATCCTCGTCGATTTTATCTTATTTTAAATTATGTTGATCTATTTATACTTTTTTTTCCTTCCTAATATCGTTTTCTGTTTTAATCTTCTTTAGCAAAAATGAGTCGCTCAAGCAGAACTATCTATGTGGGTAACCTTCCTGGCGACGTTCGGGAGCGTGAGGTTGAGGATTTGTTCTACAAGGTTGTATAATTTATGTTGCTTTTCATTTCTATTTTATATGATGTACCTTCGTGGAGCTGTTGAAATTCTCGTTGCAGTCTTCTTTGAAGTCAATGTGTTTTTCAGATGAATGATTTATTGCAGTTTTATTCCTTCTGGGGTAATGGTTTGGGTGGGGTTGAACACCTAGTAACTGTTAATAATACATGTTGATTATGATGAGTTGTGAATGTTAAAGTCTAGTGACTAATGGGATGTTAATCAATTGTAGCTGTAGACTCCTGACTTCTGAACCTTGATTTTAACTAATAAGGTTCTATTGAATCTTTGAATGGCGTTACAGGGTTTTCCTTTAAAATCTGTAAAATGAATTTATTGCAATGCATTAATTTGGCTGGTTCTAATCTGTAGTTCTAATTTACTTGACATTATTCATTTGCTGCAGTATGGGCCAATTGTGCATATTGATTTGAAAATCCCTCCAAGGCCACCGGGTTATGCATTTGTTGAGGTACATCTTAAGTAAAGTTGTCGACCACTTCACCATTACAATGAGTTTTTTGATTTTCCATGTCTTCCATCAGTATGAAGATGCTCGTGATGCTGAAGATGCTATTCGTGGGCGTGATGGATATGATTTTGATGGACATCGCCTACGGGTTTGATTGCATTGCTGCAGTGCTTAAATTGTAATTCCCCGTTATTGGCTAAGCTAATTTATTAGTGATATCTTATTATGTAGGTTGAGCTTGCACATGGTGGGCGAGGCCACTCTTCATCAACTGATCGTCATAGTGGTAGTCGCGGTCCACGTGGAGGAGTTTCGAGGCGCTCAGAATATAGAGGTTAGCAGATTGTTTAAATTTGTATCTGCTATATTATTATTGATTTTAAATTTCTAAAATTTATCTCCTTTGATTTAATTCTACAGTTTTAGTCACTGGCTTGCCTCATTCTGCTTCATGGCAAGATCTGAAGGTAGGATTAATTTCAGATGCTCAATCGTAGTTTCTCAATATTTCTGTATTTATTTTTTAAAAATAATCTCTCTTTGCTGTTCTTAGTACTTACTGGACTTAATTCTTTCTATGTAGGATCACATGCGTCGTGGTGGGGATGTTTGTTTCTCACAAGTTTTTAATGAGGGCAGTGGTAATGTCTCAGTCTGCTTTATGCAATTGCAGAATTGGCCAAATGGGTTAAATAATTCACACTGCCACTCGATGATAGTTTACTATGTGTTCTGTGTTCTCAAATATAATTCCTTTTTAATTTAGTGTGTTGGTATTCAATGCCTGTGATTCTCTGATAACCTGGTTACGCATTTGATGTTGGTACGTACAGATGCCATCAATCGGAGGGTTTATGATTTGGCATTCTGAATGAGTTGTGATGTGTCATTATGATTTTGTGATTGAATGATTTAATAGGAGGGTTGGCTTGAGAGTTCTCTTTGTTAGTATGATTATGGGCCTTCTTCTTCTTTTTTTAAATATGATTCTGTTAGGCAGTGTCAATGTGCGGCAATATATATTTCCTCCGTTCGTCAAATTTATTCCCATTTCTCTTTTTCGTCTGTCCGTTAAATTTACCCCATTACTATATTTGGAAAAGTAAACAATCAAGATTTAATTATTACTTTTCATTCAATACTTATTTACACAATACCACTAATTTTATTAAATTATCTCTCTTCATTCTTTTTAATTACTAACTAAAATTTTGAAAATACCTTCAACTACCATTTTCTTTTTTTTTACGTTTTCAATAAAATATTTATTTTTCTTAATCTCCGCGTCAACTCCAAATGGGCTAATTTTTGGGGACGGAGGGAGTATGTTTAATGATGATATATATTCTGCTTCTGCCAAGAATAAGGCTACAGCGTGTTGCACATTTTAAATTTTTATTGTGCTTATTTTTAAAAATGTAATCAAATACTCAACGCACACACCCACACATTACCTTTTGTATTTACCAATTTAAAGTCATTAATCTACAAGTATGTTGGTTGGCTTTGCTGGACTGTTGGTGTTGGAATATTGTTATTTATTTGTGGTGTAAGTTTCAAGTTTGTGTGGCTTTTCTGCCTGCAGGTAAGACTGGGATAGTGGACTATACAAATTATGATGACATGAAATATGCAGTAAGCCAAAAATTTTCTCTTGTATGCTTTGTTTGCTTGTGATACTGCCATGCATCGAATGATTGCTACTTATACTCATTGCTTCTATGCCTATTGAAAGTGATTAATTTCATTATGACTGAAGGCTATTTTGTGATTTCATTCTAATTTTTACCCTGTAGGTCAAGAAGCTTGATGGTTCCGAGTTCCGCAATGCTTTCTCTCGGGGTAGGATTCATGTAAGTCTTTAATGGTTATTTTTATATATGTTGAGTGGATTTTCTTACTATATAGAGTATTGGTCCATTCATATATGTAAAAATATCTGCTTCCCAACCAGGTAAAAGAATATGATTCAAGCCGGTCTAGAAGTCGCAGCCGCAGCCGTAGTCCTTCTTACTCTAAAGGGAGGAGTAATGGTCGGAGTAGGAGTAGAAGTTTGAGTAAAAGCCGAAGCAGAAGCAGGAGGTTGGATGTTTTATATTGGCTCTCTCGCTTATGGGCATTTGTTTATGAGGTCAATATTAATGTCTGAATGTATTTGCAGCAAGTCTCCAAAAGGCAAAGTGCCGCGACGCTCAAGGTCTCGTTCAAAATCTGCATCTCCAGGATCTCGTTCAGGGTCAAAAGCTCGTTCAGTATCAAGGTAAAATACTTGTTTGCTTGGTTTACCCTATTCTACGCGCTAATCGTTTAGGGCACTGTGGTTACAAAATTGTGAGGTTCCATTATCCTTTCTTACAGTTGGGCACTTTTATCCTTGTTTTTTATGAGTTAAAAGGTAAAATGATGCGTGATATATAATTCTTTGGCCATTCACTTACCCTTTTCTCAATTTACCGTGTGATTTACCTTCACAACCGAAGCTAAATGTTGTTCTTGGCACACTTTGAGTGATTGCACGTGGTTTCCTAATAAAATTTTACACTTTGTCATTTTCATTGGCCCTTTACTTGGCCTTTTCTCAGTTTACCTTGTAATTTACCTTCACAATCTAATGCTGTTCTTGGCACACTTGCTTGATTGCATATGGTTTCTGAGAAGTGATTTATTGCACAGAGTTGGGGCATACCATTTCTGTTTATTTCTGAATCTTGTTTCTTACAATTTGATGAAGGCTTTGACTTTGCATATGAAACTGTGTTCTCTTGTATGTTTGAAGTTTAAATTTTGTATACGTCCTGAAAGTAATCAAGCCAGTGTTTGTTTTGGTGTTGATGAGTACTGATTTAGTTAAAGTCATGTTTATCTTTATATCTTTCATGTCTTATGAAGTGAAGGAATTTACCTTAGATTCTCAGCTCATAACTTCATACAATAGGTTCAGTAGTATATCCTTAAAGAACTTTATTAGAGATCTCTCCCTGGAGCATGGCTGGGTATTATAGTTTTGGTTTTAAATTTAGATTTATGAATTGTAGTTTCATACTTTGAAGTTTAAACCATTTTCTACTGTTCATAATGAATCGTGGTTTGGACATCTCATGTCACATTTTTTGTGAACCAATCTCAATTATGCTTTTATTAATTTTCATTTTCTTCACATATCAATATATCAGAGTCATTACCGCATGGTTTATTCATTTTTCGGTACCACCTGCTGGCAAGTTGTGTTAAATCTAAGTAACACATAACGTTCTGTATGCAGCTGAAGGCTAAACACAGTAAACCTTCACTATTCTCACAATTTGGTTTTGTAACCTATTGCATTAACACTTCTAGCATGATTTCTCTGTTTTCATAGTAGTTTCTGTGCTTGCATTGCTTCTTTGGAATGACATTATAAAATGTCAGCTATCATAAGACTTAGGGTTGGTTGGTGAAAGTGTACTCAGTCTCTCACGAGTCACGACCGGTCGTAGAGCTTTGGCATTGGACCTAGAGTATGCATTTTATATATGTTGTGTGGTTTAGTCTGCACAAGTTTGTCTCTTACTTTGTCAATCACCCATCCCAGATAATATATATGATGTTTGAACTCAATTTAAGTCCATCTCATTGAAAACCCAACATTCTTGATGGAAAAATGCCAGTTAATGATGTGCACAATTGTGACATCTGACATGAATACATTTGTAATCTATTATTGGAACAAAGCATCACTCATCCAGCTCAATTGAAGTCCTTATTGGAGTTGGATTGCTTTGTTACACTCTGTCCTCCATCCTTGTCGCTGTAGCCCTCTTTCATTATGCCTTCAACACGGTGCAAGAAAGTGTATCCACTGTCAAAAAAAGCTTTAATTATATGTTTTCTGTACACATGGAATTACCTTTTTGTTGTTTTTAGATGAGGATATATGCCGCTATCTGGGGATTGCATATTAGGATCTTGTTGGGGGTGATATTGGTTCAGTTGGCTACGTCTCTTTTTGATTGAGGAGGTACGATGTTTCATAGATGGTAACTTTGGAATCCTTCGTGATGTCTCTCCTCTAATGAGCATCATAAATGTCCAATGGGTGCTAGATTTGGGATCTTGAAGAACATCATGGATTACTGTGGTGAAGCTGGACAGTGAACTAATTGCGATTTGAATAGTGGAACACCTTTTTGCTGTGGAAACATTTTTACTATCTTGGGACACGGTGCTAGCTACCAATGCATGCTATTTGATTCTTTTGGTATCTTTGCTTATTTTGCTCATTTAAAACACATGCTCCTCCTTCGATCCATGAATGCTTGCATACGAGTGTTTTTTTTTCATTTTTACATCGTTTGCTGTTACATTTACTTGCTAAATGCTCGGGAGGTTCCTGTTGTCCACTTTGGTCATGGTCACCCTGACATGGAACTGGAATCAAGGGTCTTGGATCAAAGTTATTAAGAGGCACATGTGGTATTAAACTCGGTTGTTTCTGAAACTTTTGCAGATCTCCATCAAGATCCAGGTCCCCCGAACCATCTGTAAGTTATTTTATTTTATTGGTCGAGTGTACGTTATTGCTATTGCATTGAATCTGTCCATGTAACACAATCCTACCCAGTATTTGTTGCATTATTCATTTGTGTGGTAAAATTTTTGTCAATAGAAGCCGGCAAGTAAGAGTCCCAAAAGACGCAGTTCAAGCCGAAGCCGGAGCCAGAGTCGAAGCAGGAGCCTTTCGAGGTTATTTTTAATTTATTTTAACTATCTTTGTTCCGTGAGCATAACATATTCCATTGTTCTTGAGACAAACTTTCACTTGTTTGCGTCGAACAGGTAAGAGATGATGGTATCGAAGTCGTGGTACTATGCATTTGGCGCTGCTATGCATCCCGACGACGGAGTTGTGATTCTAAGTACTCTGTGATTTCTGGACTTATTATTTCCTTGAATACATACACACATGTGCTGCAGGTACACTATGAATCGTATTCCAGTATTCAACTAAACTATTTCGGTGTATTTATTTACATGCATACACTACCATTACATTGCATACATGCTTTTGACAGTAACTTGTGCTTTGAATGGATGATGATTCAATTTGAACTAAAACTAGATTGATTGTGTGTTTGTGCTATGCACTGTTTTAAATGAACCCCCCCACCCCCACCCCCACCCCTGTGTGGAGGTGGGTGTGGGTCAGATTGAGATTGGGATGAGAGGTGTAGATTATTGGCACATGAGGGATGGGTCCAGTATCTCTTTTTATGTGTTTTTTAGTTTTATTTATATGTGGTTGTAGATGGATAGATAGATAGTTTTAATTAATTGATTATTAATTAATGCTTTTTATTGTTGTTGCTACTTTGCTATTGCTGGCACTATCCTCATCACCCACCAACCAACCAACCAACCACATCGACACCTACTTTCTTCACTCCGAAGCTTTATTTTTTAAACTTAATTAAATAAATAGTTAATTATGGTGTGTGTTACTTGCTCAGGCAACCTTGCATTTCTCTCTCTACGAGTTCTTGCGGACTGCATGTGTATCTGTCTGTGCTTTCATTTATTAATGTCTCTGTTTGTTTGTGGATATGTCTTGAAATTTTATTATTTATTCACTTATTTTCTCTTCTCAAAATTAGAGTTGGGTCGGATTGAATACCGGGTTAAATTATTTAACCCTAATCCGACCCGTTTATTATTGTGTCTAGTTGACTCGTGTTGATCCGTATACATAATTAAGTAATTTTTTGCTGTGTTGTCGTATTATATTAGTTTTTATTGGCTTGGACTAGTTTGATCGTAAATTAGGTTGAATTATTTAAAATTGAACTAGTTTAAATTAATTAATGAGAAAATTTTAAATTATGATTATTTTATATATATAATAATATATTAATCAATATTAATATATTATAATCTTGTGATGTCGGAGTTTTTGTCAGCTCTACTCAAAATATCAAACAAACAACTTATTTATTATAATAATTTTTTTTTTCTTTACTAATCACAATCTCAATTTCCAATCCTAAAATAAAAAAACTCCTGTTTCTTTACATATACTTTTAATCCTTTTGTGACTTTATTTATTGGGATTTGATTTTTTATTTTTCTATTTTAAATGTTTTTTCTTTAAAATTATCAAATCAAATATATAATTTTTTATTATACTAAAATAAATTTTATATTAAAAAACATCATATTAGTACATATTTATATCATATTAAATAATTATTTCAATTCAAAATTTTACTCTTTCAAACTAAAACTCAAAATTAAAGGGTGTGTTTGTTTGGGGGGTTTGGATTTTGATTTGAGATTTGAATAGTAAAATTTTTTAATTTGAATAGTTGTATGATGTGATATAAATAGGTGTTGATGCGATATTTTGAATGTAAAATTGATTTTTAATATAATATAAAAAATGAAAAATAAGTGATCTGATTTGATATTTTTGGAAAAAAAAAATGAATTGAATAGTAGAAATTTAATTCAATCTCCCAAACAACCACACCCAAAAGCTACAAGTAAACACACATTTGTTACAAGGAAATTAGATTTAAATTACTTATATTAATTTTTAGGGTTTGTTTCTTTAACCTCAAATTTCAAATTTTAAAATACTTATATTTTTTTTCATAAAATATCTTATTATAAATTATTTTAATACCAAATATAAATTAAAATTTTTCAAACATCATTGTTTTTTTTAAAAAATACTCCCTCCGTCTCCAATTTATCTATCCATTTTGTTTATGCACGAGATTTTAGAAATATTAGTATTATATTAGAATAAAATAAAAATAAAGGTAAAAAGATTAAATTAACTTAGTATTGTATAATATAAATGTAATGATATTTATGTAATATATTATAAATTAGAAGAATATTTATAATGTTAAATAGATAGTAGAATTAATATAAAAAAAATAGGATAGATTGTCAAGGGAGGGGCAGGAGGATCTTTTAACCTTAAAAAAGTTGCAAGTAAAGCTGTGTGCGTTTTGCCATATTGGCAGGCGAGTTGAATTGATTAAAACCGTTGATTTCACTGAAAATAATTGAAGAACCGTCTCTCAGTTCCCTTTTGTTTTTGTTCTTCGCTGCATATATGTACACAAATCTGTGGCCGATAATCGATAGGCATAGTTGGGCAGCTGGCCGCCTCAGAAGAACATCCATAAATTTACCCATAGAAAGGAGAAATCGGCGCCTCTCAGATTCTCAAATCGGTTCTATCCTCTTCTTTTGCTTTATTTCTGAGAGCTTCTTCCAGAAATTTCCACTTTTTGTTCGTCCATCTCTCTCGTGGATTCGAATTTCTGGTGTGAGATTCGCCGGGAAGTTCTTCGATTCTTCGTCCGGTAGCCACAGGTAATTTGTTAAATTGTGAGTGAGTATACTCTCGAGGAGCTCTGTTAGAGGAAGAAATGGCGGAAAGCATCTTCTCGAAGCTATCGGATGACCTAGTCCTCAACATACTGCACAAGCTCGAGGAAGATCCTCGAAATTGGGCTCGGATTGCTTGCGTTTCCACCAAATTATCCTCTCTGATACGAAACGTTTGTTACATGTCCAAATGTTCGCAATCGATCCCCGCGATCGTCTCCGATCTTCTCCCTTCCCCCGCCGCCGCCGCGCCTCCAGGCGATTGGGCGTCGCTCTACAAGCTCGCCGTCTGCTGCCCGGGCCTCCTGCACTCCGGCGTCCTCCTCGAGAATTCAGATTTCGGACTCGAGCGCGAGCTCGGTCCCGACGAGAACTACCGGGTAAATAAACTGTTCCGAGCGAATGGATCTGAGAAATCTGCTTCATCGAGCGACGCAAATCACGGAGAAACTAACTCCGTGCCTGATTGCGTGTGGTCGTTGTACGATGATTTGCTATACGACACTCTGTATACTGATACTGAAGCTATGTCTAGAGATCGGGCTGAAATGCCCGAAGACGAGCCCGAACTTATGGATACTGAGAACGATAGGCCTGATTTCAGCCATTGTAAGAGGAGGAAGGTCTGCAGGCCATTTAGGGCACATTTGGCGTCAGGCGTTTGGAATTTGAGCAGAGAGCAAGGCAATAAGCTGCTTGCAAGCAGATTCAAGGGCGATTGTTTGTATATCTGTGATTGGCCTGGCTGCATCCATGTCGAGGAGAAACGAAACTACATGTTGTTCAGAGGTGTATTCAAGAATTTCAAGCAGTCTAGGGTTTGGAGGACGATTAATGATGGCAATAGGAGCAAGATTGATTTGAACTGTGCTTTTTGTGCTTCTAAGCAGACCTGGGATCTGCATTCTTCCTTCTGCTTGAGGAGGAACTTTGGGTTCCATGATGATGGGGAGCCTGTTGTTCGAGCTTACGTCTGCGAGAATGGACATGTTTCCGGGGCATGGACTGATTGGCCATTGTACACTTGAAGCTCCTCCAAGCTACAAAGCGATCCACCATTCTGCTGGTTTGAATTACTAAACTTGTCCATTGATGCAGTGTTCTTAATTATATATACTTCATAATAGTGTGTTTTCTAATCTTGCTTGATGATTTGCATCGACAAATCTTCTTTTCGACTGCTTATGTTATTTGCCTGTTGAGTTGTTGGTGAGGTAATTTTATTGTAGAGGATTGTATGCATCTTCTTTTTAATTGATATCTGTTAGGGTCCCCATTGATTTTGTTATGTTTTGTGTGTTCTTTCAATGTTATAATGTGAAGGGGAAGATGACGATGAAGATGATATTTTCTTGGGGTGTGTTTGGTAAAGATAATTGAAAGTAGAGAATTTCCATGTTGAATTAGCTGATGTACCAAACAAAAGAAGTGATTTTCGTTTTCAAGACTAATTCAATTTTATTCTCTACTCAATTTCTTGGAATATTATTGAAATGGGTGAATGAAGAAGATAGATATATCACCATTTCCCAAACCCTTTTGATTTGCTTTTAGGTTTATGAGATTCTTTAGCTTTGCAACTATGAATATGATCATCAGCATCTCTGAAGCTGCTTTAAACAGCAATTATCTATCTTTCCATCACATGTGGTCTGCCATGCCATTGTCCTTTTCTTCCTCAAAACAACAGAAATGGAATCTGGTATTGCTATTGGTATTAAGATGTGGTTACGTGTAGACTTCCTTTATTTGAAATACTTCATTCTTTTCAAAATAACAGTGCTCCCTTCGTCCCGGATACCATGTCCACGTTGCGGTTTCTGTTCGTCCCACATTGTCACTTATTTTTTTGGAAAATGATCACACACTTTAATCTCATTTTAAATTTTTTAATTTTAATTAAACTAATTAATTATTTTAATCTTAATTTATAATTATTTATATTATTGGATAATTATTTTCACTAATACATTTTTAATTATCTACTGATTACACCCCTCCTAAAATACACGGTATTTGGGACTGATGGAGTATTATTTTGTCGTTTTTGTTTTTATTCGGCCTAAAATAATAGTCTCATTTCAATTTTTTTTTTGTATCAAGCTTTCCACTTTTTACAAAATTATTGTCATTTTCTCATATAAAGTATGAATATTTTTGGAAATATTTTTACTCTCCAATGTCAATATAATAATATTATTTTTTAATTTACGTGCCATAATATTTTGGGACAGAGTGAGTATTAGAATGAGTTTTTTTTTTTTTTTTTTTTTTTAAAGGGTTCTTCCAAATAAGGAAAAAAAAAACCCCTTTAAAAAATTAGAGTATGGTGGTTAAATGCAGAAAAACAGAGAGTCCTTGGGTAAACTTTGGAGAGGGGTGCAATAGCAAATCATAACCTGCAGTGCAGTGCAGTCCTAAGTCAGTGTTTTGACTTTATGAATTTGGCGTTTTACTGAATGGAATTGGGAAGGGATGCCAGATCATGTTGCAATCAATGAGTGCTTTTTTTTTCTTTTTTTTTTTTTTTTTGTTGTTGATAAGTGTGGGAATTTGCATCCACCACCGCAATAAATTTCCTGATTGATTGAGCACAATAATATGCAAATTATAATATACTCGGCCAACTATGAATAATGCAAATTATAAGAAACTTGCATTTTGATTTGTTGACTCGAAGAGGAGCGACTGTTTGTTCGGGAATTTGAATTTTGAGTTGACATTTAAATAATAAAATTTTAAATTTATATTTTGAATGTAAAATTGATTTTTAGTATAATATAAAAAATAAAAAAATATGAGTTTGATTTAATATTTTTTTTAAAAAAAAAAATTGAGAAAAATCATCCAAACAAAACGCACGTTTTTTTCATATTTGTTGTACTTCTTAGATTAGGTCTATCCTCCCACCATTGGTAAAATTCCTTGATAGATAATGTAACAACTCTTTTATTATTTAGGGTTTGTTTGTCAATTTTTATTTTAAGCAATTCACATCTCACATAAATCAATATAAAATATTATAAAAAAAAATATTTTATATTATAAAAATATATATATATATATTTATGCTTGGTTTTGATATTTTTATAAAAATGAATAATAGAAAATCTTTGAAAACTCCAACCATAACATCCCAAAACAACGTCCTCCCGTGATAACTACTTTTTTCGTCTGGGATAATATATATATATATATATATAAAACATCCTCCAGTGATAAGTCTATAAGGAATGACTAGGTCCAAACTGTCCCTACCTAGGGGTAGGCGAAAAACTAAATCGGATGAACAAAATTGAATCAAATCGAATTTTTAGTTAATTGAACAAATATACTCCAATACAAATGCTGCATATTGATATTTATACACTTGGATCGATTTCAATTTTTGGTGTTTTTTTTTTTATTAATCGAAGTAAATATATTTATATTATTATATTTTAAATTTTATATTAATATTATATTATATTCATATTCGATTTAGCTTTCAGTTCAATTTAAAATAGTTACAATTATTTTTCTTTAATAAAAATTTTAATTATTTTTTATGTAATTTTTTAATTTTGGTTCGATTTGAATTATTTGCAAATACTGCAAATATTTTAGGTTGATTGAAATTTTCAGTACAAATACATTTACAATTTCAAGTATTTGTTCCGTTTTGGTTCAAATACTAAATAGTTGTATGTTTACAAAACTACAAATATTTGGGACAAACCCCTACCTCTACCATACATTATTTGCCTAATATCATTTGTCTACCTGGACTATTAGATTCGAAACAAATTTACCCAAGATGCAAATAGACAACTACAAGTTCTCATATAATAAATGGTAAATTATATAACACATCGTTGTGTTTTACTAAAAATGCACAAAACACCGTATATTTTATTTATTGCGTGAAACCCATTGTGTTAATAGAAAGTTTGCATGGAACATCCTCCTTGTCCAAAATGATGTTTGGTTCGAAATAAAGACCTAAATTACGTAAGTTTTATACAAATAAAAAACGTAAAATATCTTAAATAATTTTTTTTGAATAAAATAAATAAATGAATAATTGATCAATAATTTATTTTTATAATTTTTATAAAAATAAGACAACAATTTGTTTTCAAAAACTATAAAATGAAGAATTAATAATTTATTTATTTATTTAATGCAAAAAAATTATTTAAGATATTTTGCGCTTTTTATTTGTATAAAAGTTGCGTAATTTAGGGTATTTATTTAGAACTAAATATCAATTTTGAACAAGAACGGTGTTTCGTGCAAACTTTACATTAACATAGGGGATTTCATGAAATAAATAGAACAAAAAGTGGTTTGTGCATTTTTACCGAAACACAAGGGTGTTATATAATAAATAGTAGTATATGTTAAAAAGAAAAAAAAGAAGAAAAAATCGTCACGTGATATGCATGCACGCATCTACTTTGAGGCCTTACCAAAGTTTCCGAAACATCCTAATGCTTCTACATAGATGGTAGGTAATAAAAATCTTTTTCTGTTTTAAGTTATGTTAGCACTTATTATGTCTTACACATTGTGTTGCACAAAACCAAGATAACCAAAACATGATACTTCTTTATGAAATATTGTGCCTTTCTTCACCTACAAACTTTTAGAAATTTTTCAAACTACTTATTAACAGTAATATCTTTTAAAATACATAACATTAATATACTAGTTTTCTATAGTATAACACCTATTTAGATTACATTAAATACATAATTTTTTATTAACATTTTACTATTCCAAAAAACACATCAAAATTTCTAGAACTCTTAGCTAATTGGAGCCCCCAAATTCCAATGATATATATAATAAATACATGACCAAGAATCAACAAAGAGCCAGGCAACAATGGCGTACCTTAGCTCACTTCCTACACTTGAGATATTTCTGCTGCTGCTGCTGTGTTTAACATCACAAACCACAGCCCTGAGACCTTATAGCAGAGCCGATTTTCCGGCAGACTTTGTTTTCGGCTCTGGAACGTCTGCTGCACAAGTTAGTTTCTAATTTCCCTGCTTGCAATCACAAATGATAGTAAAGTACAGTTTGTTATCCAATTCTCTTGTTCATTTCACTATGATCTTGATGATCTAATTAATAATGTTGATGATATTTGTAAATCATAATGCTTTTTACGAATGGATAAAGTACGAGGGAGCAGCATTTCTCGATGGGAGGACTCCTAGCATTTGGGATACTTTTGCTCATTCGGGTATGTTAAATAATCATCTCATCTAAAAGTTACGGTAACAGAAAATCGCATCATTAATGATGTATTATATGACAATCTCCTTAGATCTTTCTTTCTAGTCTCCTATACAAATAGTTTTGCTCCCTATGTTCTTCCAGAAAGAAGAAGCTACGGTACTAGAGGAGAACAAGAGATGATGCTTTAGATGATCATGCATACATCTTGGCTAAGTTATTTACTTGCCCTTCTTATTTCAGGTCGTACCGGGGGAGCCTATGGCGATGTATCATGCGATGGATATCACAAATATAAGGTCTGTAAATACTCGCTCCGTCCCAGCTAATTTGTCTACCTTATCTGGGGTACAAAGTTTTAAGTATTGTGTAATTAGTAAGTAAATTAAGAAGTGTATTAGTAAAAATATTATGATATAATAAAAATTATTATAGATTAAGATTAAAATGACTAAATAGTTTAATTAAAATAAAGAAGTTATAAATTATGAATGTTTAAAATGTGATGAAAGTGTATAATTATATTTTCATAAAAGGAAAAGACAAATTATGTGGGACAGATGGAGTAATAAAAAGCTATATAAAGAGAAGCATATGCAGAGACCTTAGGAATTAAACTTTGTGATTCTGATATGAACCTGGCTAAGGCTAAGTGTAATTATAAAATGTTTACCTTTTCAGGAAGATATCAAACTGATGGCAGCCATGGGCCTTGATGCCTTCAGGTTCTCTATATCATGGTCGAGGCTTATTCCCGGTAACCTCTACCAATCGAGCTAAATAATACAGGGTAACACTGCAGTTTTAAGATTTCTTGTTGCTGACCTATACTCGATGTCTTTGCAGATGGAAGAGGACCTGTGAACACAAAGGGATTAGAATACTACAATAACTTTATAAACGAACTGATTAGAAATGGTAACAACAGCATTTACAGTGAAGTCGGTATTCGCTACTTACTAGAATGAAATGGTAATGACAATAAAAGATTTGCGCCTGTGCAGGAATCCAACCACATGTTACATTAGTTCATTTCGATCTGCCACAAGTACTTCATGATGAATATGGAGGATGGCTCAGTCGAAATGTTGTGTATGCACTTTTTGGTTTCCATTACAATCATTCTATGCTTTCACAACATATATTGATAAGACAAGATTCGTAAACCATGCCAACAAAATTTGTGAATATGCATAAGAACACTATAAAGATACAAGAGCTCAAATAACTGTTCTTTCTATAATTCAAGAGCAATAACAGTATAATAATATGTTTATGCACACAGGAAGGACTTTGTGGAGTTCGCAGACGTATGCTTCAGAGAATTTGGAGATAGAGTTTCTTACTGGACAACCTTTAATGAAATCAACGTACATGTTTTAGGAGGCTATGACCAAGGCATCAATCCCCCAGGGCGTTGTTCAATGCGATCTATCTGTCCGAGCGGTGACTCTGCAAGAGAACCATACGTTGCGCTTCATAATATGCTGCTGTCACATTCAGCTGTTGCAAAACTGTACAAGGAAAAGTACAAGGTGTCATTTTCTCATATTTAAACGGTTTCATCATTATTTAATCATCATTCTCAAATATGTGATAACATGATACTGGTTTTATGCCAGGCCACTCAAAATGGTACGTTGGGGATTAACATCTACGGCATGGCGATTGAACCTTACACGAACTCAACAGAAGATGTGATAGCAGCTCAAAGAACTCTCACTTTTATTATTGGCTGGTTCGTAAGTTCACAGTAAATTTCAGGCATACTATACATATGAGATAAACTTAATGGGATTACTGTTTATCTATGGCTAAATAACTATTAATGGGATTACTGTTTATCTATGGCTAAATAACTATTTTCTGCAGGGTACTGAATCCTGTGTTCTATGGAGACTATCCTGATGCAATGAAGGAAAGTGCCAAAACCAGAATGCCAAACTTTACCAAATATGAGTCGGAACAAATAAAGGGGTCCTGTGACTTTATAGGGGTGAACTACTACTTCGCGATAGCGACCAAGAAAAGTAGCAGTACAAACATGGACATAGAGGACTTTTTTACTGATATAGGAGTAGATTTCATAGGTAAATCTACAAATGCTTAACTGATCAGTGATCATTCAAGTAACTTTCTACAAATTAGCTTCAGTGGAGGACTATAGTCTTCATCTTCTTCAAAAAGAGTACCGCACTTTATTATTATACAATTAAGATAACTTCATTCCTTAGCATCAGAGTTTTTGGTTGGTTTAGGACAAGGGTAGCTAATTCATTCCTTTTTTTTTTAAATTTTTTGAGGGGGGTGGGGTTAACTAATTAATTTAAAGCACCAGAGCTGTATAGTTCAGGTTGTCAAAACATCATTACATATTTCATCAACTCACTCACTGTTTGGTTCTATTTTTTCTGCAGTAAGCTGGGGTGGTGTTGCAGCAGAGCAGGTAACATTTATTACTTATTTTCATATTATTGGCTCCAATTTTAACTAATCATAGGAAGTTCTTCATCAGTATCCTGTGAATCCCGAGGGTCTTAAGACAATACTGGAGTATCTAAAACAAGCTTATGGGAATCCTCCTATCTATATCCAAGAGAATGGTTCTCTCTCCCTCTCTCTCTCTCTCTCTAAAAGTGTGTCAGTGAGCGTGTATACTTATATTTCCTTGTAACTATAAAACTCTTTCTGAAATGCATGGTATCAACCCACAGGTCAGAAGATGCGGCGCAATACAACACTATATGACACACCAAGGGTGGAATATCTACAGGCTCACATAGGGAGTGTACTTGCTGAAATAAGGTAATTAAGCTCCGGTAATCCAAGAAAAGAACTAAATAACATTAAAATAGTTACATGAGGAGTTCGATACTTTTATAACTTAGGTCTTTATAATGGCAGGAACGGATCAAACATAATGGGCTACTTTGAATGGACACTCTTAGACTGCCTGGAGCTTATGGATGGGTTTCAGTCATCATTTGGCCTTTACTATGTAGATTTAGATGACAACGAGTTAACAAGATATCAAAAGCTTTCTGCCCATTGGTACTCCAATTTCTTAAGGGGGAATAGCATCAAGCCAAATGCAATTAGTGAACTCAGGAAGAACGGTTATGCCTCTTTGAGATCAATACTCTCCCAATAATATATTCACTAAACTTTTGTGCCTAGAGAATGTATTTATCATTGTAGTGTCTCTTGGGTGACTTGGCAGCTTATGCATCCTGTAATAATTTGTATTTTAGAAAGATTAAATATCACTGTGAAATCTAATATGCATATAGAAGGTATATAACACATACTAAACACATTCTGTTGATATCAAAAGAATCAATGCATGCAACTAAGTAATTCAACAAGTTCAATTACTCCAACATCAGTAAAATAAAGAGCTAAGCTGAAGCATTTACCAATTCAAACTACCAATTTTTCTTCATCCAGTTTGGGTATCACAACATCTTCTCTCATCATGCTCCAATAGCTTTCTCCAATTCTAGCACCAGCTTGGGCAAACAACTCAACCACAGCAGGCAAGTTCCCATAGTATCGCTTCAGAGAATCAACAAGAAGAGAGCTCTTTGGATCTGGTACATGCCAGACATAAACTGGTGGAACAAGATCATCAATAGTTGCCTCTTGCCAATCATGTTGGCCATCCCTCATTTGGTGCTTGAACGCCTGACACTGCCTCACCCTGTGCCCTTTAGGCCCTACTTGCACCTCGGAACAATAGCCACATGTTTGCACAGGGTACTTCTGCATTAGCCTGCCAACTCCATAACGTAGTGTTTCCAATGCTTTCATACCTCGTTCAGAAAACTCTGCTCATGGAGCCAAGAATTAGATCACAACTATAAATTTTTCATCAAACTGAAAAGATAGGAAAATTCTTATCCTCTTCTGGATTTTAAGGGAAAGGTAGAAGTGGTGGCATTTATCAAATATCAACTTATAACTATATATCTCATGAATGTTGTTAATTAACTCTGTCAAGTGAATGAGTGTACATTATTTCCGAAGAGTAAGTCACATATTTATACAACAGGAAAAGGACAAATTAAGAAATTTGATCAGGTAATATCCTATAATTATGATTCTACATTCTACAATTAATAGTATTCAAATATCAAAACAAGATAGAGCATATTAACATTTTCCACTGTGTAACTTATATTGTTCGCCTCATTATTGTAACAACCAAATTACAACCAGATAAGCTGTGCAATACTTCTAGCCCAGGGGCTATAACAAGCTAATAAATGGTTAAACTAACATGCTTCGAGAGTAATGAGAAATATAGGCAAAAATGTCATGTTCCACAGACTGGCATCACAAGGGCAAACCTTTGATATTGGTGCATGTTAAAGACAAATGCTTGTGATCTTTTCCTGAACTCTCTGCGATGTGCCAAAATCCAAATGCCTTTATGTACTTTCCCGAGATATCATTTTTCGGAAATCTCTTCTCAAAGTCAATCATCCTACCAGCAACACGATAAACTGGGAACTCTCGCCGTCTTGTTGGATAGATGGGAATATCCAAGCCAGCCTGAATACACAGCTCCACAATAGCTGGAATCCGATCCACTTCTAGCCGTTCATTGTGTGAAACAGCTCTTCCCAATCTATCATAAAGATGGAAAGAATCCACAGCTGGAAATACATGATCAGCACCACCTCTGGCCCAAGTGTGCTCTTTATTCTTCTGGCTACCACTCACATTACATGTTTTAATCTTATGCGGTGGATCGCCCACATGAACATCGCCACAAACACTAAGCAGCAAAATGACCAAAATCAGCTCAGAATTAAATAGAAATGATTAGCTCAATCAAAGTTTCTCTTGAAAGAGAATCCACAGTCACCTGCAAACGAAAATTGGGATTTCATCAGCTACTCTTGACACACATGTCACCAGTCGAGTCCTAGCAGCAAAAACTTCATGAGCTATTGGAATTAATTCTTTCACCAACAATCCATTTTCAGGAGGTTCTAATATCGATTCACGAACAATTCTCCTTTCTCGCTTTTCCATCCTCGATATCCGCTTGATTTCGTTGATTTCGGTTAGCCATGGCTTCCTCTCTGACTTCTTACGTTTCCCTGGCAGCTCCACAGAACCAAATCGAGAAGAGTATAGCGCACGAGCAAAGGTTCTTACTTCTGCACCATCAGTGAAGCTCTGTTTGCAGCACTTGTGTAGGAACCTCCAATTTAAGTGTGCAACTGTTCGAAATGATCCAAATAGCATTACCACAGCGCAAAAATTTCTCAGTGGGGAATTTTATCGAACAGGTTGTGGACGCTACTTCGCAGAACCCGATTATGCTCACGCGGAGTCAATGAGCAGACCACAATCAGTGTGTAAACAACATTTCTACATTCATGAACTAATCTGCTTGCGCAAATTCACGTCAAACAACACAATCAATTTGGGTTGGCGTCGCAGAGCATATGCATGGCCTTGTTTCCGAAAAGTAGTTCGAGCACTGCAACAAACCACTTCTTTGTGGGAATGGGACGGACTGGATAAAATTTTACAACCCGGCCCATTTTAGCAAATTCATTAAAAAACAAAAAAATAATAAAAAATCTATGGTTTTAGTATGTGTTTAATTGTTATTTTGAAATTTAATTTAAATAATATAGTTTATATATATAAATAATTTGTTCTTTATTTGAAAAAATAAATATTGTATTTTAATAATAATTTTTTGTAATAATTTTAGTACATAAAGTTTATTTTATTTTTAAAATAAATATAAAAATATTAATATGAATAAATATAAATATAAATAGATATAAATATAACTATATAAAAGGTAGTGAGTCCATAAATACTTAAAAAAAATGATAAATATTTTATATTTGGATGATAGAAAACGATAAAATGTATATTTATGAAATTGACGAAGAGAAATGAGTATTATTTTATTTATAATAAGATTAGTGTGTTTATTTGTGGTGTTTTGTTTTGACTTATAATTTTAAATGGTAAAATTTTGAATTGAAGTAATTATTTAATGCGATATTTATGAATATGATGTTTTGATATTTGAAATAGTAAAATCAAAATTAAAATTGCATAAGTATACACACTTAGATGTTATTTGATATTTTGTTTTCATATGTGATACGTGAAATCATATACTCCACTGGATAAAGTTATTTATCCTAAATAAAAATAAATTATTTATAAATTTTATTTTTTCCGTCTCAATATAATTGAATATTTTTATTAATAGCACAATATATTAAAAAATAATATTTAATTAGTTAATATTATTTTGATATAATAATTAATATTAAAATATAAAAAATAAATAGACAACCGAATGAAGGTAGTATTATTTTATTTAATAACTATGAATATTAAGGTCATTTTCAACCATCCACTCCATTTATGCAGTTGCTACAGTAAAAAAGCTAGTTGATCTACAGTACTCTAACCATAAACTTCAATTTTTACTCTAAAAATATATTCCATATATATTCTTCTTTTATATTATTTTATATAACTTTTCATATTTATAAATTACAACTCAACTTTAATTTATTTTTACATTATATCCATACACATATAATTTATATTACTTTTCAAACAGTAAAATTATATATCAATTTTAAAAATAAAATTATACATTATTTTTTTAAAAAATATAATTATATATTACTTTTCAAAAACTAAAATTATATCACTTTTTAAAAATAAAATTATACATTATTTTTCAAAAAAAATAAAATTACATACAACTTTTTAAAATATAAAATTATATATCATCTACTAAAAAAATTAAAATTACACAATACACCCAAAAATACTAAAAATATAAAAAAAACACCACAAAAATCCCACTCCATTTTGAAGTAGAGTAACAATGTCTCCAAAAATAGAGTAACACTGTGCATATCTACAAAAATGGGAGGGGGCAGATTTGAGGGTGGGTTGAAGCCCCTCCCCCCATTTTTTTGTATAACCTACTGCATATATATGATGATCTAATAGTATTAAAATAAATTTAATATATATAATTAAAAAAATAAAAACATGTGTTTAAATATTTTAGACCTGATTTATGATATTATATATTATGCACTTAATTAAGAATTTGTATTTATTAAATATATTTTAATTCAACAAGTTTTACTAAAATAATAATGTATAAATCGTTACATAAATGAAAAAACGTGTAGCCGGCATAATTATTCACGAGGAGGAACTTTTTATTAAATTTGAATTTATTAGATTTATTACATTATATATAACCTTAATGCATTTTAACCAAAAAATACATAAAAGTAACTCCCAGTTTCAATAAATAAAATACGTTCAAATGATCGACGGCTCGGATTGATCATCAGGAGTGAAGTGCAGCCATGGCAGAAACATCAATTTCCTTTGAAGGTGAATGGGAATGGGAATTTACGAAGGAAGAAGATCTAAACCTTGATCTTTGGAGGCATCTTCACAATCATAACAGGGCAATGAGCATGGTGAGCACAGTAATCACTCACACTTCCTAAAACAACCCTGCATATATCCCCAATTTGCATTCTGTTAGCTAAGAATTTATAGTGTAACCGTCAGATTTGCATAATATCTGCAGGAGAATCAACCATTACCTCTTTAGAACTCCATAGCCATGGCTGCCGACGATTAACATGGATGCGTGGTGCTTTTCCACAGCCTCGCAGAGAACACTCCTCGAATTGCCTTCAATTACTTCAAAAATCGCATCATTGACCTGCGGATGAAAATCGAATGCTTCGGTCGGTAACAATGTGTAAATCCTAGGGAATTTCTCCGATTTGAACTTGAACTATACATCCTGACGGTAAGTTAGATCTTCGCCTACCGATTTAGCTTTACACAAATTTTCCGCCCTTTCCATCACCGTAGATGCAACAACCTCCAAATTTTTCGCCACAATACTCAACATTTCAGCAGTAGCTACAGATTACAATCATAAACACACTTTAATTCGCTATTCGTTGAAACAGAGGACAGATTGACGACGAACAACAACATACCTGGACCAGCGAGGCGGACGACGTCCACCGCGAAAGGCTTGGCGTGGACGAGGACGATCTTAAACGCGGAATTCTCCGATCCAGAGGAGAACAAGTGCTGCAAGGTCCAGTTCAAAGCGTAGAAACTGTGATCGTTGTCGTCGATCCCCACCACTATCAACGGCTTCTCCATATCTCGTATTCCTGCAAAACCACAGCAATTCCTGAAATTCAACTTCCACCGAATTTTCGAATATCGCCTGCACCGATTACGCGAGGATGGGGCACTGGATTTATATAGGTAATTGCTGGAATTTGCGTTTGAAGTCGATGGAATTGAAAACTAGCAGCATTGTGAGACGAAACCAGCGTCTGTTCGCTGCTTGTTTTCATATGTAAACTTTTTGTTTTCCTTAAAAAAAAAAAAAAAAAAAAAACTAAAAATTCATAATCTATGGAAATTACAATAATATGTGTATCTGCATTAGTGTGTATTTATAACTTAATACTCCGTATTATAATTATTATTCTTACGACATGATTCATTAAAAATATTTTGGTGTGTTCACTTTAATAATATATTTTTACATTATTTTTTATTATATATCCGTTTTTATTCAATATAAAATATTATTAATATTTTTTATATTTAACATAAAAATACTTTAAATTAAAATATTAAAAAAATATCTCACACTCGGCAGCTATTTTATTTATTTTTGTATAATATTGAGTGTGATTAAAATTAATTTAAAATAAATTTGTTTTATTTTAATTTAAAATTGATTTTATTTTTTATAATTTAAATTTAAATAATATTTCAATGAAGGAAAATATGTTTGGGTTTGTTTGCTTTTAAGTTTTTGGATACATGTATTATTTTATATTAAATATAATGAGTTGTGTTGGTAATATAAAAAATAATATTTTGTGTTAATTATTGATATATATTATGTTAATATATGTATATTTTATTTTTTAATAATATTTATTGGAAATCGAATATTAAAGGTGTGTTCTCTTTCTAAAAAAAATCCAACTATTTGTCAACAAAATTAATAGTTTATATCCATTCATTATTTTTATATTATATATACACTTTCTTATATTTTATGTAAAAATATATTCCTTCCGTCTCATTTTTTATTTTAGTCTGTTTCAAAATAAAGTTACTATTTTCTAATTAATAATTGTACTATCTGTCTAATATAATAAATATCATTTTAAATACAATATTAATATGAGTATTTTTGTCATTTTTATTACAACTCAATATAATATTAATATTAAAAAATCTACTTAAAAAAAATAAACGGCAACATTTCAATGAGACAGAGTAATTACTTCAAATAATTTCGCAAAACAAACACACTCTAAGTGAACATACCATACATTTATTTATGGTGAGTTTAGTTGTTATTTCAAACGTAAATGTTTGTTTAATTGTTATTTTAAACGTAAATTATCACTGTTCATTCTAATAAAAAAAAATATATATATATATTAATAAAATAGGATATCAAAATATTATATAAACAAAAATATGATACTGCTTTATTCATAAGAATAGTACTATAAACTTTTTGTCAGTAATATAAATAAAAAAATATGATAAAAATATTTTTATTAGTCTTTTATAATATAAATACAATGATATTTACAAAATAAATTATATAAATATAAAAATATTTTTAATTTAAATATAATGATGTAAAATACAAATGATGATGCTATTTTTGTTGGACAAGGTAATAATATTTTAAAACCAAAATAAGAACCAAAATAAGAATTTATTAATTATGGTAAAACCATCTCCTAATCCGCTTAAATATGGGCCTATGGGCTGAATTCTAAGGGTAAATTCGATAATGTGTTTTGTTCTGAAGCAGCAATAGATGCTTCTGGAATAATCGATTGGTTGTATTTTTATTCGAAATCAAATACTCCATTATTTAAATAAAAATTTGATAATATATATATTTATATATTTTTAAAGAAAACTGTATTAATTACGGTAAAATCATCTACTAATCCGGTTAAATATGGGCCTATCGTTGGGCTGAATTCTAAGGGTAAATTCGGTAATGTGCCAAATTTTGTTCTGGAAGCAGCAATAGATGCTTCTGGAATAATCGTTCAGTTTTGTGTATTTTATTTCGAAAATTGAGTCTTTAGGCGCACATTTCCTTCAAAGCACGTCTGCTTCTAGGGTTTTCTGTCTCTCTCTCAAGTCTTTCGTGGACTTATTGGAAAAATGAGGTAATGGTTCCTATCAACTTGATCTCGATCCCCTTCAACTTCTTTCTAGTGATTTATTTTGTGGAATTTGATTGATTGATATCTATTTTACGGAGATTTTCAAAATCAGTCTAATTAATTCGTGTATGTGTGTGGTAGCTCTTCGAGTTTTGTCCAAATTTCGATGCGTGTTAAGTGACTATGGATTTGGTTTAGTTCTTCGTGAATTCTGTAATGGTTTGTTTTAGCTGATGTTCCCCCCTATTACGAGCTTTGGTGCTTAGCTTTACAGTCCAACAAAAGCTAATTGTACAAGCGTCATGTATATGATGTGGATTTTCCTTGTTGCATGATTGAGAATACAAGTAGAATTTCCGGACGAAGCTATATTACGTGCTTATCATTTGCTTGAAGTACCAATTCATGTTGATTAGATGTTTGAGCAGAGTCTGGTCGCCATGTCAGTTATAAATTCGTGCCTTTTTATCTCATACTTTGCTCAGCCAGTCACCGAATTGATAGGTCATGTTTAAAGTTTAGTACATAATATAGTATCTTATCTTGGTATGGTATGGAGCTATTATCTGAGCAATTTCTATACTGCAGCCGACACCCAGAAGTGAAGTGGGCTGAAAGGGAGGATAAAGTGTACCTTACTGTTTTGCTGCCAGATGCTAAGAATCCCAAGGTCAATGTTGATCCGGATGGAACATTCACATTTTCTGCCTCTGCTGGGACAGAAAATAATACTTATGAGCTCAAACTAGAACTTCTTGATAAAGTTAATGTAGAGGTGAGTTTTCTTGTCAATTGTGTACCCCAATAGAAAAAGGGAGCACCTGCTTGAAGAACTGTAGTTAATTCCTTTTATTGCGATGTTTACATTTATCTTCTAGCCAAGTGATATTGTAAATTAGTTTTTTGGACCATGTTTGATTTTCTTATTTAATTTTCCTCACCATGTTCTTTCGAAACATTTGCATGTTCTTGCTCCATGACAATGAGGAATTTGGTTTAAAATGTAAGCAATCATTTTTTACTTGATTAGAATCAGGACAAATTTTTCTTATTGTAATTTCTATTATATTGCACAGGAGAGTTGAATGTCTGATTCTTTAAACTGTGAGACCATCGGAACCATTTTTTTTTCTTCTGACCTGGTAGAGCATTTTCTTTACAACTCCTAGGAAGCAGGAGTAGAGCATTGAATGTTCAATTCTTTAAACTGTGAGGCCATTAGAACAATTTTTTTGGACCTCAGTAGTTGAGCATTTTCTTACTCTAGGAAGCAGGGATCTTATCATTAGCTTAAGTTCCAATTTTCTATACATTAGCTAGGTCTTATGACTTTTCAACTTTTTTGTAAGTCTTGTATTTGGTCTGAACTCGCCTTTTCCAGGAGTCCAAAATAAACATTGGTGTACGGAACATCTTCTGTGTATTGGAGAAAGCTGAGAAAAAATGGTGGACAAAACTGTTGCGAGGAGACGGGAAGGCGCCTCATTATGTTAAAGTAGACTGGGATAAATGGGCCGATGAAGATGATGATACTGGTAAGTGGTACTTCATTTTATATGGGTTCTCACATAAACTTTGTTTGTTCTTTTCCTTTTTCCCACAAAGATTGGTGCCTTCTCTGAATCCCCTATAATGCCATCAGGAGGACCTGCAAATTTTGACATGGATGGGATGGATTTCTCCGTAAGTTTTACTGTGTTTATTTGCCTTAGTTTATTGTTCCAACTTTTAAGTTTTTTCTTTGAACACTCGAATTTGGCTTGTTTGACAGAAATTCGGTGACATGGGTGGCCTGGGAGCCATGGGAGGCCTTGGAGGCATGGGAGCCATGGGAGGCCTGGGAGGCATGGGAGATGATGCAGGTGATGATGATTTTGAGGACAGTGATGATGAAGGTAAGCTGCAATGTGATATATGAGCCTAGCCTCTGAATTTGTTATAGCTTTTCTCCAGAGTTTATTTCTGTTTTTCAACCAGTCATTTTGGCTTTTTAATTGAAGATGCATCTTGCTCTACACAGTCATAATTGGAGTTGTTAACGAACCGAGCCGAACAAAATTTTTAAGTGTTCATGCTCGTTCGTTAATGTTTGCGAACAAGACTTGTGTTTGTTCCTTAAGTTTTCAAGTTCATTCGTAGTGTTCAAGCTCGGTTCGTTAAGATTTTTTATCTTCTGAGCTCATGTTCAGCTTAATTAGGTTTGATTAAGCTTGTTCGAACTCATTTGTCTCACTATTTTTTAAATTCATATATAAATTAAAATGGAAACTTAAAATTATTTTATTTATTTATTTTAAATTGATATTTTATTTATTTATAAGTTGTTTTGCGAACAAAATTTGGATTTGTTATTTAACCAAAAGAGCCTGTTTATGCTGTTTGGCTCAGCTCATCTCAGTTCTTTTTTAACAGCTCTAGTCATAACAAACATGGTTGACTGCAATTTTAAATCATCTTCTGGAATCATGTGACTGTCAAAACTCAAAAGTACTTCTTGGATGCCTTGTGGAAGAGTACAAGACATCTCAATCATTATACTTGTTAAAACTTTCTTGACTAGCTATGCTTATTTGCTTGGTGGTTACTGAATGGATGAACTTTTACCATTACATTGTCTAGTCATTTTGCTTGCTGCCTCTACCTCATTTGTGAACTCTATATTTCCTTGTTTTGTCTTGTTGGGCTTTTGTGAGATTTGTTTGTAGCTTCCCACCCACACTCACACCCACATGCATTTACCCTGTATTCTTGATGTATTAATTGTTGTTCCCTTACTGCTTTACAGAAGTCAAGAAACCCGAAGAGAAGGCCGCCGGTGACAAGGCACAAGGAGAATCTTCGGAGGGCAAAGCGGAACCCTCGGCAAATTAACTAATATGATGGGTAAGGTTCCCAAATTGGTAGCAAATCAGTAAGGAATATGATGCATATGGCATGGGTTGGTCTGTTTTGCCTTAGCCTTATTTTTGCACTGACGAAGCATTTCCTGGATGGGCTGAAACTTATTTTCACCCGTTTGTTTGACCGTGGTTATTATTTATTTTAACTGAGTTTGGATTGTGACTTGACTTGAATATGAATGTATTCGTTTCGCATATTAATCCCCCACACCCCCTGTTTTTTACGTGTGCTGATTAAATATAATGTGCTATTGATAGTATCTTTATGTGTTAATTGGGCAATCAGTATGGTTCATTCAGCTCCCTACTACTGAGGGTATGTTTCTTTACCCTGGGTTTGGAGAAACTTGTTGTTTGGGCACTGTAGGTCCAAAATTACTCGCCAGACTTCTTGTTCCCCTGCTCCCTTGATTACATTTACTTTTGCATTTGGATCAGATGCTGAATGAATTAATTCAGTGCCTGATAAATTACTATTTATATGTATGTTATTGTATTTAATATTAAAAATATTATTATATTAGTATTATAGGATGTTAATAAAAGTATTTTTGATTTTTTTTAATTTGTACTATGCAAAAAAATGAAAAAATAACTCTGGTCGTTTTTGCTGGATTACGGAATGTTATGGCTTAAAGGATAGGTTGTTGGTGTCTGCCCCAGGAATACAGTAGGTTAAGGGCTCGGCCATTACACTACATCCTTATTTTTGATATAAAATATATTGATATTATTTTAAATACAAAATTATATTTTTATTATAATGTAATAAAAAGAATAGGATTTTGGGAGTGTTTTTTCTTTTTTTTTAATAGTTAAACAAAAGCCAAAATTTCACAAACAAAGATGTGCCAAACTTTCTATCGCCCTCTTTTACACTAGCTATATATATTCTGATCTGTTTACATTTTTTATATATTACACTAGCTATATATATTCTGATCTGTTTACATTTTTTATATATTTTTATTGAATTTTTTATTTTATTAAATTAACAAATTAATTGTCTTAATTTTTTTATTACTATTATTTCTCTACCATTTTATCCTTATATCAACCAGAACCCTTAATTACATGAATTAAGAATAAAAAAATAAAAGATGGGTATAGTTAGTTGTAATTCGATTATGTGTTTAATACTCCCTTTATCTTCGTATAATTATATCATTTTTTTTTTTTTTTAATTTTAAAAAGAACTGATATAATTATGTTGGGCGGCCTTGATTAATTGGGCATTATGGCCCATTTTATGGAAGATGGGCCTGAATTCTGGGTCTAACATAGTTTTATCAGGCCTATGTAAATTGGGCTTTTGGTCACTTTGTGCAAGTATATCTAGACTAGACTGTAGCAACGACAACTACTGTGCTAAATACTCCATTTACCTGTTAGATACGAAAATTTTAGAACAGATATAATTAAAATTAAAAATAAATCTTAAATTAAAATAATCCATTAATTTAATTAAAATTAGAAAATTCGAAAATTTTGTACATTATAATAACCTACATCAGTCAAAAACCCTAGCGGCTCCAACTGAAAAACCGACAAGTAGAAAATGGATGCTTCGGAGGAGATGGAAGTTGAAGAAGCGACCTCCTCTTCCGGTACGAATAATTTCAAAAGATTGGGTCTTAAGAATTCAATACAAACCAATTTTGGCGATGACTACGTGTTCGAAATCGTTTCCAAGTATGATCCTCTCCCTCCTCCTTTCTTTTCTTTCGATTATGTTGATGATTTTTGTGAATTTTGTGTTGATGATTTTTGTGAATTTTGTGTTGATGGACTAGTTTGTGTTTTTTGAGTCGGTTAGGGATGACTGGACGTCGATGGCGGTCTCGCTTTCGACCAATGCTGTGAAGTTGTACTCCCCTCATACAGGGCAGTACCTTGGGGAATGCAAAGGTCATTCTTCGACTATCAACCAAATTTCGTTCTCAGGGCCGTCGTCTCCGCATGTTTTGTATTCCTGCTCGTCTGATAGCACCCTCAGAGCTTGGGATTCCCGGTCCTTCCAGCAGGTTTTACTCCTCTCGATTCGAATTTAATGATACTCAGTTTGCGTTTCTCCTCGATCTTATTAGTTTTTCATCGGTTATACTTTTATATATACATTTGCAAATATAATCATGTCCTCTGTAGATTGTTGATACTATCAACCTGACTATAATGAAATAGTGATTAGTTTCGTAACATAATAGCCTAATCAATAAAAATCGTGGCATAGGCGTGGTATAATGTCATTTGCGCTTGTAAATCTTTTTAGCAGCATAGTGGCTTGAGTAAAGGTTCTGATTATATAGAGCTTTGCAATGCAGGTGTCTTGCTTAAGTACTGGCCCTTCACTGGAGATGTTCAGCTTCTCATTTGGTGGAGCCAATGAGAATCTCCTTGCAGCAGCATGCAAGTCACAGGTAATATCACTTTCTAGTGTTTGCTGATTAATATACACCATTAATTTTTTCTAACTTTTTCTTGTTGATATTTTGAATTTGACACTGAATTGCAGTTTATGTTGGCATGTTCTTAACATCCTCTATATGATCCCTGCATCAATTGCCTGTTTTGATATAGAATATTTCTACTCTGGAGAGTCCCCTATAGAGGATTAGCCACATGCTTATTTTCTCACTGTTTTCATGAGATTATTATGCAATTTTGTATATTGAGGCTGTCGGTCCTGGAAATTGGTTTCTTGCTATTTTTCATCTTCTTTGTGTTGTAATTTATGTCAGGAATATTTCTTTACTAAATATATAAATTTTTTCATTCACTTGTTCTCTTGTGCAGATATATTTCTGGGATTGGAGGACAATGAAGCAGAGTGCTTGTTTAGAGGAATGTCATACAGAAGATGTTACACAGGTAAATCAGACAGCTTTTGGTTCTATCTAGGTACAAGTTGTGGGAAAGCAGTAGTGGCCTAGGCTTTGTTAATTGTTACTTGTGTTTTCAAACTACAATTTTGCGCTATTAAAAAAAAATAAATTTGCCATGGAAAATATTATATATCCAACACATATTTTTCATTTACAATATCACAATTAAACTTATTCTTTAATAAAAATATTACATCAAATATCATTTTCCATTCAACTTTTACTATTTCCAAAACAATTAACACACCAAACCACTTCCAAAACACAACTAAACAAAGCTCTACTCTTACAGTCCCACCTAAAATCATTTGACAAAAACCAGGACAAGCAATCTCGTACTAAGTATTAAATAGAGTATCTTTGTATGTAGTGAAGCATGAAAATACTATTAGTGACCTTTTGTGACACTATGTGGAGGTGGAGCAACTTGCTTAGATTCTTTAGACATAGAAAAAGCTAGAATGAAGCTGCATACTAATATATGATTGTTAATTACTTTGTGATACTTAATCAAACTTCTATGATAGTGGCTTCAAAAACTGAAATTTTTTTAATCCTGCTCTTGATGTTTAGCAGTTTGGGTTACCCGTCTGTTTATTTTAATACCATTTCTAAAGATTCGTTAATTTTAGTAACCTTTTGTAGGTCCACTTTGTTCCTGGCCATCAAAGCAAGCTTATCTCTTCTTCTGTGGATGGATTAATATGTCTTTTTGATACCGACGGAGACATAAACGATGATGACCATTTGTTATCGGTGAGTGACTTCATCTCTGTAAATCATGTTATTGTGTGTGTTTCAGTATAGGTTTTTTTTTTTTTTTGGGGGGGGGGGGGGGTTTCTTCCTGCATAGACATTACTTTTGTTCATAGCCTCTTCCCATGGTCTTTTATCCTGTAACAAAAATATCACAAAGAACGAAACAAAACAATATAAAATTCAAAAGAATTTGCTTACCCAATTTGATCCAAATTGATCTACGTATGAGGATGTTGTCAAGTCAAAAATTTTATTAGGAGTTTTTTGGCAAAATAATTAAGAGATTACATTTAAAGCCCAAAGCGCATATCTGGCAACTATGAGTCAGACCATTCCTATTCTCTAGTGTGTGTGTGAACTTTCATTACTCATGTTTTGTTACTTGCATACACATTGACATTTATGCACTATTACTCATTATGATCACTGTATCCCTTTATTGTTTAAACAGACGTGACTCCCTACTGTGGGTGCGACTGTTTAAATCTTCATTAGTCTGTTTCTATAACTTGTATGCATATTGTTGTTTTTGCACCAATACTCTTCATGCAAACTGCAACCAGGTGCTCAATGTGGGAACTTCAATTGGGAAGGTGGGATTCTTTGGCGAGGCCAATCAGAAGCTGTGGTGCTTAACACATATTGAAACCTTGAGGTACTACTACTTCAATCTTGTTTCATAATGTTGTTAATTCTCACACTCCTGATGATTAAATATCTCCCATGCTTTCAAACTTTTATACATTTTAAGATGTTTTTATGATGTAGTTTTATGATTTGAGGAATATGCTAATGCCAAATTTACACCAATTTTGCTCCTTATAGTGTTTGGGATTGGGCTGTTTCTAGCACTGAAGCAAACTTTGAGGATGCTCGCGCATTGGCCTCTGAGAGCTGGATTCTGGATAATGTAAGTTCCCATTACATTTGTCGGGGTTGCTGTTTTTTAAACAACTACCTCCTCTGTCTTGTAAAAATATGCCCATTTGACCATTTTAGTGTGTTTACTAAAAGTGTCTTCTTTAAATCTTTTCCAATTATTTTTTCATATATTTACACAATTGCCATTGAGGCCCCCATTTATTCGGCACACTCATTCTACTCTACTCCAAATATAACATAATTAACCCTATGAAATTTCAATTCTCCCCTTGTAGAAACTACAGAAGTAATATTAAATTATTATTTTTCTTAATCTCCATGCAAAATAGTTTTGAGCATAGTTTTATAAGATGGAGTGAGTATCAAATTTGGACACCCATTGCCATTCTCCTTTAATATTTAAATTTATATGCCGCGACTCTCCTCTTGCTGCCACAGCTTGCAAACTTGGAAGTTTGGGTCATGTAACATATCTTGAATGGTAATAGCAGAACAAACCTACTTCGTAACATTTGCATAAGGAAAGCATGTGAAAATTTATCTATAAAATCAAATTATTATTCGTAATTCAGTAACCTAATTTCGTATACAATTACAGTGATGCCATACAATACCAATGTGGGGCTGTGGACAGCTCTGATTTAATCACAAGTTTATTATGGTGTTTTTTTTATTTTTTTTAAAATGTAGACGCTTGATGTATTAAGCATTGGCTGATTTATGGACAGGTTGACTATTTTGTTAATTGTCACTATTCGAATGAGGAAGATCGGCTGTGGGTGATTGGAGGCACAAATGGTGGCACGGTCGGATACTTCCCTGTGGAATATGGGAAAAGAAAGAAAATAGGATCTGCGGAAGCTGTTTTCCAGGGTGGTCATACCGGGATAGTGAGGAGTGTGTTGCCCATGTCCACTCGACATCATGGTATTTATGGTTGGACTGGAGGTGAAGATGGCAGGCTGTGCTGCTGGTTGTCCGGTGTATTGGACGAGACCAACTCCTGCTCCTCTTGGGTGTCGTCTTGTTTGGTCGAAAAATCGCCCAAGACCAGAAGGAAACACCGCCATACTCCTTACTAAGATTTTCCTCAAATATATTTTGTCTTGCTTCGTGTCATTTTTGTGGCCATTACCAAGTGTGTATTATTAGTTGTCTTGTAATTTTGCCCTGCCAGTGCCAGGTGATGAATTCTCTTTTAATTGGAACGTTATTAGGTGCTTCTGCAGGTGGAGCCTCGTTAACATCATATATATATATATATATGCCTTGGTGGGTCGAAAGAATGATTGGCTTCTGCACAGCCATGGCTGCCTCTTGAAAAGTTGCAGAAATCTTGAGGATGCAAGATATACGGTATACCCACTTTATATTGTTTGCAGGCTTTTATTTTATTTAAGTTTTTTTCATGTTGTGTGGGAAGGTATGTTTTATTATTGGATTGATTATACGTTGGGCTTTCAGAAATGGGTCTGATTGGACTGCGCTTGATTTGTGTAAGACCGTTACAAATCATAGGCAGGGTATATATATAAATGGGCCTAGTAGTTGGTCTGTGATTATGTGTTGGGCCTTTGTTATGAGCCTCACTCATTTGGGCCTTTTTGTGGGCCTAGGGCTTAGGAATGTGCCCCCTTATTATGAGCTGGGCCTAGATAAATGTCACTAAATAGATTGGGCCTTGAATACGAGTTTGGTTTGGGAAAATAGGCCTCATTGAGATGGGCCTTGTTTATGGGCCGATCCTTTACAACTGGATCCATAAAATGTTAGGGCCTTTCAAGTTTACCTGATTGGGCTGGGCCTTAATTATGGGCCAATAATTTACAAATCAACCCAAAATATACTGATCCTTTATTATGTTTTGGGCCTTTACATTTGGGCTTATATGGTTATTTATGGAGAGGCCTTCACAAATGCGGCGGTACAAGCCTTGTTTATGGCCAGACCTTCATAAATGGGTCTGGATGCTCGGACTTTGTTACGGGTCGGGCTTTTTAACCATTGGGTCTTTGAAAATGAGCCTGATTGGACTGGACCTTATATTGAGTTATGTCTTAGGGCTTGTTGGATTGGGCCTTTGCTCTAAGCATAATTAAATGGTTTTTTTCCTTTTCTTTTTTTTTTCAATGGATCTTAATTATATGGGTTGGGAGCTCTTTTGAATTGGCCTTTCTTTTGCCAATTTTGATTACGGGGTTCAATCTTAAATGGATTTTATTTATTTATTATTTTTTTAATTGAACCACCGCCGCATTTTCTTATCAACCCTCAAGTGATAGAGGAGATTGTCCGGCATTTTCTTATAATGATTGGTATAAGCGGCAATTGTTCTCTTTGTTGTTGGTCAGTCTTGCATTCGAACGGTAAGCATCGTTGAGCAAGTTCTTTTCAAACCAAGACAAAATTGGAAGTGCTTTTCATAAGTTTTTCTATAGCACCTTCCCAAGGTGAGTTTATTAAATTATACTTTCACTAATTAATAAAATATACTTTTTTTCATCATTTAAATTTGTTTTTACTTTAATTTTTGTTTTGTTATTTAAATTTATTTTCGTTTCTTTTTCGATAAAAATGTACTAATTTTTCTTTACCCAGAATGTAAATTTTTTTTATTTTTATTTATTTTCTTAAAATTCGTTTTCGGTCAAATGAGTACGTAATTGAATGACGGAAGTAGTACTAAAGAATAATATATCTCATTCTGTCCCAATACAATAATCTTATTTACCATTTTTGTCTGTTTCAAAACAATAATCTTGTTTTCATAAATAACCATATTACCGTACAACTAACCCTATTTTTTTTATTTTTATTAAAAAATTGCCACTATTTTTTACGTTAATACACTCACAAGCCAAAAAAAAAAATAAAAATTTATCCATATTTTTACTAACCCAATCTAATTAAGACTATATTTATGGATTTATGGATAGAGGGAGTATTATGTTTCGAATTTCATATTGATTCAAATTTTTATTATATCAATCGGAATTGATTTGAGAAAAAAGAAGGTAAAATTCAATTAATCCAAACTTTCTAAAAACACAAACTAAAATTTAAATTTGAGTTTTAATTAGAATATTACTCGCCCTTATTTTGACCATAATACAAATATTGAAAAAAAATAATAATATAATAATGATAATAATAATAATAATAATTTACTATTATATAAAAATTAATGGATAAATACCTTCCCTTCACGTTCACGGGCTTCAGCATACGGCAGCAGAATCGTGCGGTGAGCGAGGGGAGAGGATGACAGAGCAGGACGCGGATGCGGAGATGGCGGCGATTCTGAGAGAAACATTTGGGGATTCGCAGTCAGACAGCGACGCTGAGGAGTCAGAGTCTTCGCGCAATCGTCGACCACTCCATGATTCAACTCACTCAATATTTGGGGATACACATATTTGGGAACCTATTCCTGAAATCAGCGGACTCTGGATTTCTAGAGATTTTTTATCTGCCGATCAACAATCTGCTTTGCTCTCTGCTCTCGAAAAAGGTGCTTCAGAGATTCCCCTAATTTCCTGCAAAAAAATATGCACAATTTCATTTATAAACCAAAGCTAAGGAGATTGATTACCTGTGATTGAACGGTTTTGGATGCAGATGGATATCTGGCTGAAGACTCTCATAATCAGGTATCTACTGATCAACGAGGTTTAGTATTAATTCGATATGAACTGCTTCAACCGTGAAGCATTTGAAATCTGTGTTCATTTTTCGATCTATATTTCAAATGCTATCTCTTCTCTGTGCTACGAGATTACATTCTTCTGAGTATCTAAAATTTGCAGGCGATGAAATTTGGGGATCTGCCAGATTGGGCGATGGAACTTTCATATTACATTAGAGAGGATGTGGCAATAACAAGCGATAACAGTAAAGCAGCCTGTGTATTTCCATCAGACTTGTTATGGAGGGAGCCATTGTTCAACCAGTTTATAGTGAACATATACAAGCCAGGTGAGGTGAGGTTGGTCGATCAGCAGCAATCTTTATGCTATAATTTTATGTTCTTCTTCTGCGTAGTTATGAATCAATCGTATCATGGAATGTAGGGAATCTGTGCACATGTTGATCTTATGAGATTTGAAGATGGAATAGCAATAGTCTCCCTGGAGTCATCATGTCTGATGCATTTTAGCCCGGTTGAAGATGAGAATGCGGAGAAGAATTCAGCAAAGATCCCTGTGCTTTTGAACCCGGGATCGATTGTTTTGATGTGGGGCGAGGCTCGGTATCGATGGAAGCACGAGATTAATCGGAAGCCGGGTTTTCAGAAATGGGATGGCGAAGAAATTGAGCAGAAAAGGAGAGTATCTGTGACATTAAGAAAGCTGTGTTGTGTGTAGCCAACAATCTCCGTGGGGCATGATTCATTTGACTAGATCTTACGTATGTTATTTTATAGCCCAATATAGGTTGAGATATGTATAAACATATTATTTCTTATTATTAACTGGTCCAATTAATAAGTTACTGAATTCTGCACATAAGAGTCCCCCGGTACTTACTTGTTATAAATGTAATGACATGTGTAAAATATTGAAAGTTAGAGAAAATATAAGCTTAACTAATGGCTCAAATAGTTACATTTAACCTACGGTACAAAATCAGTATTTTGTGGGTTTTTTGCCTATGACATGTTAGGCTTATCCAATGAATCAAGCCTAGTCCAACATCCGAATCCCGACCCAACCCAACCCGGCTCATCAATTGACGACCCAGCAATATGGAGTGAGTGAAGATAGGTAATGCCATTGATAGAGAATCGACAATGTGCATTGCATTGTTTAAAATGTGTTTCCAATTTAATCTTTCCCGTTCAAAAACTATCACGTCCAAGTCCAACAACTTACTTCAATGTGATCTATACAGACAGCATGTTTTCATATCTCTACAGTCAATGAATCAATATCAACTAGTAACTACACAAACAAATCCATAATTCAAAAACAACACAAAGTTCACAAATAATACAGAAACCTAACATTCAAAACAACAAGAAGAAGAGACCAAGCAAAACAGAGCCTAACCAGATCACCAGCAATAGGGTTCATGTCTCTGAACATCCTGGCGCACCCAACCATAACTCCAAAAATAGCGCCACAAAGGGCCAACCCGACCCGAATGGCGCCTGCCCCGAAGACAACCGGGTACCACCCGAGGCAGAGCATTTGCTGGCCCAAGTAGACGGCCAAGGCCTTGGGATGGCGGTGGAAGCCTCCCTCGGCCCAAATGAGCCACGCGGAGAGGCCAGAGAGGAAGGCGTGGGCCAGAAAGGAGAGGTGTAGAGCCCACAGAGGCGGGAAGTAGAAAGGCTTGGGAAGGAGGCGGCGGTAGCCGAAGAAGAAGATGTCGAGGACGGTTAGGGAGAGAGGGAACGCCACGGCGACGCTCAGCGACCGGAGGCCGTGCAGCGCCGTGCCAGATTTTTTGTGCTTTCTGGCGTTCATCGTCGGACGGGATCGGTCAGGCGCGGCGGCGATCGGCGGCGGCGGTGGTGCGGTTAGGTTTAGGTTAGGTTAGGTTGAGTAATTTTGGGATATTTGATTGGGAAGTGAAAAATGGCTGGTTGGGGAAGGTGGGGGAGAATTCAATTGGTTGGGGTGGGAACGGCTGAGAGGGCGTGTTTATCGCCTGGTTTGGTTTTAGATGGGGGAGGGGAGGGGAGGGGAGGGAGTCACGTGGCGGGGAGGTGGTGGGGACGGGACGGGATTACACGTGGCATGATCCAAGTAGATAGTCTCCCCCCGCTGCTGATTAGCGAGTCGTACGTGGTTGTGTGACCCCCGCCGCTCGGGCCAGTCCATCGTTTCATTTGTAGAAGGGTAGAAATGCCGATGCAAGGGAAATGGATAGGACTTCAAAATGACGACGAAGACAAGAAATGAGATAAATACTTGAATCGTTATTATTTTTATTTTTTATTTTAAAAAAAATGTGTTTATTTTATTATTCCGTCAGTCCCACATATCATGTCCAAGTTGCCGTTTCTGTCCGTGTTTCACTTATGCCACTTTCTTTTTTTTAGAAAATGATTATACACTTTATACACTTTGATCTCATTTATTATTTATATTATAGGATAATTATTTTTACTAATACATTCTTAATTATCTACTAATTACACCCCTCCTAAAATACCGTGTTTATAGTGTAGCAGACACGGTACGTGGGACGGAGGTAGTATTTAAGAGTGTGTTTGTTTGAACAATTTTGATAAATTTATATTATTTATACAATTTTTTTTTAAAAAATAATATAAAATCAAATATTTATTTAATATTTTCTTCGTCCACTTTAAAGGTTTACAATTATTTTTTGCATGTTGAATTTTGAATATTAATTATTATATCAAAATATAGTACAAATTAAGTAAGATAAACAAAAATATTTCTATCAGTGTCTTGTAATACAAATATAATAACATTTGTATAAACAAATACTCCATCCTGTCCGCTTACAAAGTTGACATTTATTTTTTGTGTGTTGATATTTGAATATTAATTATTATATCAAAATATAGTACAAATTGAGAGAAAATGACAAAAATACGTATATTAGTGTCTTATAATACAAATATAACGATATTAAAATTAAGAAATATACAAATATAGAAATATTTATAATGTTAGTACAATGATGAAAAATGTAAATTTTTAGTGAGAGAGATAAGGAGTATCATTTCTACAAAACTATTTGCAAGCAAATAAGAAAGAAATTAATGTGTTTTTTTAGAAAAATAAAAAATAAATTGATTTGAATTTGATATTAAAAGAATATTTGAAATTTTATGAGATGATTTTTTTTATTTTTTATTTTTTAAAAATACATAGTCAAAATAGTAAAATTTAAAATATTTTGGAAAAAAACACACTTTTACGGCTAATAATTAAGACTGCGCCAAAGCAGTAGGGATATGACTGTAAGCAGTAGGGATATGATTGTGTGGAAGATGGATTTGTTCACTTTGTGTTTTTACATAAAAAGTGTTTTTTTATATTAAATATAAAATTTTGTATTGATAATATAAAAAATAATATTTTCTATCATATTGTCAATTTTTTGTGAGTAAATAAAATAAACATATTATGGGTGTGTTTATTTGAGAGATTTGTTTGGATTTCCACTGTTCATCCTATTTTTTCCTCCCAAAAATATCAAATCAAACACCTATTTTTTTATTTTTTATATTATACTAAAAATCAATTTTACATTCAAAATATCGTATCAACACCTATTTATATCACATCATACAACTATTCAAATTCAAAATTTTTACTATTCAAATCTCAATTCAAAATCCAAACCCTCAAACAAACACACCCTATATATATATTGTGCTAACATATGTATATTATACTCTCTGCATTTCAATACAATAGTCATGTTTATCATTTTTGTCCGTCCCAAAACAATAGTTTCATTTTCATAAATAATTATATCACTATAAAATTATCCTTATTTTTTTATTATTATACAATTGTCACTATTTTTTACACTAATACACTTATGATCAATCACAAGGGCAAAAAAATCTTTTACCCGTACTTTTTACTCACTACCAATATAATATTAATCGTGTCAAACACAGCTCAAACTATACTTTTGAGAAGGAGGGAGTATCTTTTAATAATATTTATGTGAAATCATCTCACCAAAATATAGTAAGGGAACAAACACTATATTAAACAACAACAAAATGATAATACATGTTCTAATCTGATCCCAGTGACTAGTTTATATTGCATGCTCTAAGTATATGGGAGAAATAAAATGCCACTGCTTAACTGGCCATATTCACGGATTTATACGTGCTGAAGATGTATTCATTAGTCCAAGGAGATAAGAGACACACAACTGTAGGATATTAATAAATAAAATTCAGTTTACTGGATCCAATGTTCTTAAAACGTCATCTTCTAGACTAGCACGATAAACTATGATTAAAATCTTGCTACAAGAGCCGAGGATTCTCAATTGTATAAATTTCCTTTCTAAGTTCGTTAAAACAACATCAATCATGCATGTAGACAAGCAAAATTATGCCTAAAAAATTTTTACAAGTGCTCTCGGCAGAAGAAGTCAATCAAGCAATAGATGCGGAACAAGAACGACACAATGTAAAAATCAGATGTTGAGAAAGCCAAATAGTGCGATAATGTTTACCAGCTGCGTAAATACACGCAAAAATCAACTCCGGCACTGTGTCGCCGCACTGCACGATCGAGTGTACGGATTAGCTTGAGCACCTGGTCGGCAGTTGTAGTAGGACGCACCTCTACGTGAACACGGGACGTTGTTCGCCTGCAGCGCGCCGTAGCTGATGTACTTAGTGGTTGCTAAAATGCGCCGATTGCTCTCCGAATCCATGTCGAAATCGAACTCATCTACGCCGTCGGCCATGCACTCGGCGACCGAACCTTGGCAAACCTCCGCCTTACCACCGATCGGCATCCAGCTAACATCGTCGCCTGCGCAGGCGGTGGTGATGAAGAAAATGAACGCTACTAAGGCGGAGATGCGGAGGCGGAAAACGAGAAGTTTCCCCATTTGTTAATGGCTTTCTGCTCAGTTTCAAAGCATAAAGAAAGCGTGAAGCAGAGAGCGGGCATTTTAAATAGCCGGAGAACTTGGAATTTGGTGCCAATATTCTCTTAATTTACCGAAATGCCATCCCACTTGTTGCTTTTTAATTGGACTGTAAAACTATTGCGTGAATTTTCAAAGTTTGTTTAATAGTGGAGATCACGACATCACGTTGCCGAACAGGGGATATATAATAAGCTATTGAATAACAAGATCATTTAGGTTATTTTTAAATAAAACAATTGAAAATTTGAGAATAATAATAAAAATTATTTAATTTCATGTTTAGTAAAAAATATATATTTACTGTAATATATATATATATTTAAATATCGAATAATTATAAAATTTTCAAAAATTTCATGTAAACTGATCTTTAATTTATTTTTTTTTACAATGTGAAAATTTGTAGCCTGCTATCGACCAGTGCATTACATAAATCTCGATTGAACCTAATAGTCTTCAAACTAGGTCTGACAAAAATAAGTCCCACTGAATTTATGATCTCACGGTTATAAATTTACCGCACATCATTAGCCATCTCTTACACGTTAATCCCTTTCACCACTAGGCGTCCGGGTTTAAACTCCTATACGATAGCTAGAGGATCACAAGTTAACCCATTTCACACTCCGAGTCACTTCTTATAGGATGTAAATAAGGGTTTTTTTTTTTTTTTTAATTGCAGGAATCTGCAGCTACTAATTTTTGAGTATATTTTGAATAAACTTTGATTGAATTTAAAAATTTGAACTAGATTCAGTAAAAACAAATCATACTAGACGAACTGATAAATAAAATCTGAAAGCGGTTCAAAATTTAAACAGGTGACCAAATCCACCTCCCTACTATCTAAATAAAGTTTCTTTTGGGTGTGTTTGTTTGGGAGATTGGATTTTCAATCCACTATTTATCCCATTTTTTTTCCTCAAAAATATTAAAATCAAACACCTATTTTTTATTTTTTATATTATACTCTCTCCGTTCCATAACAAAGTATCTATTTTTCTATTTATTTTAGTATGTCCCATAACAAAGTATCCATTTCCTTTTTTAATAACCGCACTATCTACTTAACATTATAAATACCCTTACAACTTACAATATATTACACAAATGTCATTACCTCTGTATTCCACGTACTAATAAAATTATTTTAGTCATTTCTACTTTATTCCTAATATATCTCAATATAATACTAATATTTCTAAAACTACGTGCAAAAAGCAAATGGATATTTAATTTCGAGACGGAGGGAGTACTATAAATTAATTTTATATTCAAAACATCATATCAACACTTATTTATATCACATCATACAACTATTCAAATTCAAAATTTTTACTATTCAAATCCCAATACAAAATCCAAACCCCTAAACAAAACACACCCGAAATGTATTATTTCAAATGCTCATCCTGATGCTTCAAACAGTGAACCCTTAGACTTCATCCTGACTCTTCCTCAACATCAGAAGATGTGAAATTAGTTTTAAATTTCACATTAAATGTCATCCACACGGTGATATCCTCTTTGTCACCATATACTCCTTTCCACCTCCACTATGTACGGTCAATCTTTTAAGGTAACAAGAACCAATATGAATTTTGTATCATCTCAAAACATGTCTGCATTGTCAATGTATTGTTCCATAGTGTAGATGAAATCATCTATTTAGGGCCGGCCCTGGCCAGGTGGAAAGGGGATCACGGTAAACAGGGGCGTATTATATATTTATGTTCTATATGTATTTTCTTTGTCCCAAAATAAATGTCTTATTGGGTGTTGGAACGAAAATTAAGAAATAATAGTATTTAATTGAAAGTTGGTATAAAATAGAATATAAAAGACTAAAATACCTTTTCTTTTTTAAGAATTTTAAAAAGTAGATTAAAGTACTAATTAGGGATAGTTTGAAAAAGTAGAAATAATTTTATTATAAAGTGTGAACCACAGTTACTAAATAAAAAATAAAATAATTGTTTTGGAACGGACGAAAATAAAAAAACAAGACAACTCTTTTGAAACGAAGAAAATATAATTTATTTGATATATATATAAATACAAATAAAGGACTGTAGTTGTAGTTTGATGTAGAAACAAATTTTAAATGTTGAAGTCTTGAGTTTAAATCTTATCTCAAAAAATTAAAAATATTTTTCAATACTAATTTTAGAGGCTTTTTTTTTTTTTTCATTCGTAATTTTTCGAAACTTAGGACCGACCCAGCATCTATTATCCAAAACTATGGTTCTTCAGCATAGCTTTCCGGACCGACCTTGCATCTATTAACCAAAACTATGGTTCTTCCGCATAGCTTTCCGGCAGGAAATATGTCCACTCCTGCCATGAACTTTGTCGACCTTCTCATCACAACTTGGTCAATAATGACTCTTTGATCATGCCCGATTCCTCTTGGATGTACGAACGATCTACAACAGTTGTTCTATTATCTCCCGGACTTTCTATTTTGATATTGACAAAGTCAATATCTCTTCATGTAATTTGTCCCCTTATTGGGCGATATGTTGCTTTATCTCGTCAAACTTAAACTTATGGTCACCAATCGTTAGGTCTACTTTAGCCAATCTATTCTTGGTTAACCCCTAGCACATTCACAACGTTGCTCTCATGCAACATTTCTTTCCAACTTAACATTGATATTACTTCCATATATGTATACATAAACAAATATTCCCACAATCTATTTTCTATTGTCCTAGTTGATATTTATATTTCTTTAGATAATTAATTTTTTTTTGTTATGAATTGACAAATTTATCTTTTATCTTGTGTATAAAAATAAATAAATCAATAAATAAAATAAGAACAATAAAAAGTAAAATTTATATATACAAATAGAAAGAATACAATAATTATTGAACGTTCTAAATAAAACATTATTATACTCACAGTAAGGAATGGGGCATATATGGAGGCAAATTTTGTGGTGATTTGAAATATCCTTTTCAATTCACTGTGTTAGAAAGTACATGTTAACTTCAATGATACAATATTTTAAATATTTATGCATACAATATGCTCACTCCAGAGAATAACATTTACTTTGTGCATGTAGATTTTTAAATATTAGTATTATATTGAATTATAATTAAAAAAATAAAAATAAAAATACATTTATTAGTATTATGTAATATAGAAATTATGATAATTGTGTAATATATTTAAAACTGAAAAAATATTCATTATGTGAGGTAGACAACTAAATTAGACAGTGTAACTATTAAAAATGGTGAAGACTAATAAACTAATAAAGATCCATGCCCAGGCCACGTATGTGTCTGTGTATTCGTTCATTTTATGACCTTTTTATTTCGTGAGGAGGAAATAAAAAATTAATGTTGTTACACAAGACACAACAACAATGATGCAATAATAAATAAATAAATAAATATTCACAACCTTTAGTAGAAGAAAGATTACCAGTTTCACCAGCTTTCCACTATCTTTCTAGTTTGCTTAATATTGCTTCCATTGGAGGCACTTCTTTCACAATTTCTTGCCAATCAGGCATCCCCTGAAAATCATAAATTGGTACTCACAACTTAATGAATAATCTCTAAAAAACCACCACAAATTAATGAATGGAGTTTCACTGGTGAAATAGATAGCCAAACAAACAGGACAATGCAGTCTTGGATGTAACGAAGAACCGATGATTTCATGTCGACGATAATAAACAGTTAGGGAATATGTGACTTAGTTCAATTCTTGATGATGACAGAAAATGAATGAATAACTTATGAAGTTTAGAGGATAGCTCACCCGGCCTGATTTCCGGATACGGCCATCCAGACGGAGAATTATGTATACATCTTCGCCCGGAGTTATGCCTTCGGATTTTTGTTGATCCTGGATCCACCTGGCAAGAAGAAAACATAGTCTGTTTGTTTAAGGTTTTAAAATGGTCTCATGCTGTTCAATTCTTTGTTTGTCCATTAAATTTACCCTTTTCTAATTTATTCAATATTTATTTACAACAAATATCAGTATTATTGTTACATATAACTTACCTTCTCTCTCTTCAATCTTCATTCCCTTAAAATTTCCACAATACTTGTCAATAAAATATTCATATTTGACCCAAAATGAGCTAAAATTATCGGACAAAGGGATCAAATTTCTATTTATATAACATCAAAACAACTATTTCTACACAAAGTTTTACCAATCCCAAAGATTAATACTGAAGAAACAGTGCCTGCAAACATTCAATAAAAACTATTCTATTTGGTGAAGGACAATGTATATTGGAGATGGTCCAATTTTTGTTAGCTATTTATGGGTAATTCGAATTATCATTAAATTTTAAAATGAACTTGTGCGCGAGAGACCATGGCAATTACCTTTCCCATTCAACAGGAGATACTGGATCTGCTCGAAACCGAATCTCCGCTTTGAGTTTAGACTTTGCAGCTATTGATTCAGTTCTCTTGTCAAAATCCTCCTATCAAAAAACAAGCACACAGATCAATTAACATAGAGAATGCGAGAGATGAAAGACGGAAATGCATGGTTCCGTCTTACCCCAATAGATGGGAGAGATGCTGTTGCCTTCGAAGAAAGTCCAAATCCTTTCTTCTCTGCTTGTTTTTCTCGGCCCTCCCCCCACACAATCGGAACTAGAATAACTCCTCTTTTTACAAGCTCAGTACGAAATCTCTCAGCCTTCCGCATTGCAGCAGAAACCGTCTCTTTATTCCCAGCTAGAATCACCTGTTAATTGATATTCAGCTATAGACTATATCATCATCCTAAAAAACAGATAGCAGGAATCATGCAATATTAATTGATATTCAGCTATAGACTATATCATCATCCTAAAAAACAGATAGAAGGAATCATGCAATAGGTCCATAGCATACTAGATGATGTTTCAAAATCATAAAAAAAACTATGGGAATATATATCTAATTTAAATTGTATGTTTGGAAACTGAAACTGCAAAGTGTAAGATAAGAAGGGTAACTAACAGGCCTTGCTGTGTCTCTTAGCTGCACAAGTTCCACAATTCTGTTAGTCGACAGGCGTAGAGGCAATCTTGATAGTGTTTCGTTTCGTGTAATTTGAGCGAGTTGTTCCTCCTCTTTCTTGTTGTCCCAGAAAAATAAAGCCAGAAAAGCAACAGCACCTGCACAATACTGAGTCAAACACACAATTGGAATTTGTTTGTATTCATGTGAATTAAGTCAACAAGAATACATTCGAACGTGTTAATATAACCTATGCCTTACACGAAGAAAACTCCATTGGTTTTTTTACCTCCAATGTTTATAGCTGCATTTGTCGAAGTTTCCAACAGGTCAGGAGCTCCTTCGCCCCCTTTGAGAGCACGAAACAGCCTTGGTATGGTGAATAACAATGAAATTCCTGCTGCAGCAGTGAAGGCCACGTAGAAAAATTTGCGAATCCCGCGAAATGGTGCTTGGACCTCACTGATGAGTTTAAGATCCCTCCTGAAGCTATAGCCAATATCTTCACCACCCATTCTAGCCTAATAAACACCCCCACCCCACCCCACCCCACCCCACCCAATTGTCATATAAAAAGTAATCGTGAATTCCAGAACTAAATAAATTGTCAAATAATAATAACAAAAAATCAGGCCAGCTTTACCAACCAACCTCTTCTTGCAACTCTCTAAATTCAGGTGTTGTTCTAAATGAAGCCAAGTCAGGATCATTTAAAATAGTGCTAAACTTGAGGCCGTAATCTCTTAGAGCTGTGCGCAAACACTCAGCAGCTTTCTTTCCTTCCTCTCTGCATCGAAGAGTGAAGTAGAAAACATAGAATTCTGGTGGATGCACAACACTCAAAGATAACACATATTCTAAGAAACACCTCTTAACACACAAAATTTCAGATTCTAGGAATCAGCATCCACCTGAAGGAGCCGATTTTCAGTTATTTGGTACTAGATTGTCCACTTCACGAGATAGGGATCGAAAATTTGTACCACCAGGATAGCCGATACTCAAAAACTCAGATAGCAATGTCAAGCTGCAAAATCCCACTACCAATGGCATCTTCATCCTTAATGGAAGTTTTCCATTGAGGGGTCTCGAAAAAGTTTCAAAAGAGTCCAATATCACTTTATAAAGAGTTGGAAAATGCACGAGTTTTGGCAATTTTCAATCGGCCACTTCAAAATGAAGATGAATTTATCTTGAAGATCACCCATTTACTTTTATCAGCATCTTTACTGTATTTTTCTTCCTTCGTGAACTTAGAAGATTCTGTCTTCAGGTTCAAAAAATCAAGTTCGAATATCAAATCGAAATTTACTTTTATTTTGTTAAATTTTCAGAGTTCCAGGACAATGATTCATCATTTCCAGACTAAGATAACATTTCATAAGCGATAATCGGAGTAATGTTTACCTGTATGCATGGCAGCAAGCCTTATTATACAAAGCAGCTTGAGCTTCTTCAGGATTTGGGTTCAAAGTAAGCGCAGTTTCGAACTGTGTAAGAGCATCTTTAACCTGGAAATAAATTCCTGAAGGTTTTAACACTGACATTCAGACAGACTCCCTCCAAACATCAAATACTGAATTTGGAAATTCTTTATTTCAAATAGAGAATTCAAATGGCACAAATCCTATAATATCTTTCCAGAAAATCAATACAATCTAAATATTCAAATAACTACATACAAACTTAAATTGAATCTCAATCGATCTACATTATTCTTTAGATGTTTACACCAGCAACTGAAGAAGATTTTATTCAGGACCTACTTAATCACTGAACTAGAAAAATCATCATCCAAGCATGATATTAACGAAGTAATTTGAACACAATCGAGGTGACAACCTATCAGCAACCAAAATGCAAACGATCGATAAAATTGAAGTACCCGTCCTTTGGAGAACAAGGAAAGCCCCAGATTAACACATGACTCCGCCGTGGGGGCGCCGACTTCCGGCGAAGTTGAAGGAGGCGAGGATGGAGAGCAATGGGTAAGCTTCGTGTAATCGACTGAGGACCACAGCGAAGAAGAGGGAAGTATTTTGCCGCCGAGAAACCACGTTCTGGTAATTAGCAAGGAAGCTGCAATTGGGAGCGAAGAATGGGCAAAGTAGCGGCGGAGACAATGGTGGCGGGGCGGTGCAAAGGTTGCCGCGGCCATGGAGAATTCATGGACTGTATTTTCAGATTATCCTCAATGGTATCGTCGCGCCGTCGCCATTAGAATTTTCATTTTCATTTTTATATTTATTTTTATATTTATTTTTATGTTCTATACCCAATATGCATTCTTTAAATGAGCCAGCCCCATACCCGTTTATTTTTGGGCTTTTATTATCTTAGCCCATTTGAAGTTTACACTTTTTTGGGTTTAGATAAGACACTATGCTTAGACCATTAACCAGCTTAGAAAGCCCAATACGATTATTAAAAAAATTATAAATAATATTCTAAAAAATATCATCCAACAAATACGCTACACATATAATAAAATTTAGGGAAAAAATTAATTCTAGTTTCAATATGATTTTGATCACAGTATGAAAATTTTATCAATTTTAGTTTTATTATAAACTAGTTCAATCAATTGGTCATTTTATAAACTATTTCAATCAATTTTGGTGTCACCGTTAAAAAATTAATGGAAATTGCTGACATGGACACAACGGAGGTGATGTGACAGCTGACCTGGAAACTACACGGCCATATATATTTCAGTGTATAATTATATATGACCGCGTTGTTACACGGCCATGTATAATTTTACACGGCCGTGTACATTTCTGTTTAAAATTTTATTTTTTTGTTATAGTTTTTTTTTTAAAAAAAAATTATTTTGAATTTAAAATAGTTGATATAGTTAAAATAGACAAAATCAATACTAATCATAATATAATTAAAATTTATCAATCTTAAATCAAATATAAAAAATTATAAGATATACTCTTTTGAAATATTTTGTCTAAAATTCTATTATTATAAAAAAATTTCCTCTTACAAACATCAAATTACACAACTATTTTTTAATTTTGTATATTATAGTAGTATTAAAAGTTAACTTATTATTTCAATACAATAATTGGATGTTTGTAAGATAAATTCTTTTAGGGTGTGTTTGTTTAGAGATTTTCCCCCAAATACACTATTCATCCAATTTTTTCTCCCCAAAAAATAACAAATAAAACACTTTCTTTTTTTTTCATTTTTTTATATTATACTAAAAATTAATTTTACATTCAAAACATCATATCAACACTTATTTACTCAATCCGTTCCATATCTATGTATCCATTTGCTTTCTGCACGGAGTTTTAAAAATATTAGTATTATATTTGGATAAAGTATAAATAAAGGTAAAAATACTAAATTAACCCTATTAGTATTGTATGATATAAATGTAATGACATTTGTGTAATATATTGTAAATTAGACAAGTATTTGCAATGTTAAGTAAATAGTGCAATTACTAAAAAAAGAAATTGATATTTTGTTATGAGACGGACTAAAATGGAAAAATTGATAGATTGTTAAGGGACGAAGAAAGTATATCAGATCATGGAACTAAAATTCAAAAATTTTTCCTATTCAAATCCCAATTCAAAATCCAAACCCCAAAACAAACACACCCTTAGTAAATAGTACTAGAATTTTAGACAAAATCTTCCAAAACAACATACTCGATAAATATTTATATTTGAACTAAAATTGATATATTTTCATTATATTATGATTATATTGATTTTTTCCATTTTAACTATATCAACTATTCTAAATTCAAAAAAATATATATATATAACAAAAAAAGAAAATTTTAGACCAAAACATAAAGGTACGGCCGTGAAGAATTATACATGTCCGTGTAACAACATGACTACGTATAATTATACACTGAAATATATATAGCCATGTAACAAAATGGTCGTGTAACAATATGATCATGTATAATTATACACTGAAATATACATGGTCGTGTAGTAACATGACCATGTATAATTATACATCGAAATATACATGACCGTGTAACAACATGGCTGTGTATAATTGTACATGACCGTGTAGTTTCCAAGTCAACTGCCATGTCACATCCATTATGTCTACGTCAGCAATTTCCGTTAATTTTTTAACGGTGGGACCAAAATTGATTGAAATTGTTTATAGTTGGACCAAAATTGATTGCAATAGTTTATAATGAGACTAAAATTGATGAGTTTTTTATATTTAGACCAAAATTGATAAATTTTGGTTATATTGAGACCAAAATTGGTTTTTTCTCCTATTATAAAAAAATAATAATATATACATATTAATATAATATTATATGTTTATTTACAAAAAAAAAAAAAAAAAAAATCAATAAAACTAAAACAATATTAAATTAAGATAACTTTATGTTTCTTTTGCCCAAAACCCCGATTTTTACTATTTGGACGATGTGTTTCTCGAAAAAAATATATTTTTTTCTCTCACAAAATATCTCATCATAAAATATTTTAATATCAAACTCAAATTAAATTTTTTTCAAACTTATTTAAAGAAACATACCAAAATATATTGTTTTTTAATAAAAAATATGAAATTGAAATATTAATTGATCAAAATTTAAATTAAAAACTTAAAATCAAACCAAAATCGAACACACCCTAATATTTGTGTTTATATAACATTTTAATATATAAAAAATAATACTCCTTATATCCAACCAAAAAAAAAAAAAATCTATTTTTTTTTTCATCAGTTTTATCCATTTTTTCTTTTTTCTTTAGAATTGTATTATTAAGTACAACACAAAAAATATTTTTACAATCTTTCATATATTGCACAAAAAGATCCTTGATGGAGAGCATATGTGTGGTTTTTAATAAGAGCAGACTACACAACTGCTTAAACCCCTAATTTACCAAGATCCATATTTTAAAATTTTAACATGTTACTATTAGATACATTAGGGTGTGATTGTTTGAAGCATTGGATTTTAAATCCACTATTCATCCAATTTTTTTTCCCTAAAAACATCAAATCAAACACTTATTTTTTATTTTTTATATTATACTAAAAATCAATTTTACATTCAAAACATAACATCAAAACCTATTTATATCACATCATACAACTATTCAAATTCAAAATTTTTACTATTCAAATCTCAACTCAAAATCCAAACCCCCAAACAAACACATTTCATAAATATTTTTCTATAATTCATTCTATTTTAATTCTAAAATTAAAAATTTAAACTCTAATTAAATATTTTTTAATATCAGTATCTATCTTTTACCGTCCCTCCTCGTCTTCTAAAATTTTCTAAAAATTGCATAAAATTTCTTTGTAATTTTTAAAATATGCACATGATCCCTTAAAAAAGATATTTTGTGCAATATTTTGAGAACATAAATTAATTTAATGTAATTTTTAAATTAAGAGGGAGAAAGGTGAATACTTCCAAACAATAGTGAGAAGTATTTTTGCCTAAAATATTTATTAATTTTAAATATATTTGACATCTATTCAATAACAATTTGAAGCGTGAAAAAAAATGGATTACAAGCGATGTTCCGTTTAAAAAAATAAAAAATAAAAAAAATCTCAAGTAATTCGATTCGTTTTACAAGAATGATAATATGATATAAATAAGGTAAAATTGTTTATAACTCCCTGGTGATTTCAAAATTCAACGTAAAATCTCCTTGTACTTTAAAAATTGCACGGTACCTCTTTATATTTAAAAAACGTTAGAAGATGATTTTCTATCTATATGTTTTGCATGACAGGGGGTTTTATGCAATATTTTTGAAAGTATAAGCGAGCGTCATGTAATTTTTTAAAGTAAAATGGAAATTTACGTTGAGTTTCGAAATCACAAAGTGGTTTCATGCAACATTTTTTAAAATATAATGGGACATCATGCAATTTTTAAAGTAGAGAGGAAATTTACGCTGAGTTTCAAAACCACAAGGGAGTTACGGACAATTTTGCCTATAAATAAAGAAGAGACAATCATCTATCTCATATTCTAAGGACGAGGATAATGAATATTCTTAATAGATAAGAGAATTTTCAACACTTTACTGGATGCCCCAAAATCCATATGTATGTATAGCCATCATCCAATATTCTTTACTTTTCCAATTTTCTTTTTTTGGCTATTATCATCTCCACAAAATTTTGATGGATCTTTTCCACTAGAAATGGAATTCAATTCTGCATGTAAAATCATTCACCTACCTTTGTTTGGTATGGACCATCAAGAAACAGACAAAGGAAAGATCACAGATAATCACAAAAGACAGAATCACTACAAAGAATGCCTTATTTTTACCACACAAAAAAGTGATCATGTCATTAACCATTCAAGCTATAAGCTAAGTCAAGAATTCGATCCATCAAAGGGCAAAAAGGAAACTATTCTAGCCTTTCAGGTTTCCCTCGAGTCACAAGTAGTTACTCTGACTTGCCGATATTTCATATATTTATAACAAATTTATAGCCCATAAATGACAGTCAAAAGCCATTTTTTCCTAAGTTCGACCAATCAGAGAAGGTTCATAAACTTTAAAAACTAAATGAAATATACTGATATTAAATGATGAACCGTATGCAATGGCAATAGAGAAAACATCTTGTTATTACATTATATCGCCATTTCTATCATGCAAAGATTGTATTATTAGACGATCGAGCAATCACTTTCATCATCACAGTAGTAACTATCATGTCGATCAATAAGTGGCAGATAATTTCGATGGCCTAAGTATGTGTAAGAATGCATGGGCAAAGTATAATAATATGCAGAAGTAAGACTTGCCGTAGGTGGTGTAGTGTTGTAACTCATCCTGTAATCTGGAGAAGCATAGTAGGAGTGCGGGTATGGCGAGATTTGCAGACATGGAGGATTTGTACTGGTTTGATCAGCAGGTTTGCCGGAGGTTTCTGCCGGCGGCGGAGCTCCTCCAGTGTTTGCACCTGTTGGTTCACCACCACCATTTGGCAAAGTAATGTTTACCTTTTTCTTTTTCTTTTTCTTCTTCTTCTTCTTCCCACCAGCTCCTGCTCCGGCACCACCTGGAGCACTACCCTGAGCTGCAGGGGCCTTTTCGCCACCACCATCATCGCCAGAGGTTTCGTCCATCTCCCTGTCATCATCATGTCCAGTTTGATTTTCCTTTCCAGCACCATTTCCTGTAGGAGGATTGTCAGGTTCCTCATTTTTTTTGTCATCGAAACTATCTTCTGTCCACAGATTGGCGCGTTTCCCTGACTTCACCAGCTTCTTGATCAATATATTGGCGTCCACATTTCCCTTAACGGTTACTTTGTGCTGTTTTGGATCTATATGTATTGTATATACCCCTGATTGATACAGAAAACTGGGAAATTAAAAATATGGAAGAAAAGAGCATATGGACAAAACTCAGCATTCGAAGAAATCCAACAAAGTGAGAAACAAACAAGCATCTCAACATATATAGTTATATACACATATTTCAGCCATTATTATATTCTATTATCATGTTACCTTCGATGGATTGGAGCACTTTCTTTACTTTCTTCATGCAACCCCCACAGTGGATAGACACTCTTAACGTCCATGTCTGCAGACAAAATTGTATAAACTAACTCAGGTTGTGCATATTGATAATCATACAACTACAAGTTGAGATTGAACAGAATACCTGGTATTGGAGGGGTGGTTCGGCGCCATCACCACCAACCTGTGCTTGTTCCATCCAGGTTGAGTAAAGAGAAAAGAGGGCAGTTTTGGGAGTGAGATGAGGGAAAGGGGAGAGCCCACTTGGCCTAGTGGTTGCTTCAGTGGAGGGAGGTGTAGTTGGATTTAACTATTGAGTACCGAGAAATAAAGCAGAAAAGGGGTGAAAAGACTGATCTAAATCTGGACTATGTAAGACAAACCAGAAACACAAGTTAAGTTCCCTCATGACTTGACATTTTATTAATCTCTATGATCGTTTCATTAATGTGCCTATACCAGCTGTTTGTGCAATTATTCTCAGTTGATGAAGGACATTGAACAAAACTGATCCAGAAACAGTTACTCAAACCTGCTACCACATAACATCATATACAACCAAATAATGTATATATTAACTAATTTCTATTAGAACTTCAATGGACATTGTAAATAAGGGGGACAAATTATTGTTGATACTATGATATTGAACTATCAAGTTCTCACCCAGTTTCATGTAGTGTCCACTGCTAACATTAACCAGTATTCAGTTCTGGGGTATCCTGAGAAATATATAATCTTCATACTAGTCAGTGAACATTACTAGGACAATTTTTATTTCAGGGGCAACTAGGATTCTATGATCCAAACACCATAGCTCAAGGGGCATTATTTTGAAGGGTATTAACATTTGGAAATTGGAAGTAAATAAATTGCAGTAAAATATATACCAACAAAAGAAATAACAAGTATCTACCTCAAAAGGTTGAAAGGGGATGGAGTATAAACAATATGGTATCACCATGGAAATACTGAAGTATCAATGGTATGGATCCTGAAAAACAAATAAATCTAGAAAAAAATTGAACTTTCTGTATTGCTGATCACTATCAAGCCTGAAAAAAATACCAAAAGGGTTCACCTCTCAAGTTTTCATAAAGATCTAATATATTTATTAATTCCCTAAATTGACAAGTAGAATTGTATATAGCATGCTTTGATCATCTACTTTTAATAGCACAATGCAAGATATAAGCCAATATTTTACAATGAACTGCAGCATGCAGGAACACTATCCTTCCAGTATATTACGCAATTTCCTACAAAATATCTTTAGGTTACTGAATGTAAGGCAAAATGAGTAGACAACCTTCTCTAGTTTCTGGCAGCATGACATGGGTGTCCCACCAAATCATAAGATTATTCATAGATCATGATGTATTTCCTACTACAGCAATTTAAACAAAAGCTTGTTACTAAACGCCGACCCTAATTATTATCCCACATCACATGCAGTAATCTCAAAGCAATAGAAAATATGTGCTGCACTGCAGTCACCCAGGTAAAATTTCTTTGGTGAATTCAGAAACAACTCCAGTATTCATGAAGACCTACATAGATAACTAGCCCTCATCACTCATGATAACGGTGACAGCATACTTACAAAAGCTTAAATTCCACAACACTTTATATATGATATATTCACAATCTCCAAGTTCATACCATTGTCTTAACAATGTAAAACCCATGTAGCACATAGAGAGCCAAAATTAACCATAAGCCCAAGAAGAATTATGAAATGTGTGGTAATATAATGTCATTCAAAGCTACAAAGCTTTCCAGCATACGACAATGCCCAAGAGTATAGAGATGAGTGATGCGAGAACTCCATCTCTAGACTTCATAAACTCCATCCACGTCAGAGGCTCCTTGACATTCAGTATTACCTCTTTGAAGTGATCGCTCAGTTCTTCAAGGGATCCTGTGTTATCAATCACAATATCTGCTTTTGTCTTTTTCAGATCCAGAGACATCTGAGCATTGATCCTACTCTCTGCCTCTTCAACTGTCGTTCCATCTCTTGACATAAGCCGCTTAAGTTGAGTCTCAGCATCAACCCAGACCACAATAATAGGATGAGTCCACTTGTCCATCTTGGCCTCAAACAACAGGGGTACATCAAGCACAATTCTTTTACAACCTTTTATCCACAGCTTGAATACTTCCAGGAGAATCCCAGATGAAATATAAGGGGCCAGTAACCTGCAAAGAACTAATTTATGAAATCAAAATATCATGTATTTTTTGAAACCTTCTTATATACTTACTATATAGGAAATAAAATAATAATTATAATCTACCAAAAGCAGAAACATATAATAAAAAAATGAAGAAAACAAGATAATGCTGTTGTTGAATCACTCTATTAATGGCAACTTCTACAGTTGTCTCTGGAGAAGTTTAAGATATTAATCTATTGACTTCCCATAATTTCTTTTTGAAATGCCTATATCAAGAACTCAAGTAATGTGCAATGCACAATATATAAACAAATAGATTATCACAGCAATGCTGATTATGCGTTACGTGAAGTATATCTGTAACAGCACAATAAACTTTCACCATAGTCAACATAGAAGTAGCATATCTTCATTCAATGTGAAGCTTGATCACCAAAGTAAATGGCTACATTAGTTAAAAACAATATTCATCCGACTGTAACAACTTCCATCCAGATTATCGAGGATTAGATATCCAAAACAAAGGACCCATTTTCCAACACCTCACTTGACGTCGTACAAGAGAGAAATTTCAAGAAATGTGATCATTATCGTCTATCTAATAACAAAATTAATCGAAAACGCAGTGAGTAAAACTCATAACTTGTTAAGTAGCCGCCGCTTATCAGGATCATTAAACACAATTTGCCCCAGCTTCGCTCGATCGACTTCTCCATTAGGAAGCAAGATCTCATTCCCAAATGCAGCAACCACTTTCCTCCATCCACCCGTGCCTTTCTTCAGAACATTCTACAACTCCAAAAAAAAAACAAAAAACACAAATGAGTATAAATTACGTAATAAAACAAAGAGAGCAGAGCGCTTCAGAAAAAAAATAAATAAATAAAAAATCAATTCATAAACTAGAGAAAAATTCGAGCATACGCGAGCAACAACGTCGGCATCCACTACGGGAACACCATGAGATTTGAAGAGATTTGAAACTGTGCTCTTGCCCGAGCCTATTCCTCCGGTCAATCCCACTATCCTCATCTACAATTCCTAAATCCAAAATCTGATCCGCCGTCGATCTCGTCGACCACGCACTCTCTCCGGAGGCGTTTTCTCCTCTGACCAGAGCTAAACCACTACGGACATTTTGGGCCGACAGATAAAGGTTTTAAAATAAAGATCAGCCCATTTGTATTATTGGGCCTAATTGGGCTTCATAATTTAAGCCCAATAATCAAGTCCAATAATATCGTTTATTTTGATAAATCGCAGCCGTCCGATTGTCAAAGCGCATCTGGTGTAGTGGTATCATAGTACCCTCCCACGGTACTGACCGGGGTTCGATTCCCCGGATGCGCATTTTGCCGCTTCAACACGGTTCTCAACACGCCCGTGTTGAGCTAATGATTTTTGCATTCCTTGTTCCTTCAATTCAATTTTCCATCAATGCTATACGTTTACTGCCTGTGAGCAGCCATTGGTGCCTAAGGAAATGGGTGCTGCAAGAATCGTTCATCTCCTGACGGGTTGCTGCAAAACGAAGTCGCACGCGCAACAAGTACTGGCGCAGATACTCGCCGGGAATCTCCGTTCCGACTCCACCGTCGCCTACAGTTTCATCTCCGCCTGCGACGCCTTGAACCTTCTCAGCTCAGTCGCCTTCCCTCTTTACATAAACAGCATCACAAAGCCCCACACTTTCGTCTGCAACGCGCTTCTGCGAGCCTACTCTCATTCCAGCGTTCCTCGAAAATCTCTAATTGTATACTCCCACATGAACAGGAATGCAATTGGTGTCAATCATTACACTTTCCCGTTTGTGCTCAAGGCTTTGGCGGACTTGAGGGTGATCGAAGTGGGGAAATCGGTGCATTCCCAGGTAATTAAATTAGGTTTCACGAACGACGTTTATGTTGGGAATTCTTTGTTGAATTTGTACGCTGCAAGTGGGGATATGTTTCTGTGCGGGAAGGTGTTCGACGAAATGCCTCTGAGAGATGTGGTTTCGTGGACTGTTATGATCTCTGGGTATAAAGAAGCCGAGAGGTTCGACGATGCATTGATTGCTTTCGAGAAGATGAGAAGCCATGGAGTGATGCCTAATCAAGTAACTGCAGTGAATGCATTGCCTGCTTGTGGTGCTCTGGGGGCATTGGATATGGGCATATGGATCCATGACCATGTAAGAAGGAATGGCTGGGAACTGGATGTGATTTTGGGCACTGCCTTGATAGATATGTATGGAAAATGTGGTCAAATCGACGAGGTGATCAGCGTGTTCGAGGACATGAGTGAGAAGAATGTGTTCACTTGGAATGCAGTGATTATGGGGTTAGCTCTATCGAAGAATGGAAAGGAGGCTATAAAGTGGTTTCGAAAGATGAACGAAGAAAGGGTTTGTCCCGATGAGGTGACTTTAATTGCAGTGCTGTCGGCATGTGTTCATTCAGGTTTTGTGCATATGGGGCGACGGGTATTTGCCTCACTCTTAGTTGGGAGATATGGATTTAAACCTAATGTTAAGCATTATTCATGCATTGTTGGTCTTTTGGCGCGTTCGAATTGTTTGGACGAGGCGGTTAGGGTGATAAAGGGGATGCCATTTGAGCCTACCGTGAGCGTATGGGGGTCAGTGCTTTTGGGCTCTAGAGCATTTGCAAACTTTGGATTGAGTGAACTTGCAGCTTGGAAGCTTGTGGAGTTGGAGCCACAGAGATCTGCTCATTACGTCGTGTTGTCTAATTTGTATGCGGACATGGGGAGATGGAGTGATGTAGAGGAAGTTCGGAAATTAATGAAAGACAGAGGACTTACAAAGGATATCGGTGGCAGCAAAATTGAAATGGAGAATAATCAGGAGGATTCCCTTTTGGTAGCCATTTGATGGATGTCTATCAATCTGATGCTGAAGATTTTGTGAGGTATATATATAAATATAGTGAAAAGGAAGTTATCTGTTTGATCATATTATGCTTGATGAATCAAGAAAAGAAAAGTCTGAAGGGATCTTTTCATATTATTTGCAAAAGTAGTTCTGTAGATGATCCATTGATAACATCTAAATCAGGAAGATGTATAGTAGCCTCCACTGATTCTTGATCTTCGAAACCAAATTGATGTATAAAGTGAGAGGTTCATTTCATCCTAGTTGATTGCATTTAAATTTTACATATTTATGTGAATATTCTTGCTAAAAGCTGAAAAGGGGATGATTTAGCAACAAATTTTTATAGAAACACTGCTATAACAGGCTAATACAGTGAAATAATTCATTCTTTAATTTGAAATGGAGCTGAAATTTGTGTGTTACATACAATAAGAATTATTCTGTTCTGATTCACAGAGTTGGTGCATTGGCCAGAACTGTTTGAGGTGCTAACTTTTATAGGAATTGTTTTCATTTCCTTGTCATCAATTATTGATTAAATTACCTAATTTCTCTTTTTGGGTGCTTTTTTATTTTAATAGGAATAAAGTTCTTTGCAAAAGATAAGGCAGGCCAACTTATTCCCTACCCCAAAACTGATGACTTCCACAAAAGGTTAGCCAACTAGTGATATTATAATTGGTTATCCGTATTTTCTTTCTTTTTACAATGTGAACTTTAGAGGAAAAGTTTCTTATTGCAAGCACTTCAAATTATGGAATAAACCACAGGAATATTGGGATTTTGATAACTCGGCAAATAGGGAAACATATTGATGGAAAAATGGATGGCAAAGCAAGCATTGTTGTTGTTAATGGAACAGTAAACCTTCAAAGTGAACACAAGAAAGGAAAGAGAATCCACTCTCTAAAGGTATTAGCCATAATTTGCAGCAGTCTTCATGCCTTAGGCCCTCCAAGAACCTTCTGAGTTGCGGGTCGCCCCAAGATATTGGCAACCCACGCGCTGACATGAGGGCGCTCCTCGAACACGGTCTTGTACTTGGTTTTCAACAAGCTGTTAATGACAGGGATGTGATGAAGATCAGCCAGGGAGTAATTGTCTCCTCCCAAGTACTTGGATTCGGCAAGCCGGGCTTCATACACATCAAGAACCTTGCCAAGCTGGCCTTTCAGCTGCTCGGCTACATCCTCATCCGGAGTCATGCCCTTGAGTGGCTTCACCACAATCTCAAAGTTGAGCTTTGAACCTGCAGCTTCAAATTTCTGGGATTCAACTTCAATCCAGACTCCAATTATAGCCATCTTCTTTACATCGTGATCGATCAGCGGAGTTCCCTTGTCGGCGTATGCATGTGCAATGTAATGGGTAATAGCCCTTGATTCTGCAGTGCAAAAAAGATTAACAATTTACCAAATCATAAACTGATTGAAATCTTTCTTTTTTTGTTTTTTTCTGCAGAGCTTTTAGGGAATGAAGATGAATTAATTACCAAAGAGCTTCAAGTCACCATCTTCAAAACCAGGAACCTGACCAAATGGCTGCCGATCAACAAGAAAAGAGGTAAGATCAAAGAATCATTCATAAACTTTGTGATTAAAGTGATGATGATGGATTTACATTGAGTGAAATGAAGGGCTCCTCCTTCTGTTGGCCGGTGGTTAAATCTATATGAACAGATTCATACTCCAACCCTTTCTCTGCTAAGCAGAGAAGAACTCTCTGTGCTGCTATGGAGAAAGGATGGCCGTGGACTTTGATTCCCATCACTGTTGATTGATCGATTGATTGAATAGTGTAAGATTATATTATATGAGGAAATTATTAGGATACGATATGGACATGGAAGGCTTATATACTAATAGAGGAGAAGACTTTCAGTAAAGGAGGCTTCTAGAACTTCACCTACCAGATTGTACATATTTTGCTAAACCTACCAGAGTTATAAAAATAAGTATGTATTTATATATAGCTACTCGAAATGTGTACGTTGGGTGTCAAATATTTATGAGTTTGTTCGGTTGGTTGTGCTTTTAGTATATTTTAGAAATAAATAAATAAATAAATAAATTATAATAGATGATTCTAGAAATTTATGTTTTAAGACACAACCAAACAAACACTTTAGCTATTTATAATGTGAAGGTAAAGAAATCATGGAATTGGATTTGGCACAAATACAGAGTAGGGATTGAATTTGGCACAAATACAGAGTTTGTGGATGGGTGGTTACCTTAACCACTAGCATTTATATTGAAACTCGGTTATTTATTTATTTATTTGTATTATAAAAAAAATTATTTTTTACAAAAATAATATTCATATTGCTATATAATTTTTAAAATATTTAAATATATATTTTAAAAATTTTATTCACATATATTATATTTACTTTAAAACTATCAATATTATTAATTATATAAAAAATAATATCATAACTCAATATTAATATATCCTAATAAAAAAGTTCAACTATAAGGGGCGGAGGGAGAATTTATTTAACAATATTAGAATATATTTTATTTATAAAATATTATAAATACTTAACTGTTTACTTTTCTTAGGAAAAAAAAAATCCAATATAAATTTTATAAATATCCAAGTTTGCCCATTGAATGCAAGATATTGGCATGAAGCATGATGACCATTGTCATCAAGAGTTGGTATTAAAGGCTAATTTAGAAAGAAAACTAACAAAGGCAGGGCGGCAATAGCAATAATACTATGTTTTCTGGATAAAATGGAAATTGTACAGGGGTTTCTTTTTTTTTTTTTTTCTTTTCTCTAATATTATTTTTGTCCCACATTTTTTTCACAATTCAGTACCGAATAACTAACCAGAACCAGATTCAGACTATTAATCAAATTTACACGGATATTTACATAAATCAGAATCCATAAATCCACAGGGAGAGGGAGAGGGAGAGGGAGAGATGATGATACAAATAAGGAAACACAGACACTGCTTCTTGTTTATTGCTAAAATGGTTCTTCAGGATTGAGGAAGTTATGATACTCCAACTGCGCCATCTCCCCTCCCGTTGCTGGATCGAACTTGCATCGGTAGAAACTGCAAAAAAATCCCATTCCAGAGTATTACATAAATAAACAAGGATCCAGAAAACAACTTCATGTTTCGCTGTTGGTAATCACTACTAGATAAGGGCATAGCAAATTTTTTGACAAATCAACACAGCACGATGGCTAGCACACTGACCTTCCATCCAAACCAAGAATTACCACTGTATCTTTCTGGTGACCAAAAGCAACATTGTATTGGCAGCCTTCCGGCAAACGAAACTGAGCTACAGACCATTCCGAGCTAAAATATTTTGGCAACACTCCTTCCAAAATAAACAACTCATTTAGTCAAAAGAAAACACTGAAAAATGTCTTACTTCCTAATGTAAACTAATTAATCCCAGGGAGTTGATTTTAGCAGCGGATACAGCCCACCAAATGATAGTGGAATATTGTTAGTATGAAAAGGAAAAGCCATCATTAGGAAAAAAAACATATATACATATAATATAATATAAGTCAGCAGAAGAAGGCTAAACGATAGAGAGATTCGGAATGGGCAATGCAAGAGATGCCACACCAAACTTAGGACCACGGCTAACATGCAATAGTTTAAAAGGGTGAAAATACTGTGATGCCAACTAAAATGCAACCAATATGCAATTGAAGTTCTTATGGCTCAAAAAGACACAACATATGAAAATTCATTTATAAATAGGTAAGCAATTAGGCTTAATTAGTAGTTCATTTTTTCAAATCTTTTTATTCCACATTTCGAAAACAGGGAAAGCAGTAATTCAAATATTCCCTTTATGAGCCATATGTGTCTTCATGATTTTAGCAGTAATGTTTGAAATTCATCTGCTTTAGTACATGAAGGGTGGGCAAATACTTTAGGGTAGTGTTTATTTGTGAAATTTTGATTTTGGATTTTGGTTTTGAATAGTAAAATTTTGAATTGAAATAGTTGTTTGACGTGATATAAATATGTATTGATGTGATGTTTTGAATGTAAATTAAATTTTAGTGTAATATAATAAATGAAAATTAAGTGTTTGATTTGATGTTTTTGGAGGGAAAGAATCGTTGGAATAGTAAAATCAAAAACAAAATTGCACAAGTGATTATGATAGATAATATTCAACATAATCACATATTTACTATAATTAATTAAAACTCAAGATTAATTAAAGCCTGCTATAATAATACACTAATTAAGGTCTATCTAGATGGGTGGGATTAATTTATCCCAAATATTATTTGTACTAAAGTTTATAATATCCTACATTTAATCAAGCAAAGTAAACATGATATTAATCACTAGAAATTATAATCCTATCCTATATTTAAGCGCAACCATAGTGTATTAAAACATTCGACAGAAAATAGTATAGCAGTACCTTTAATGAAAGACAGCGAGGAACTAGAACCCATAGAAGAAGGATTTCGATCAGGACTGTTTGACCTCTCATTGCCAACTTCTCCGGAATTTGCCTTAAGAAGAAATACGTGAATGGTACCTTTATCACTTGAGACTGCCAGCCATTGGGCTGTAGGTGAGAATGCTAAGCTATGTATTTCTGCCCTGTCGGCTCCCCTCCTCACCTGTGTTACATTTCAGTTTCAAATTTTTGGATCGCACATAACATATAGCATAAAATGGCTCCCACATAAAAAATCTTGACTAAAATGATAAAAAGAATAATTCGTCAGAGACAAGTTCTGTCTAATACTCTGAACAACTTAACTCACAAAAGTCTTTAGGAATGATTGTTAATTGATTTAACAAAGAAGAAATTTTCAGATTTACAAAGGATGGAAAACATCTAGTATTTGGCCATTACTCAGCAGGAATAGTATTTCCATTTAAGACACAGATAAACATGGGTAATAAGATAATGGAAAATGGTTATGGGCTGCCACACATTTTAACGGAAACTGCTGGTATAGTCAACTGTATCTTGTGATAGAAACTGGGTTTTCAGTATCACAGGCTCCCACTCCATCTATCCCATCTTTTTAGATAAGTCAGATATTCCGTTTTTTGCCACAAGCAGGATAGTATTCCTTCAAATAGTAAGTAGAATGGAAAACAGCATCCAAATTCCAAAACCAATGTTGTAACACCAAGTCAATATATTAAGCCACAATGTTATTCCAAGCTTTGGAGTTGCCAAAACAATGCAAATACACATACATGTATATGTATATGCATATTTTACCCATGAGTATGCCCGTTACTCAGGGAGAGCAGGGGCGTGCATATGTACTGTTACATTTGAGAGAATTTCTGAGTTGATATTAAAAATAAAATCAGGGTCATGCAATTCGCTCGCTTAGGGAAGAGCGGATGGAAAGAGGAAGCCTTTGCTCTATCTGCTTCTTCCTCTTCCCAGGAATGAACAATTGGATCAAAAAAATGAGCGGCAAAACAAACAAGACAGAAGCCAGTTATCATTATTAAGAAAATCTATTATTGGTTAGTAAAGAACACAAACGAAAGGAGAAGAGCCTATTCTCTGTCTATTCCGTTTAGGGAATGGGTCTCGGTTTTAGCGATATTCGTTCCTTCTCTCAGTCGAAAGGGCTAAATTCAAATAATTACAACTTAATCTAGTAGGTATATCAATATAACAATAACCTAATCTAATAGATATGCCTAAATAATAATTATCAACTCTAACTAATATTAATCAAAATATCTAATAGATATGCCTAAATAATAATCATCTAAATTTTTGCCTAAGACAACACATTGAATTATTTAGCCACTAACTTCACACCATCAACCATAGTAGCTCAAATAGCCACACAGCATAGGTACAAGTACCTGAAGATCAGGTGTTTTTAAGGAATGTATCTGATAAGAACTGATTTAGGATAATTGGTGAACAAAGATTGGTCTCCAGAGACTGTCCAAATTACTATCTGTCATGTTTGAAAAAACCTCACAGGCATCTCCTACTAAACTCATGCTGACATTTATTGAGCAAGAGATACACATGATTACAACACCACCTACTTCAATTTTCAGACTAACACTTCTGGGCATCCATAACTTAAGAGCTTCATGTTCCACAGAGCTAAAAGGCAATCCCTGAATAGATAATATCTGATAATCCCTTTGGGAGCATCCAAATCTATACTCGTTTTTCTTGTAACTGTCATACAAATATTCTTATTTCTCTTTTTAGTAAAAAATTGTACTCCTCCATCCGAAATCAATCTATGCATTTTGCCATTTCATCTGTCCTAAATCAATCTTCAATTTCCCTTTTTAGTAATTATATTTCCCACACAACTTAAAAAAAAAAAAAAAAAAAAAACAAAAAAAAAAACAAAAAAAAATCCTTACATTTTACATATTATTACAATAATATCGTCAACTTACATATAAAATACTATTGAAATTTGAATGATATAATTGTCCATTAACCCCCCTATATCACTACATAGATATAAATTACTAATATTCCCAAATTTACATGCAAAAAGTAAGGGTATAGACACATCGGACGAAGTGAGTATTACTTTGTGTATTTTTTTTTTAAAGATAAAACCTATGTCCAAATGCACACATGTTTCACGGAGGTAGCACATAATAATCCACTACCATACAAAGTTTCTCCAACTTAAAGCAAACAATATTGAGGAAAACGAAATAAAGCAAAACTAGCTCAAAGTCTCAAACTCATTAACATAGTAACATACCATTATCAAAGAAAGCACAAGAAAACATCAAAATTATATTATCAAGTAAAAACAATTGTAGATATACCTCCTGCAGCAAACTTCCATCATGAGTATTGAACACCCGAATCAGTGTCCCCTTACTGCTGGCAGTGGCCAACAGATTCCCATCCTGGGAGAGCGCAAAGCAGGCAATTCTTGAATCATGAGCCATTATAAATTTAGTCCTCTTCGATGCATAATGCTCAACCCTAATCTGGCCCTTCTGCAACCCAGGACAAACCAACACAAACGATCCTGCAACCTGAGACACTGTGCAAAGCCCCTTAGGATTCAAAAACGTTTCAATCTGATGCAGCAGCTTCAAATCTGCAAAATTGTACACAAAAATCTTCTGCTCAAGAACAACAACGATTCGATCCCTTCTCAATCGAACCCCACGCACTTCAGACCTAAAGGATAATTCCCCAATACACCGGCTCTGATGATCGTCCCATATCATGACCTTGTTCAACGGATACTGCGGCGAATCGCCGCCGCCGACTAAAGCAAGGATGTTACATCGGAACAGCATCTCGACAGCGCCAATTCCGCCGCCGTTCCCGTCGAAGGAGCGCCGGAAAATCTCACGGAAAGGGTCGCAGTTGTAGATTAGGAATCCTCGATCAGTGCCAGTGGCAAAACATCCAAAATCCTGGTTGAACGAGACGTGGAGGAGCTTGATTTGGTTAGGGCTAGGGCTAGGGCTTGGCTGCGGACTCAAGTTCGGGTTCGGGTTCTGTATAGTTTTATCTCCGTCGGATTCGCCGTCGCCATCGACGGAGGAATCGCCGGCGCGGTCAAGCCCGCCGCCGCGATCGGACCCGTCGTCCGGTTGAATCCCCAGCTGCTGCTGTTCGAGGTACGGCTGGAGCATTGGGTTGATGAAATTAGAATTGGGGGTAGGGTTAGGGTTGGGAGGGGAGAAGCCGGAGAGAGTGGCCATGGGAAGGAAGACCAAAACTGGGGAAGGGAATTGATACGATGGAGGCGAAGGAGGGGGTTGGGGGCAGAGTCGACCAGACTGAAACGACGCTTATACCCTCAGGGATCTAGCTTTCCGGAAGGGCAAAATGGTAATTTAGTGGAGGAGTAGGAGTCGGCATATATATGTGTACTTGTCTCCTTCCTTGGGTGCGTTAATTAGAGGCCACGTAATGTGGTTTTAATACGGCTTTAACCACACGCAACGGCTGGGTATGCAGCAGGAAGTCCATGGACCCCACATCCAGATGCATCCACACCGTTGATTGAATGCAAGATCCAGGATCGATCCGCGGTCCATGGTCTTCAACTCCCTAACAGAGTAAAAATAATTTACTCTTATCAATCTGTTCATCAGTTATAACTGATTCTATTGTAGACGACCTGTCAGGTTTTGATTGGGGAGAAATATGAGCACAAAAGTATCGGTTCGTCTTTACCCTTCACCCGCATCTCCTTCCTGATCAAGAAGATAGCATAGCAAATAGCAATTAATACCAACGTCATCATTTCAGCATATAGACACCAATAACAACATGCAAGATTTATATCAGCATAACACAAATGTATAACACATAAAAATTGTCACCACTAATACATAATCTTCGTCCTAATTCAAAATACTATTTATACTATTTTTGTTTGTCTCACTTAAAAACATTCATTTTATTTTTTAATAAAAGTAATCATACATTAATACCGGCAAAAAAGTAGAGCAAAAATGTCAAAAAAAATTTCACACTTCCGCTAACCAATAAAATGCTGCTACTTCTATCCGGCTCTAAGAGTCACGTTTAATATTGTAATATTAATTATTATATCCAAATATAATATGCAATAAATAAAAAATGACAAAAATAATTCTATCAGTATTTTATAATAATAATAATAATAAGATATTTGTACAAAAAAATTATACAAATATAAAAATATTTTTAATGTTAAATACAATTATGCAAAATGTAAATGTAACCGATGAAAGGAAGCATCAATTTTTAATCTATTACGAAATCCCAAAAAACCCCCCTTTCAAAAGAGACCTGAGGGAGTACTAATATTGTTCTCTGCACAAAAAATATGTCCATATAACAAATCCTATAAATATAAACTGTTAGCACGTAATTTCAATTAGCACATGTATTGAAACTATTTGCTATCTATCATGTACTCAGTGAATTTGCCCAACCTCTCCCCAATGTTGATAATATGTTGCTGCCAATAGCACTGATGAAGAAGGGGGAATTAAGTGAATTGATGTATAAAACATAAGTCATCACTATAATTGATGAATAATATGTTACCTCAAAATACTGAATTCGAGTAGGAAATCATCAAGCTTGTGTATAATATGTATGGTTATGGTTCTCAAGTAGTGCAGATAATGAAATTTCAAATACATGAACTCCAACCACTGTTTTTCGCAGCTAATTATCCGTCGCGTGGCAAAAATATAAAATTAATCATAAGCCATCTAGGTAGTAGAATGGATATACATATACAGATCCAGTTAATTCCTTTTCATCCAGCAGAAAGTGGAATGCACTCAGAGTCAGCTCTATAATATGGATCATCTATAATATGGTAGACACTAATGTTCCAGATGAATTATGAAAACAAGATTTTTTATTTTTTATTTTTATTTTTAGCTCTGAATCTTAAATATGCGGTCCACTAATTAAATGGCTTAGGTTAAAGAAAAGTGTATAATTGGAAAATATTATGAAGTTAAGCAACTCATACCATGGATGATGTATGCAAATCAGGTTGCCCACTTCAAGCTCAACATCACTACACACTCTTGGGTTGAAGATAACAGTCAAGGCTGCTGCTGCTCCATCTTTCATTCTCATTTCGAAGTTATTCTCCTCGTGTGATTTCTGATAAAACAGAGGAGACAAGGAACTGTAATTCTTGTAATATAAATGAATTCTCGATCAAGAGCACGGGTGTGTTTGTTTGGGGGTTTGGATTTTGAGTTGGGATTTGAATAGTTGTTTGATGTTATATAAATAAGTGTTGATGTGATGTTTTGAATGTAAAATTGATTTTTAGTATAATATAAAAAATGAAAAATAGGTGTTTGATTTGATGTGTTTGGGGGGAAAAAATTGGATGAATAGTGTAAATCCAATCCAATCCCCCAAACAAACACACCCCAGGAAGAGTAGGAAGGGATCAAGGTTCTAATAGGATTCAAGAACATGTGATTGCCTGCTAAAAAAACAAGTATTTCATGTTTTGTGAAGAAAGAGTATGGTAGTAAACAAACCTTGCTGTCTTCAACAGCAGCGCAGGAACAAACAATCAATTTTGCTTCCAATGACCTTGATAAAATTCTCACATGAATCCATGCCCTCTCGTCTAAATAAGAAAATATTTTAGGGTACTATGATGCATTTCGTGATTAGATATAGTAGACTGTTTGAAGTTCGATTTTACCTTTGGAACAGCTTGATGCACTTGTATACTTTAAGTAATCCATATCTGTATCTTTTGCAATCTTCATCACTTGCTGCAACTTCTGATGCACCCCACTGCAGTATAATTCAATAAATTCAAATAATGAAAATAAATGCACTTGTCTTGGAAGGTGTATTGCATTATCTAAGTTCATCGATCATAGAGCAAGCTCAAGATCGAAACCTACCCGGACGATCCTGGAAAAGCCATGTATGGTCTCTCATCGATCGCAGATGACATTCCAAAGGCATCACAAAATTGATCTACCATAGCCCTCCTTCGAAGAATAGGCTTTACACTTTTAGGATTCTCCTAAGCAAAAGGTTCAACAGTCAATAATACAAATGAATAATTGCATATGCTAAATGACGGTCAAGAGGTGCACAAAAATCAATTTTCTCCCGAGAAGTACCTCATCATCACTGCAAGAGGGACTACTGTCACTAACATCCTCACGGTTTCGATCACCCAATAAAGACTCGTTTCTGTTTAAAGCCATCTGTGCTCTCCATTTTCTTTTGTTAATGCCCTGTGTGTTTCTAGAAAGATAAATTAATGGTACAAGAAGGGGCACAACAGTAACTAAGAAGCCAACCTGTTTCAAACTTCCTTGAAGATCATTACGCTCATTGACACAGTCGAGATATTCAGCCACATGTTCTCTAACTTCGTGTTTATAGGCAGTTTCTGAAGGAACAATGTCTTCCGCTGTCTGTTTTGATTCCTTTGCGAGTGTAATAAGCTTAGACTCATTGAAAAAGTGTCCAACAGCATCAGCAGCTGCAGCGCCAATGTTATTTGTTTCAGTGATATTTTTGGATGACGTATTCCCATCCCGATCAGTGACAACCAAACAAGCATCTTCGGTGCGCGAATGTGAACGAAATATAAATTTGGCCTTTGATTTTGTTCGGTCACCTCCACCTTCAGTTTCATGCATTAGATTCAATAAACAGCCCTCAATCTCTAAACAAGAATCAGGAAAATAAATTCTCAATTCTCAACTTTTAAAAGAAACTTATTCTTTGAGATGATGATGATTTTTTTTAAATGCATTCTCTACAGAACCATGTTTTCTATAGCAAACCTCAGTTAGAACATAAATAGAAGAAATACAACATGATCTCTTCCCCATAACTTATATTAAAAATGCATGCGTAGTTGCTTACCACTTTTATACAAGTTACGTTCTTTCACTAAGGCGCCATGGAGTGAGGAATGGAAAGAATTTTTGTGTAAACAATTCAATGCCTCTGCTTCCCTAGTTGCTTCAGACCATGTGCTACCAATATCCTCTCTTGCACTTTTAAGAATAGGGGAACTTATTTCCTCTATCTATTACAACACACGTGAAGAAACAAGAAAACAGCTTATTGCCATGAATGCAGTAACACCCACCCTTTCATAGATACAAGAACTTTAGGATTAAGCTATTTTAATTGGTAGTAAACTAAGTAGTGCTATACCTCGTCATCAGAAATAATTTCTTCATTCGTGTGTGAGAGTGAAGCCACCGTTGGTAAACAGGCTGTTTCTTTATTGATGTGGTTACGGGCAGCGGGGGAAATCTTTGAGCTATGATTGGAACTATCCCCGCTGAAGAAGAGAGGATTTTCAATGTCATCATCGGCAAGGCAAACCCCTTTTTTCTGCCAATAACAAGAACCTTCAGACACAAATCAATGCATTGAACTTCATTGGAAATTTGAATTTTAGTAATAGTATTAGTTCATAAATCAATTCTGGAAAACATAACAGCAGCAATTAGGAACAACTTTTCATATTGAAATTACACAATGATCTCAAGAAATAACTTACTTCATATGAAAATAAATAAATATGTCATGTTAATGTGATGAGAATCGAATTTCACCGTTGCTCTCTTCTCTCTAAATGGGACAAATATATAAATTGCAGACTTTCAGAGTTTAACCTATACCTCTTGTGATGGGATGAACTCCCCTTCAGTTGGATGAAGTTCATGCGAATCTGCTTCATTGCATCAGATAAATTTAACAAAAAAAAAAAAAAACTGGGGAACTTGCCCTAAATTAATCATAGCTGAAATCACCTCTAAGCATCTCAAGCTGTGAGAGAACCTGCATTCCTCCCTGCCAAAGGCACGTCTATGTCACCAAACACCTCATAGTAAAAAAGTAAATGAAGAAGCATCAAAAAAACCATACAACTAAGTTGCAAATCATAACAAGGATAAGATATTCAAATTAGAAGTTTGCGCAACGCCACTTTAAATTTATTATCATAATTTGATAGATCATTTCCACCGTTATCATAAGTAGAAAGCAAATAAAAAGAGCGCACAACCACTTCACTGAGTATTTAGATAATTCAACTGATTCTTCATCTGAGAATCTACCTTATCTCCAGCTCTACACAAGGAAATTGCACTTCCGGCGCAATCACCCCCTTCATCCTCTTCTGCGAGGCACATAAAGCAACAGTGATATCCGAAGATGCCTTATAATCAATGATAAGCAAATTGCAGCGAGTGCAGCAAAAGAACCAAAGCGCTAAGAATCCTTATAATCAACCAAAAACAAACTGAATGCAGAAGAAGAATCAAAGCTTCATCATGATCCATATTTACCAGATATACTCTGATCGGAGTCGTGGTCTTCTTGCGCCTTATTTTCGAACTAAAAATCGACAAAAACAAATGAATAGATGAACATGTAACATTATCTGCGAAGCTGAAAAAATAAATTTATGAGTATAGAGGAATTTACGGACTGTGGATGCTGCTTTCCTCCACCTCCACATTGCGCAATCGCAATCTGCTGATTCCCGCCCAAATTTGTAACTCTCTCTCACTCCGGTCGGTGAAAGAAAGGTTGAGATCAATCTGATGGGAAACCCAGACAGCAACTGTAGTTGGTAAATGGTATCGCAAATAAATAAATTTACCCACTCGAACCGAACAGAATAATCCTTTGTACGGATATACGATGGGCCGAAAATAGGTTCCTTATAAGGTGGAACTATTAAATGTTGAAGTATCTGTAGGCCCAGATTATAAGGCTCCATTTGTATACATCTTTCAGAAATGTTGATACTATTCTAATTTTTTTATAATATATTACCTCCATTTCAATGCAATAGATATGTGTATCATTTTTATTTGGAGGCAAAAAAAAAATTTACCTATATTTTTTATTTACTATTAATATAATATTAATATTTCTTAAATTTTGTGCCAAATATAATAATTCTGGAATGAAACGGAGATAGTAGTATATAAGTTAAATATGTATTTATTCTTACCGTATTACATCTTTGTTTATTTTTTAAAAAATTATAAAATATTCGCAATATTCTAATTCAACATATGATGATTTTATTTGCAAAGATCCCATCCCATTTAAAAATATAAAGTACAATAATTTTAACATATAAAAGATACAATCAACTATCTTTAGAATATATAATATTCACTAAACATTGGCCTAGATACATTATTATCTTACGAGAGAGGAATATAGTAGTATAGTTTTTTTTTTATATTTAAAGCAAATGTTCATTTATATTTTTAGATAAAGTTAATTATTTAATCTGATATTTATAATAAAAATTTTAATATTCAATATAACATTTTATATGTTAAAAATATAGATTTGAATAATCTAAAAATATAAATCAAAACATAAATACACATGTGTATTCTTTCTTTTTCAAGTTTTAGAATTATTCTTTTCTAATTTTCTCTCTCTTGCAACTAATAGATATAAATATTTTATTGTATAAAATATATTTTAAATAATATATTTTTTTTTTCATAAAATATTTCATCAAAGCATTATTTTAATATAAATTCAAAATATTATTATTTTTAAAATTCACTCATATTAGTGCTATAATACATATTTAATCAATGTCATCTCTGCTCAAGCAATGCCATGGGACAATATGTTGTACTACCTCTATCACAATAAAAATATAAATATATAATATGTGCATAATTTTGTTACTTATTGCCTAATTGCCATTTAGGTAATATATATATATAAATATATATACAAAAAAACAATAGTACCTTCGTCCAAACTAATACTCCGTCCGTCGTATTAATAAAAATAAATAATAATTATGATTTTTTTTTTTATAATAAAAAACAATACAAAAGTGAAATAATTTTTTACTTAAAAAAATAAAAATATTTTTCGATGACAACGAAAAATGAAAGTAAGCAAATGAACGGATGAAATACTATTTCCGTCCATATAAGACATCAATTATTTTCATTTTCATCTATCCCACATAATTAATCTTTTTTTATATAATTAAACACTTTATATGACTGGAATGTATTATAAAAAAAATTATTTAAAAAAATAATAAAATAGTTAAATAAGTAAAAAAAAGTTATAACAAATCTATTATTATTTGTTTAAAAAAATTAAATAAATTATGAGGACAACAACACTGTGACATAAATTTTTGCCAAATAAGAAAATAAAAATATTTTGATGGGACATAAAAATAAAAAAATAGATCAATAATCTTTCTAATGACTACAAATTTATAATACAAACTTCAATCAAATCAAAAGACCAAAATGATAATATTACCACGTAAGGACTATAAAAGATTTATCCCTTTAATCAAATAGCAGAATAGAGTACAAGAAAAAATTGACTTGAGAAAGCATAGGGTAATTATTTATTTATATATAACTTAGATCGACAATCTGTTCTTTCTTACAAGGAACAGTAAGTGTAACAAATACAGACATACCATAACGTTAAATCACAACTATTCTATTCTATTCTATACATAAACACAAAATATGAGACTTATAAGTCGCAACAAAATAAACAAAGCAACACTCTTCACAACCTCCAAATATTTCTATCTTTTTTCCTGCATAAAAACAACATATCATATTAACCAACCCCACACCACTATTACATTAATCCACTCATAATCCTTAAAAACACCAAACAATAATTTCCCCTATGAGCTACAAAAGGGATTGTCTACAAAAGATAAAGAGTTCACCAACAGCAGAAATCGAAAATAACGAAGAACGAACAATTTTTGCACGAAAGATTTGTACAAACATGTCTGTGGCAATGAACTAAATGAAGATCTCAGAATGCCGGCTATATAAGCAAACTTTGCACAAAAACAAAAAGATAAGTGTCGAAAAATACCTAGCAACATCCGAGGGTTGTCGGGTACCCATACCATAAAGGCCAATGGAACATACACGCAATATACGCACAAACTCATCAGTTTGTAATCGGGAGAAAGTCTACCCCAGAAAAATGTACATACGAGCCGCCACCGACCATTTCCATGCTTTCATCAACGTAATCACAAAAGATCATAATTTATGTACGTACTTTGGATAAACAAGTTTCGGACCTTATTCTATTGTCAAGATGAATAGAAAAGGTAAATTTAGTAGTGGGGAAGAGCGAATATTGTGTGACCAGACCTGCAAAAACAATAAAATTACACAGGAAGAGTCAGAATATAGGGGCACATTTTGAATTTACTGCGAGCAGAAGAGGGATAGAAATTACCATAAGGGCAAATTCCTATTCCCCGAAGAGGGAGTTTTACTGGAACTTAGCCGGTCGTTAGGGTCACTTTTGATATTATGAGCAAGAATGTACAGAAACCCTTTTCTTTGTCTCGTAACTTTATAGTATATAACATGACGGAGCCCTGCAATGCAACATTGAAAGTTAAGTGCTACGACATTAGATCAAATGAATAAAATCCATAACTAGGTGCTTACTCTGGTCCAAAAGCAGCTATACAGGAACAGGTATTGGGAATCGACCAGCTACTGTATAGATATTTACGGGAAAGGTTGGTGGAACGAATGATTTGACACTATGTATGTTATTCACTAAGAACGAGCTTCTCTCAAAAATTTTCCCGCCTGAAGGAGGTAGAAATGATAAGGCACATAACAAGCAGTTCAGCGAACGATGGCTTCCACTGCAAATCGAACAAGGCGCAATAAACTCTCGACATCTTGGAAGTTGAAATCAAGTGCCTTCTTTAGAGATGATATAGCCTCTCTCTGAGAGGTTTCTTCCATCCGGGAAATGGCAGCTGTGTAAGCTATTCTTGATTTCCTTGAAGCTTCCATGGCAAAGTTAACATCCTGTGCCTGCAAAATAAATTATTCAAATTGCAATCAGATTAATCGACCTTCTAATTGACATAGATGGCTAAAAATTTTAGAGACTAACACCAATACACAACAATGCTATTATAAATATTTGATATGAGCAAATGAACAACTAATTATACTTACAAGAGTTAGAATACGCAAGAAACCAGAACGATAGCGTGAAGTGATAATATGGCTTCCCGGAACTTGTGGAGAGTTAGCAGCTTTAGCCAACGCTGCCTTGTCGGTTGTTTGGTGGTTCAAGTTGTCAACATCAGATGCTGACGAGGAAGGAGATTCCCCTGAACCAGATAATAAATCAGTAAAATAAAACATAAAAAGATGTCAAAGCTGCTTAAGATTGATGAAACTAAATTAGCACTTGAAGGGGATATCAGGGCAGCCTTGATAATTTAATAATTACATCACAAATCAAACCACTTACACTATATTAATAGTGTTAAAATATATTTTAGAAGTGGTAGGAAATCTCAGATTCGAAAGGCAATCCTCTTGGCACATTCCAAGTTACGGAGATGTACCCGGAAAAACGTGGATTAGTAAAATGTGCTTATTCCAAGAAAAAAATAGGCTCTGATACTATATAGAGAAATAGGAAATAAATTATTATTTCATTCCAAGAGAAAAATGAAAGGAAAGTATATATATATATACATATATACATATATAGGTGTTTAGAAAATCTGTCATAACAAACTAAGTCTAGCTAAATCATAGATATAGATATAGAAATGAATTGAAATATCTATCTAAAATATATTTCAACAAATAGGATTCTCAAAGAAATAAACAGAGGGAGTGAAATATAATTTAAAGCCATCAGTCTATAGTAGCAACTCTAAATAGATGAGAGAGTTAAGTGTAATGTTTAACGCCATTTTGATAATAATCCAATAAATGAATACCACCTAACACAACTTCCTCTATCATAATCTTTGTTGAGAACAGTATGGGAACTATTGGCAACAATATGTTCTATTCAAAACATTAATAAATACATTATATCCGAAACATTACCAGAGGGAACAATTTGCAGAGCTTGTTGTATATCCTTCCGGTCCTTGTTTGTAGTAGTATGTGAAGAATAAACCACTCGCATGTAAGCCACCTCCATGCACTTGTAGGCCAAAGCAGCAGCAGCCATATCTTTTAGCTTTTCATATTCATGGGCGCAAAACCTACCAGAGAACAACTATTTATAAACAAGATCGAACTCGAATACTTTTTCTTTTTGACTTGACGCCATATAGCTCTCCAATTGATACAACAAATAATTAATTATTGGAAGAATGAGAAATATAGGCTTAGCTCCAACTCATATAAATGCAAATCAATAACAAAAGAATGCAAATATTTTCCCAAATCAATCCAAGACTTGGCGTCACCCAGATAAAATCACAATTAAGCATTAACATTTTTCTAAGTCAATATAATATAGGTGTAACAGAAACTAACTCGCAGAGTTTTGCGGTGCTACTGTATATTTGCTTTGAGTTCGCTTCACTGCTCCCAGACTCCAACAAAGAGGCTCCATGGAGAAATTTAAGGGCAGCTTGGAAATAATAACCTATACTTTCACTGGACCCAGAATTCTACATAAAAGGAGCACTGTTATGGAGCATGAATGAAAATGGAAGTAAGCTGTACAGTATTCCAAAAATATACACAAACCTTAAGACGATCAGCCAGGTGTTTGAGGTCCTTGGCCTCTTTTAAAGCGTGATTAGCTGCATGACTAGAGGAATCCCTTCGAAGAGGACTCGGGGCATCAACATCCCTTGCCTTGTGGGAATTTGGAGTTGGATGTCTTATAGGTTTACCATTTGGGTTCTCAGCTCTCTTTCTTTGGTTTAGTTCCTTTTGTGCATCACCATTATCACATGCTTCAACTGCCATAGTTTTCAGACCATTTTCTTTCTGCAATCCAGGCACTGTCTCAGTCTGGGCCTTCGCTGAGGGCGGAAGCGAGTGTGACTTTTCACTCCGACTAACTTCTGCATGGCTGTTTTTTCTTGATAATTTATCATTTCCATGCTCCTTATTTTTGCCCTTAATAGAATCAGATCCATCATGACCAAATTTATTTTGACTTTGTCCTTTACTGCTCTCACCCAATGTTCCTCCAGCGGTGTCTTTCTTTGGAATAAACTTCTCACCCTTACTAGGATTGCCAGATTTCTCATCAGACTTGCTTCTTCTACTCTTTAACTTGTCGTCCAAAGCCTTCACATTGACTTTATCCAAGACAGACCCAGAAGTATGAACCTTATCCTTAGAAGCCCATTTTCCTGATTTCTTGGATTGAAATCCACTACTGTCAGATGGATGAGTATTCACTTTTTCTTCAGCTTCAGGTTGTTCCGAATACTGTTTTACACTGCCATACTGATTAGTTTGGCACAACTTATCACTATAGGCTCCAGTAACCTGATTTTTCACCAGTCCTTCCCTGTCATTTCGTCCTCCTTCACCAGCCGAAGGCTTTTTTGGACTAGCAGCAGATAGAGAGCCAAAATCATGAGTATCATCTTTTCCATCAAGGTGCTTCATTGATGATGTGACCTTATCAGGATTGCAAAATCTCAAAGGAGATGAAGATACTGATTCAACAGGGGAACCCTTCACTTCCAGGCCACCAGTTTTGTGTTTATGTGAACCAGATACCTTGGAGGAGCTAGAATTGGCGGCAAGCGAAGGTTGTACAGAACCCACATCATTTTTCAAATAGTCAGCTGCAGCCTGATTGTTGCCCAGATACAGCCCATTATACTGGTCTTTTATGCCCTTACTCTTTCTGTCAGATCCTATATTGGTTTTACTTCCACTGGTTTCTTTTCCACCAGACTTGGACACTCTAGGTTTCTTTTCTTTCCTATGGTCATTCTCATGCATTTCTTCCACAAAATCACTACACTCATGCCACCCCCGTCCTAAATTGGAAATGGATTCAGGACGAAATTGTGAGGTATTAGGTTCCTTCATTTTTCTCTTCCTAACAGACTCCTCACATTTTCCTGCGTGAAGTAAATTATCTCTTGAAAAGTTTTGAACATGTTTTCCTGCATTCATATCCGAGACCACATTCTTTGTTTCAATGCCCAAATCTTCACGGTGGTTATATTTATATCTATCATTATCTGATATATTGTTTGACAAACTGGAAGAGCCACGGCCAGCTTTTGATGATGTGCCACCGTTGTCAGAAGTCCAATTATCGTCATCAAAGTGGAAGTCCTCACTCTTGATTCTTTTGGAAGCCCTAGAAACCTCCAGATCAGGCTCTTGTTTGTTTTTCATCTTTCTGTTTCGATCTGTACATGCCACATGAAGCAATAAGAAATACAAATCCAAGAAGCTAAAATAGCTAAAATAAGTTAATGTCATAATAATCCTAGTCGGGCACTGTTAATGCGTTACTGAAAGAGTAATGGATTTTTAAGAGCATACCTTGACCAGCATTGTTAACATGTGATGTTTTTTCCTTTTTAACATCATTATACTTCTCAAATGTACTAGCTGATTGTGGCATATGTTGATACCCACGTGAGTCTAGAGAAGGCGAGCGACTTTTGCTGCTCAAATTTCTTGTTCTGCCAGATGCACCGAGGTTCTTCTTTCGTAAGTTAGATGGCTTGGTGGAACCATCTAGATCAGTTTTATCTGATGCTTTCATTGTCTCATTTCTTTTCTTCCCACTCAACGTCATGGTCTGGTGACCATAATCAGGATAACTAGCATCAACTGAGGTCATGCCCACTGAAGTCCCAACAGGGTTATTAACCCAAATATCTTGATTCTCAGAAGCGCGGGCAGGAAATGGAGCAGCAGGATTATACAGGGCCATCAGAGCATTAGTTGTCTCCTCCTCTGGGATACTGCAGCGATTCATTCCAGGCCTATAGGAATAGCAAGCAGTAAAGTTACATAAAGAAAACTTTATACATGTGCTACAGATTTCGAATTCCTGTCAGCATCGACAATATTCAGCATCACTAATTAACTATTGCAACAATATCTGATCATCAAAAGCAGAAACTGATATATTCAATCAACTGGTAGTGCTATGTTAGACTTCAGCTCCTTCCAATAAGTTCATCACAAAACAACCAATCATAGAAAAATAACAATCGGATAAAATAAGAAAGTGGAATTAAAAGAACTTACAGCCAATTAAGCATCCTACAAATCCATTTATGCGGAAGACTGTTAGGATTTGTACCAACTGGAAGAAGTCTCCACTTATGACACTTGTCACATGAAACCCAATCTTCTTTGACCAGAGGAACTGTACCAGTTGGATGTTCAGAACTAGTGCCATTTTCATGGAGAGGATCCAGGTGGCCATTGTGCCTAGGATGGGTATCTGGATCTAGAGGTCGACGTGGTGGTTTTTCCAAATTTTCATCAGTACATTTTTCTTTCAGAATGTTATGTTTGCTTGAGCCCTTCTTTGCAACTAAGCCCTGATTTTTTAAACCTCCAAAAGAAGTCATCTCCCCTGAAATTGATTCATTATCATCATTTTCAAATTCAATATCTCCAAAAAAGTCTTTATATCGATCCCCTGATTTTTCATGGACCTTTTGGAGATCATTTGACTCATTTTTGGGGACAAGAGAGTTCAGATGACAGTTTTTCTCAGCATTATAAGTCAATGAAGATTCACCCTTTGACTCATCTTTTCCCATAAATGCAGCTTGAGCACTAACCCCAAATTTTTGTTTCCTCTTGCCCCCATTAGATGATTTCTCAGAAGATCGTTTTACACCATCTATATTAACAGATCCTCCTTTGAGATTCTCTTTTGACTGTTCAGAGGTTTCAGAAGCCCTAGGACCTTTTCTACCCTTAGAGATATTCGACCCAGACTGTTCAATATCATGACATTTTTCTTCTAGGGGTGCAGTAGTATGAGGGAAAGCCGCGGGATGTGAAAAATTCCCCTTTTTAGATTCAGAAACCTTGCCTGATGAACACACCAATTTGCTATCTATATGTTCCTCCTCCATGAACGTAGACCAGGTTTCTTCCTTCACTTCATCATTCACTGCATTTAAAGGGAAATTCGTAGCAGTGGTCGCATCTTTTGCATAGTCAGTAATAGCACCCTGAGTACCAGATAAAAGTGGAAGTTTCAAAGCTTTTGAGACAATTTCCTCGCATCCCAAAGTGTCCATATCAGCTTCATTTTCCTTCTTTAGGTGAGGAAATGTATAATCCTTTCTTCCATTAATTTTCCGAATGGGCAAACCTGCATAGAAATCTCCATCCTTTTCATTAGGCTTCCGCTTTTTCTGCTCAAGGATTTTCTGACTGCCTTCACTAAAGAGATATCCATTTCCCAGTACCCCAGAGCTTTCTATGCTTGCATTTTCCACATGTTTATTATCAGAGCTCTTCCTTTTTTCCGTTAGATGAATCAGATCTTCTGATAGAGGAGATAGAAGTAGCTCCTGTGGATGCGATGTCATAATCTGCTCAAGTAAAACAGTAAATTTTGCACATTTAGAATCATATCAGAAAAGGAATCCAAATTAACTACAAATGTTTTCAGAAATCAATATCATACTTTACCTGAAGAATACTGGTAGGAGATTCCTCTGACATATGCAAATTTTTAGCACCGTGTCTTTCACTAGTTGCTGGGCTGTCATCTAATGATGATGATGGAGAGACTACAAGACCAAGTCCACTATAGAGTTCAACATTCTTTTGCATCGATAGATTTTCTGAGCCAACTTTGATTCGAACTTTGAGGGTCCTCTGTTCAGAAGAATTTGCAGGCCCCTTGCTGCGTCCAGTTTTAGTGTTGGATCCTTCATCCTGTTTAGGTTGTAACCTGCTGTGCTTAATGGAACGTTCCAACAGTGAATCCTTTCCCGAAGCAGCGCGAGGTATCACTGACAGATAAGCACTTGATGGTGCAATTGAGTTTCGTCTTTGATCCTAAAACCATAGACAAATCAATTGCTCAAGTCTCCTGAATTTCATGTTACACAAAACATTGTAGGTCCTTTTTTAAGCAACAGTATTTCAACATAAATTAATTAGATGAAGTTGAACAACATCCACCTCTACTTGTAGCCTTCTAGGGGACCTTGGCGAATCATGGTTATGAGCCTCTGCTGGACTCTTTGTGTGTGACCAAGATGGCGACCGACAATGAGTAGGTAAAAATGAACCATAGCCACCGTACTTTGCCCCTGTTTAAGTGATCAAATATCTGTTTAGAAGTCTTTCGAACCAACACATACACAGCCCTAACAGAAGAAGGTAGGTCCCTTTTCAACTTACCCAATTTCTCAGCTGAAACACCACCTTCAAAATCTTTCTGGAAATGCCCCAAAACATTTTCGATTTTTTCCTCCTTCAAAAGAGCATAATCTCTATTAAGTAATTGTGAATCAAATTCTCGAAGTTAAAAACAATAATGGCATGTCACCAATTAAGTTCCATATCCCCAACAAGTACATTTAAATTTGCCCATCCTTATCTGTTCACTCCTCAGAATGGAAGGATCCTCAGACATCAGACAAACAAAAGCAACTTTCTTTTCCATTTTTTAGATACTTTGATTCCCTATCATCTAACTACACAAGTAGAGAAAACAAAGAAAATGAACAACTGTCCATCCTATAATAGAAGTTAATTAAGAGTTGTTGATCTTCCTATTTAAGCAAGCTAAAATTCACAGTTATGAGACAATCAAAAGGATCACAACAATCAACCCTAACCGATCACTCTACAGAATAACACCTCTTCAGTTTTTACCAAGCTTTTTATTAATCAATCAATGGCTGGCTCTGATCAACGCAATGAATTGATGATATGACCAGAATAAAATTGGAGATTCTTACAATGTAAGAGAAGGCAATATCAGGGTCTATTGTAGAATCTTCGCCCTCATCATGACAGCTAAGAGCTTCCCCTTCTTCAAGCTCAGCATCTTCCATCTCAAAACCTGACCCTAAACTCTTCCTCCCATCCCTACTACCCACAGATATCATCAAACCAATATATTACACAAATAAAAGAAGTAAAATAAATTGCTTAATAAGCAAAACTCTCCCCCAAAAGTAAGCCTTTTTTTTTTATTCAACTCTTTACTTTTCTCCAAAAATCTCAAACACACACATCTCACAGTAACGAAAATCCAGAAAACGCATCAATCGTATCCTTCTTTTTGATCAGATTTACAGTTGAATTGCTTCACCTAACACGAATACAACTAGAAATAAAATTGAAAAAAACCAAAAAAATCTACTCCTCGCAGACGCGTGTACCAATATTCAGTGAGGACAACAAATTTACGAAAATCGAACACGCTATGAATCACGATAGCTCTTTTGACTTCACATATCGTGGAAGAATGGATCGTATTATTCGATCTGAGAAGGTGGAATTGATGAACAGAACAAACACAGAAATCTAGAGAGAGAAACCGGAAAATCTAGAGCGAGAAAGGGGTCTGTCCGGGTTTGGTGCTGCCTGTAGTTTGTTTTTTGTGTTTTCTTCTTTGTTTTAAATTATTACTACTATTAATTAATTAATTAATTTTAATTGAGATTCCTTAATTACTCCATTATTTTAAAATAGTAGGAAATTAATAGATAATTTTAAACGATTTTAAATATACGTAAAATGTTTTCTTTTAGGGCTTTCGATAACTAACTGTGAATTACTCTTAACAGCACACCGCAGTAAATTTGTGGTTCGATCCAACGGCTTTGATCTTCCTCTGCCAGCATAGTAATCGACCGCCAGTATTCTGCCACGTCATCACAGTAATAGATTGTCAATTCAGTTACGGTTTGAATCAACAATCATTATTGAACTAAATTAATACATAATAGTATATATTAATTTATAGGTCAAATAAAGAAAAATGCATCTCACCTAATATTTTTTTGGATAGTAAAAATTACATCCGTATTCTATTTTTATTGTTAGTTAAATTTATGTATATTTTATCTATCAATAATTTTATTACTTTTATTTTTAATTATAATAACAATTTTGTAATTATTTTTTCTAATTATCTTATCTTATTTTATCAATTTATTAATAAATTTATATTATAATATCATTATTTTACTTTTTATTTGCCTCATTTTAAGATAATATAAAAATAATAAATACGTATAATATATTAATTTTTTTTAAAAAAATATATTTAATTTTTTTCACAAAAAATAAAAAATAAATCCATAAATTTTAAACTATTAATGATTTATAATAGTAATATAATGATATTTATGAAAAAAATTATACTATAACGATATTTTTAATGTTAAATAAAATGACGCAAAAGATAAATATAACCTTTACGACCAACGTAGTATATTATATATACTATGGGTGTGTTTGTTTGGAGATTTGGATTTTGAGTTGAGATTTGAATAGTAAAAATTTTGAATTTGAATAGTTATATGATGTGATATAAATAGGTGTTGACGTGATGTTTTGAATGTAAAATTGATTTTTAGTATAATATAAAAAATGAAAAATAGATGTTTGATTTGATATTTTTGGAGGGAAAAAATAGGATGAACAGTAGAAATATAATTCAATCCCTTAAACAAACACACCCTATATTTACTCATAAAAATAAATAATTAAATATAAATTATTAATATAAATTTTCATATCTAATAAAATTATAAAAAAAAAAAGAAAAAAAAAACGCACACACATTCACCATAATGATTTTTTAAATCATCATATTGAAAACATATGTTGTATATATTTAAAGGTATGTTGTGTAAATATATATAATGTACTGAAATTAATTGCAATATGTATTATTTAGATTATTATTATTAGTATGTATTATTACTCCATATATTTGATTGGGAGTATATTAACATAAATAATGTATTATCTATTATAATATAAATTTGTTGTTTATTCTGAATAATATTTCATATGTCTCTTAACAATTTATTTATTTTTTTATTTTGTTTGTCCCATAACAAATATTAATTTTTGTTTTTAGTAATGATATCATCTACTTAATATTACAAATATTTTACACAAATATCATTACCTTTATATCATATAATACTAATAAGGTTAATTTAGTCTTTTTACCTTTAATTATACTTTATCCCACTATATAGATATGGGTAGGGGTGGGCAAAAAAAACAAACTGAATCGTCGAACCGTTGAACCGAACTGAATCGCACCGAATTTTCGGTTAACTGAGCAAATTCTGTTCTAAAACAAATACTGCATATTTGATATTTGTTCGGTTCGGTTCGGTTTTTCATATTTTTTTCAATTCGGTTAACCGAACCGAATATATTTATGTATTTATAATATTATATTTTAAAATTTATATTAATAATTATATACGGTTCGGTTTCGGTTCAGTTTCGGTTCATATATTTGAAATATTTGCAAATATTTTTTATTTAGTTAGAATTTTAATTTTTTATATATTTTTTTTTTCTTAATTTCGGTTCGGTTTGAATTATTTGCAAATACTACAAATATTTTCAGTTCGGTTCAGTTCGGTTCGAATACGGTTCGCGATTTTGGGTATTTGTTCGGTTCGGTTCGGTTATCAAATACCTGCATATTTGCAAATAACCGAACCGTGCCCACCCCTAGATATGGGACAGAGGGAGTATGATTTGCCAATAATTGCATTTATATAGAGTATGATATTTTGTATGTGAATTTATGTAACATTCCATTTTTTTATTTTTTTTTTATTTGTATTGTTTCACTTACAATTTAAAATTATCATATTTACAATTTAGGATTATCTCATCTAGACTGTTCATTTTTATTTATAATTATGTTACCGTCACTGATAAATTACTAATTATTATTCACTTTTATCCATATTTATCTAAATATCACATCACATTTCACTCACTAAATTCAAATTTATTTAAGATTTTCTATTTTACACAAATGTGTTCATTAATATGATACTATTTTGTTAATCTACTATAAATATATATATATATATATATATTCAAAATAATATAAATGAGACACTATGTATAATTTTCAGTTTGTTGAAATCGAATTTCAAGTTATTTTTTAGAACAAATATTCATAGTGTGTTTGTCCGGTGGTTTGGATTTTGAGTTGTGATTTAAATATTAAAATTTTGAATTTGAATAATTGTATGATGTGATATAGATAGGTGTTGACGTGATGTTTTGAATGTAAATTGATTTTTAATTTAGTATAAAAAAATAAAAAATAGGTGTTTAATTTGATGTTTTTTAGAGTAAAAAATAGAATGAATAGTGAATTTAAAATCCAATCCCCCAAAACAAACACACCCGTACGGGATTTTATTTAATTTTTTAATAGATTAACTATCATCAATTTTTTATTTTTATTATTTTTCATATTCTATCATCATCTGCAAAATATTAAATATATGCCAGTAAAAAATATGTATAAAAATATTAATCGAAATATAATTTTCCAAAAAATAATTGGTATATATATTCAATGAATAATAAAAATTTGGGAAAATTTTGATAAAGCAATACGTCCATAATTCTTCCAATAATTGTAAAGACATTTTTTTTTTTTTTTTTTACAATTTATAAAGACTATCATTTAACATATGATTGGTGATTCGTTTATTTATTTTGGTTGTCTTTTTTAATAATAACTTAAATATAATAATTTATAAGAGTAAATAATACTTCCTTCACGTACCACGTCATTTTCCTTTTTTTTAAAAAATAATTACACACTTTAATTTTATTTTAAACTTTTTAATTTTATTTATTTTTAAATTTTAACTAAACTAATTAGTTATCTTAATTTTAATTTATAATTATTTATATTATCGAATAATTATTTTTATTAATATATTATTAATTATCTACTAATTACACCCCTCATAAAATGCCGTGTCTACAGTATAGCAGACATGATATGCGAGACGGAGGGAGTAATTTTAAAAAAAAAACCATGAAAACTGACTAGTAAATTAAATAAAAAAATAACTAAATTTAATGCACCATCCATTTCACATATTTTATGTAGAAAGACAAATGATTACTTTAAAGATACTTTTTTTTTTAGCATATTTACCATCCATGATGTAAATAAATGGTTACTTTTTTTTTATTATTGTATTTATAGGATTTTGAATATTTTTTTAAAAAAATGGATATGAATAAAATTATATGCAATATTCTAAATAAAAAATTATTATAGTAATATAATATTATTTTACAGGAAAAAATAAATCTAATGAACAAAAAAAAAAAAAAAAGTTGTTAGTACACAAACCTTTGGCTGTAGACGTGTGTTTATATCTTTACTAGTATGACATCTACTAATACCTAGCTAGTTCGCTTATTAAAAAATAATACTACATCCGTCTCATATCTATATATTCATTTACTTTTTATACGAAATTTTAGAAATATTAATTTTATATTATAATATAATAGAAATAAAGGTAAAAAAATTAAATTAACTTTATTAGTATTGTATGATATAAAAGTAATGATATTTGTGTAATACATTGTAAATTAGAATGGTATTTGTAATGTTAGTTAGATAGTACAGTTACTAAAAAAATGAAATAAATACTTTGTGAGACATACCAAAATAAAAAAATAAATAAATTATTAAGGGACGGAGAGATTAAAATTTATCTCCAAAAATAAAAGATTTAGCTACTTATTTTCTCCTATTTATGTATATTTATTTATTTAATATACAAATTTTAGATTGTATTTGACATGAGTTTTCCTTATTTTCAATCAGTTTATTTACTCAATATTTCTAAAATAATTTTTCATAAATATTATTAAAAAATATAAATATACATATACATTAATATCATATATACATTATTCATTCATAAAAAATAAACTATTCAACACAAAATATTATTTTCTCCGTCCCAAAAGTATAGTCTTATTGTGTTGGACACGGAATTTAAGAAATATTGAAATTATATTGGTGGTCGGTAAAAACTACGGATAAATGACTTTTTTGCCGTTGTGAGTATATTAGTGTAAAAAGTAGTGTCAATTGTGTAATAATAATGAAAAAATATGGATGATTTTATGGTGATATGATTATTTATGAAAATGAGACTATTGTTTTAAGACGGACAAAAATGACAAACAATTATTATATTGAAACGAATGGAGTATTTTTTATATATTACTAATACAAAATATTATTTTTTATATTACTAACACAAGTCAATACCATCAATTTTCATCAAATGATCACTGAGTGAACATACTGAATATGTCAATACACTTTATTTACTATTCTCAATATTCTCAATAAAGATACGGTGAGTTTGTTCACTTAATTTTATTTATTTATTTTTTGTGTGTGATACAATCTTTTATAAATTTATAAAAAAAAAAAATTACAATATATACATATAAACATTATTTCTAGAATATGTATTTTATTCGCTCGTAAAAAATTAATAATTTAATACAAAATTATATTTTTAATAATATCGATATAATTTTTTATATTTATCATAAAATAAGTGTTCATTTAAAAATATTAAGTGAACACGCTCTTGGGGTGTGTTTGTTTGGGGGATTGGATTGGATTTATACTGTTCATCGAATTTTTTTTTTCCAGAACATCAAATCAAACACTTATTTTTTATTTTTTATATTATACTAAAAATCAATTTTACATTTAGAACATCACATCAACATTTATTTATATCACATCATACAACTATTCCAATTCAAAATTTTTACTATTCAAATCTCAATTCAAAATCCAAATCCAAAAAAAAACACACACCCCAAGTGTTTGTTGGGTTTCAATTGAGTTTTTGTTGTTTATTTAATTTTTGGGGTTTAGGGTTTACTATTTAATTTTAGTAAAAATTATAGCAGAAAAATTGTTTTTTAGAAAATATTAACAAACAATCAATATTCATGTATTTTTATTTCTCTAGACATGTGAAAAAAATTAAAAAGAAAAAAAAAATCAATTTCTTAAATTTAATTTCTTTGATTTAAACAAATAAAAAAATATATATATTTTTCTACTCTACGTAACATACACATCCTAAAATACCCTTCCGAAAATACCCTCTTGATTGCGTAGCATTGACAATCCGCAGGGATAAGATAAAATTTCACTGAAGGGCTTGTTTTTGTTTTGCACCACATATTAATTACACATCATAATTAACAGCAAATATATTATTTATATATTTTTAATACAAATTATTATTATTATTATTATTATTATTATTATTATTATTATTATGGGTCCGACAATCAAGAACCTAAAATATATAATGAAAATAGACAATATATATTATGTACCCTCCTCATCCATTAAAAAGTAAATATTTATTTTTTAACACAAAATTTAATAAATATTGTATTTTAATAATAATGATCATAGTTTTGTTTATAAAAAAATATTTTATTCTTATAATGTATAAAATTATTGTAAAAATATTTATATAAATAAGTATAAAGAAAAATATTTACACCATTTTATAAAAATAAAATGAGTATTTTATGACCAGACAACAAAAAATATGTACTTATTAAGTGGATATAAAATAATACTCCGTCCGTCTCACATACCATGTCTATATTGCCGTTTTTATTTGTCTCACATCTCATATTATTATTTTTTTAAAAATGATTATATACTTTAATCTGATTTTAAACTTTTTAATTTATTTTTTTTAAAAATTTTAATTAAAGTAATTAGTTATCTTAATTTTAATTTATAATTATTATATTATATTATAGGATAATTATTTTTACTAATACATTCTTAATTATCTACTAATTATATTTATCCTAAATTTTCGTGTCTACGGTGACCCAGATATCCAATGTGGGATGAAGGGAGTATATATTATGCTATATAAAATTAAATAATACTCCATCCATCATTCAAATATATTCTTACTTTTCTTTTTTGGTTGTCATCCAAATTTTTTCCCGTTTTTTTTTAGTAAAAAAAAACCACTTTTTTTTACAAAAAAATAATAAAAATGTCTATTCTTACATATTTTTCTTAAAACCCGTGTTTGATCAAATAAGCATACAATTGAATGACGGGTCAAATAAATACACAATTGGATGATGGAGGAAGTACTATTTTTAATATTTTTTTAATTATATATTCGGCGTTCTATATATTATTATTCCCCGGCTCCTACCAGCAAATATGAATGCCTTAACATTATATTGAATTCCAACAAGAAGATGGCATATATTTTAAGAAAATAAATATTTAATATAATATTTTTATAAAATATAAAAAAAATAATAAATAAAAAGAAAAGCACCATTTTTGAAATGCATGTGGTTGTCATGCTAAGACAATTCTACTGAATTAGAAAACTCAATATTGAACTGAATAATTAACAAACATACATGAAAATTAATAATGTGCTTATAACAATTTAAAAGATCTCTATTAAAAGCTAATATTCCATACAATTGTATTCAAAATATTTATGTACATTTATTTACAATCAATATATAAATCAATGTTCTTAATACTATAATTTTAGTTATTCACCGACCGTATCTAATATCCGTATCCTCCATCCATCTCATATCTATATATTCATTTGTTTTTTACACGAAGTTTTAGAAATATTAGTATTATATTGAGATAAAATAGAAATAAAGGTAAAAATACTAAATTAACCCTATTAGTATTGTATGATATAGAGATCATGACATTTGTGTAATATATTATAAATTGAAAGTGTATTTGTAATGTTAGGTAGATAATACAATTACTAAAAAAAAGAAATGAATATTTTGTTATGGGACGGATCAAAATGAAAAAATTGATAAATTGTTAAGGGACGAAATGATAAATGTTAATACATTATATATTTTTTTATTTTTTTATTTTTTCCAATTTTGTTTTAAAAAAATTTGAGGGGAAACAATAATTTAAAGTGCATTTTGCCGGAGGTTTAAATTTTAAATTTGCAAATTTGATATGATGTTATAAATATAAAAATAATTTTTAGTATAATCTAAAAGTTGTTTATTCAATTTTTCTGGTGGTGTAATTTTCTATAAATATTAAAAAATATATAAAATATATACACATTAATACAATATATATGATATATAATTTATTTACTCACAAACAATCTAACAATTCAATACAAAATATTAAATATTATTAAGATAGTTAAAGTGAACAAAACCAATATATTTTTATTAAAAATATAATATTCTTTTCCACTATCATGGGTTTGTTCTTTTGACATTTTAACTTAAAACCAATGCTATTCAAATGATACAATTTTCATAAAAAAATACTTTTTTCAGTTTCAAATAATATGCAACAATATTCAAATTTCAACTAAACAAATCCGTATAAAAGTATTATTTAAATAACAACTAAAGAAAAAAAAAAAAAGAAGCAAAAAGGCAAATCCTCCTTAAATAACAATGCAATCATTGGCATCAAAATTAGTACTCTCTCTCTCTCACACATATCGTGTTGTAGACACGGTATTTTAGGAGAATATAATTAATAAATAATTAAAAATGTATTAGTGAAAATAATTATTCTATAATATAAATAATTATAAATTAATATTAAAATAACTAAGTTTAATTAAAATTTTAAAAAAATAATAAAATAAAAAAGTTTAAAATAAAATTAAAGTGTGTAATCATTTTTAAAAAATAAAAGTGACATGGTATGTAAGACGAATAGAAACGACAACGTGGATATGGTATGTGGAACGGAGAGAATATAATCCATATAAATAAATAAATAAATTCGACATATAAAATATAGAAAAAATCAACAGGATATCATAACATAATCAAACTCTTAAATACGCACGGCTGTGATGTAATGTCATGACTGATGACACCCAATCTGTGGCCATGTTTTGAATGTGTGCCTAAATAATTTGCAGCCAAAATTTAGAAAAATAAATAAGTGATACACCCTACCCACAGGTAATAGAAAAACAAACAAATGGGTGGGTGTCAGATTCGGACCAAGTTGAAGATGAAGATCAACATCAAGTTGGTGGCCTACATACAATATAATAATACTACTATCATTTCTGGTCCTTATCTCCTATTCAATATATATATATATATATATATAATATATAACTTTTATTTATTTATTTATTTATTAGCTCAGAATAATCTGGAAATCAAATACAAACACCCAATATATATATAAATTATATTTTCAATATTTAAAAATAACAGGCGAACGAAAGTGATATTTATTTATTTATTAGTTTATACTTCTTTCTCTATCCAGCTAGAAAATATACATATTTCTAGTTTCTATTTTGGAACATATAATTACAAAGTAAATATTTCATTAAATACTTCACTTTTTTTTCACAAATATCTTTATTTTATATCATATTACTTTTACACAAAAAAGCAAGAGCAAATATGTCATTAGACTACTTTTAACTACTATTATTTTTTTTAAAATACCGCGCCAAAAATAAATATATACTTTGTGTGTGAACGGAAAGAGTAATATATATATATATATATATATACACATTTAGTGGGTGTAAAGTGTATACTACAATGCACCTGTTCCTACCCATAACACAAGTTGACTTATTTTTTTCTAGTCAAAATAATACACACAATTACTCCTTTTTCCATCACCACGACCATAAATGTTGACTCAGTCAACAATTATTAAACAACACGCGTAAAGGAGGCAAGGTAAGGGATTACCGACCGACGTCCGGGAGTTCAGATCCCCGGAGTCTTCAAAAGAATTGAGGTCCGGAAGGCATCTAAAAATAAATAGCCTTTCCTGCATCATCAATTCTGATCCTGTAAAAGATATTTACTCCATCGTAGTATATTCAATACTATTATTTATTTACTTTTTATCAATTCAATGTATAAATATTTTACCGATGGTAGTGTTCATTTTGTGGAGCCTTGGAATTGATCCCTCAGCATCTCATATTTCTTCAATTCCGCCATTGATAGTGAGGGAGAGAGCTCCCTCAAAACCTTCATTCAAATTCAACATTAAATCCCCTCATGAATGGTATTATTACCGTAAATTATATAACACTCTCTTGTCTTTTAATGAAAATGCATGTTAATGTATCATCATTGTCGTCCAAAATTGATATTTAGATGTAAATTCGAACTTAAATTATGCAAATTTTATATATAAAAAAAAAATATTTTTGTAAGCGTAATTAAATTCATATTTACAATCAAATATCAATTTTGGACAAAAAAGATGTTACGTACAAATTTTACACACAATAAATAAAACACCCTGTGTTTTGTGCATTTTCACTAAAACATAAGAAAGTTTTATATAGTTTGCCCTATTATTATTATTCAGGGGGGTTGTCCGTACCTCGACAAAATCCTCGTATTCGACTACAATGGAGTCGGGATGGTCTTCCACGCCGGAACCGGAGTCAGCGAGCAACACCTAATGAAAAGTCGAACTTAAACTTGATGTATATAAATGTGGTGGCTTTGTAATTGTGCATCACACTTGTAGAACTGTAGAAAAAATCTAGACGAACCTTGCGTTTCGCAGCATGAAACCAGGCGTCGGCGCAGAGGGCGTACATGTCAGCGCCGGTGAAATTTGGCGGGCATTTTAGTGCTATGTCGTATAGTGACACATCGCCGTGCAGTTTAAACTTCCGAGTAAGTGCTTTAAGTACCCTGACAACGAACGAGAGATCGGAGTGGATCAATATTCGAAATATAATTACTATGTGATGCGAGGTGCAGATGTAAACCTCTCCCGATATGATGCCTCAGAATTTACACCAACATAGAGGAGCTTGTCGAATCGTCCGGGCCTCAGAAGGGCCGGGTCGATGAGATCCGGTCGGTTGCTAGCGCCAATTATGAACAAGTCCTATTGCAACAGAAAATTACATATACACACACATATATATATGTATACTATCATATGTAAGAAAATAACTCACCTGACTAGAATCATTTAGGCCATCGATTTCGGCAAGCATCTAGAAACAAAAACTGTGATTAGACGAGGGTTCGATGGTTAAAGTGCTTAAAAGAAATTCATCGCAGGAAGACCAATAGGGATGATTTTACTTGAGAAACAACTCTGTCCATAACACCACCAGAATCGCCAGAGGCGCCTCGGGCTGGGGCGAGTGAATCGAGTTCGTCAAAAAATATAACGCACGGGCGAGCAGCTCTCGCCTAAAATGGAGAACAGAGTTGATAGAGTCAATATTTTTTATATCAAGTGCTGTCTAGATTTTAGGAAGAACAAAAACACTTATTTACCTTCTGAAAAATGTCTCTAACATTCTTCTCTGACTCTCCTATGTACATGTTGATCAGTTCGGGTCCTTTTACGCTCAGAAAATTCAACGAGCATTCTGTAGCAACAGCTTTAGCCAGTAACGTCTGAGGATTTGTGATAAAACAAAGTCCAATGTTAAGTTTCCGGTAATTAGTTTGGTAGTGCACAAGCCACAATAGCAAATTAAAATCAACTTACTTTTCCAGTCCCCGGAGGACCATAAAGAAGAACACCTGACCTTTTGCGCAGCCCAGATGAAAATAAATCCTTATGCAAGAGAGGGAGCTGCAAAATCAATAAAAAAGACCATAATTAGCACACGAGAAATAGATCAGTCACAACTTTTCTGTTAGATGGACTAAAAAGTGCCAGTAGGTTAGATAGTACAACAATTCGGCATGTCATTTTGTTACATTGGCTGCCATATACATGAAGAAATTTGACTTTCACAAGTACCACCAGAATGCTGTAAATTTAGAAGTGGAAATAGTCCTTTTCGACGTAACAATCAGTTTTCAATTGCATCAAAAATACAAACCAAATCAATTAAACAAAGAGTGAAAAATATACCTGAACGGTATCAAGGATAGATTTTTTCACATCCTCAAGCCCACCAACATCTTCCCATTTGACATTAGGTACCTGTAAAATTATTGCATTTTTAAAGAGTTCCTCTCACATCCAATTCAAATTTTTAAAAAGTATCATGTTGAAGAGGGTTTGCTTTACAGCCTATTTATATATATACCTTTGGAGTGCCAAGAGCTGATGCATTTCTTTTCTTGGATCGCTCCAATGCTTTGCTTAGGTTATCTTTACCAAACCCGAGAGACTCAATCACTTTACTATTATCTTTAGTTGAGTCGGACTCAGATTGACCATGATTCATGTTTCCAGCTTCTAGCCCCTGTCTCTCGGATATCAAATTGGCACCAGCATCAGCAACCAGTGCATGCAGATCCCTGGGCATAAAGCCTGAAGTCTGCCCAACCATATCCTTTACAAGATCCTCCACGGAATTCTGCAATTGAAACACAATCATATCCTTCAAAATCTATGCCCATGGAGAACATACTACTACTACTAATGCTGCAATTAGTACAAGCGGCGTCGAGAGCAGATAGGGATATAACATACATTTGGGATAAGGTCAGAGACGTGCTGAAAAGACTGGGACAGCAATTGAAACCTTTGCTCTTCACTCAAAGGTCCTATCTTGATTTCATGACTAAAACAGCGTCGAATAGTTGGAGGAAGGCCTTCAGAACTGTCTGCAGCTGCAACCAACAGCACCGGGTGCGAATTCTTCACTTTACTAATGTTTAACTGTTGCATCAATAAAGAAACAAGATCTTATAAATAACATCTTAAACATCCAAAAATCATTGCCATCACATTAATGGTTTTAAATTTTCTTTGAGAGTTCTTATTCAAAAGATTAGTGCCTCATTATTGATTGTATAAACAATATATGCATTGCCACAAGAAATGAAATAACCTTTTCAGTATTTATTTTCTTAGATCAAAATAGTTGAATAAACATGTAGATGCTATATTGTGTACTAATGTATTTGTTTGGAACTAACAAACACATGGAAAAATGGACACTTGCATAATCACCAATTGAGTTTGCATCATCATAGTCATCAGCATCTTCAGTAACGGGCTCCGTGCACTGCCTAATAACATGTGCAACTTCTGAGTTAATTCCAAATTGCTCATTTGATGATCCCTCTTGAGCAGCTATATTACGGAAAACCTCAAAGTGACGAAGCAGCAAAATTGTTGGACAATATCTAGGACAGTGATGAAATATAAATGTCATCATGTTGAGATAGAATTTCAAAGCTAAACATTTAGAAGAGAATGCGTTCTGGAGCATAATCCAAGAGTAAGAATACCTCCGGGCCAGACTGAAGGCTTCTGTTAGAGCAACAGAAATTTTCTTTTCAGAAGATGTCAAGAAATTTTGACAACTATATTCCACAACATGCAAGCCCAAATGACGAGCCACATATCGCATCACAGTCCTCTTCCCACAGCCTACAAAACACTTTAGGGTCAGCATAACCAGAAACTTCTCTACTAATATCAGAACACGGAATTCAAAAAAATAAGATAAAATCCATATGTATTATGAGATCTAAGAACATGTGAACTTGAAATTCAATATAAACTGTATAACATACAACAATAGTTAGATGTTTTGACACACAAATTTAAATAATATTTCCTAGAGAAAAGATCCAGAAGCTTGTAACAAACCAGGAACACCATGTAAAAGGACAGCAACCCTGAATCTGGATGACAAAGCTGATGGGCACAAAGTCGGTGCAAGTATGGAAGCTAGAGAAAGCACTGCATCCACTTGTAATGGGAAGGGACTTTTTGGTTCTGGAATTAAAGGTTTTGGGGGTACTGAAGATGGAACACCCCCTCCAAGAACAAGAGCAGTTTGACTGCGGTTAATTCTGAGGACAGGTTCTTCAGATGGTTCCATAGCTACTACCTGAAGTGAGCATGACTTGGATTAGTTGGTGCATCCAGTATTCTAAAGCAACATATAAACAAACCATCACTGTCAGTTCCTAGATTCATAGAAAGAAAAGAAATAAATATTTCAACCTTAAAGTATATCGTGTTGTCTCCACCATTTTGCATCTTTTGGTTGCAAGGGATGCACAACTCTGATTTGCAGTTCCAATTTATGCGTACACTGAAAAGGTCACCTCTGGAAAGAAATCTGTCAACAGAAAAATAGTCATTCAATGCCAAATCTATCAAGTCTTGGCGATCTTGTGCCTCTTCGAATGAACGGGTTTTCAGCCGTCCAAGGGTGCCACACTCTGGTATCTTCACAAAAGAGGCCCTCAGGTGTGATGCATACACAGGAATCCCTGCCCAAGGCTGAAGACTTATAGTAACTGAAGATAGCTCATTTTCTTCCCCATTTGTTTTACCATTTTCTTGCACACCAAATAAAGATGAGAGTGTGTCTTTCCCTTGTTGCACGATAGACTTCAAGCATGATGTATGCAAGCTCAGGTTAAACATGAGAATTGGAGATAAATAAGCTACTTGATGATCCAAAGCCGTAGACTGACTTTTCGAATACGTGTAAGATGGGAAGACCAACATTGTTTTAGGAGAAGCCGAGGAAACTGATCTGCATTGCAAGACGTTGCCATCTGAATTGGGAGGGTCCAAGACCACTGCTTGCCCAATTCTACTTACACTGGCATCTATATTCTGGACGAGTATCTACAATTGTAAGAAACTAAACTTAGGCAGGTAAACAAAAAGACTTAAGATAACACCAATTTATTCACAACCCAAAACTTATGCACTTGATATCTGCACTGTTCATAATCCGCAGTAGTCTCAACAAAACACCATGGACCAAAATTAATCAATAAACGTGATAAAAATCATTTTCAACAATTCCTAAGCTAGAAACCTTCCCAGGACACCATGTCTTCAAGAGGCTCAACAAAATGATTGTAGTGTTTAAAACAATCAACAAATTAGGAACTAAGAAACGTACCAGAGAACCAGAAGTAATCGATAATCTTTTAAGCGCAGAAGTAGACAATCCAACCAAAACGAAATCATCAACCGAATCGAAAGGCTTGTCCTCCTCCGAACATCTGAGAATTCCGGCCGCTAACTGCAGAGTCGGAGCGGAGGAGGAGGTGGCTGGGGCAATCCCGAGAACTCCATCGCTGTCATTAGGAGCTTTGTCAGAATGAAGCAGTGAATCAACGAGTGCTTTAGTTGAAGAAAGAACCAGCGGCTTCCTCCTCCTCCTCCCCCTCTCCACCATTATCGAAACACAACAAAGCTTGCTCAAGAACCGTCTATCAGCAGTCAAATCAAACACTCTACAAAAGGCCCAAATAATTGGGCCCACTAAAGAAGCCCAAGCCTATGTAGTAGCTGAAATCGGATCCCACATCGGTAAATTGAGTAAAAACAAAATCATATATATACGGAAATTCTCTATATAATGTACGCCGGGCTTAGTAGCGTAAGCCTGTGACCCTAGCGGGGGCATTAAGGCGCTAGAAGGTTGGCAGGCGCGCGGCAGGAGCTGGGGCCCCCGGTCCTCTCATGTTGCGGGGTCAAGGCTCAGGTGACCGCCGGAAGTGGTGGTTGCCGGCGGCGGTTATGAAAATAGCCCGGCCGGCGGTGCCCCAGAAGTGCCGGCCGGAGAATTGGTGGAGGCACCCCACCGTATGGAGTCTAACTCGCCGGCTTCCACCACAGGCTAGGAAGGCCAACTCAGTCTGAGGTGGAAGCCGGCGAATACATGTGTGAAGTTAGACATTAACACGTTGAATAGCTGGCTTGACAGAGCAGCAGCCGCTACCTGCCTCGCAACATGGGTAGACCGTTCGCCGGCCGCCGTGGCCCTGCTAACCGAACCTCGACCTTTTGCTACGTACGGTTCAGGTCGCTCGAACCGGGCGGTTCGAGTTTCCGGTTCAAACCGTCGTTTCGGCTCAGGTCGCTCGAACAGCTCCCGGTTCAAACCGCCATGTTATTTATTTTAATTATATACTATAATTTTATTTTTTTTTGAGATTTTAGTATTGTTGATCAATTTTTAATATAAATCAATTTAATTAAATTTTTTTAAATAATAATATATGTTTAAAACTTTTTTATTTATATTTTTTTCAATTAATAATTATTTTTATTTATTTTTTAAATTTTTTATTTTATTATAAAACTAATTTATGATAATAATAAATAAATTTTTTATTTAATTGTATTATATAAATTTTATTATTGCAAAATAATATCAATATTATATATTTTTTATTGAGATAAAATATTTAAATATATTTTAAAATTATTAAATATCGATCAATATCTAAATAACTACTCAGATCTCCATGGGTTAAACTTATTCACTATTTCTATTTTTATCGTCACACGTAATTTGCCACATAATATAATTATACACTTTAATCACATTTTAAAATTCATAATTTATAATTTTTTATTTAAATTAAATTATTTAGTCTTCTTCATTTATAATTATTTATATTAAATTATACTCTCTCTGTCCGTATTTTCTATTTTCGTCCGTCTCACGTAACTTGTTCTTATTTTCGTCAGTCCCACATAATATGTTATTTTTTTATTTGAAAAATTGATTATACACTTTAATGATATTTTAAAATTTAATTTTTTTTAATCTTAATTAATTTATAATTATTTTTACTAATACACTTCTTAATTACTTATTAATTAATATATTTTTTTAAAAGAATATTAAATTAAACTTATACTATTTTAAATATTTCCCAAAATTTTAAAGCCATTGCAAAATCTGTAGGTGGTTGGTGGAACTCGTGGTTCAGATTGTCCGCCATTGCCGCCCACCTGCAGCAACCATTTCATTTCAATTTTACCTAACCTTCAAACCAAACATTAATTATATAGATCACTGTATAACCGCGTGATATATATATATATGTGCAGCTGCATTCATGTGCGCTAAACTGTAGTTACTAGTTTCAGTGGAAAAATGGTTACCCAAGTCCAAGTCGAATCCACCGTATTTCCGCCGGCGGTTAGGCCGCCGGGATCCGCCAAAAGCTTATTCCTCGGCGGCGCAGGTGAATCACTACTTCCTTCCTACTGCTATTTGTTTTGGTCTCTGTAGATTTGGTTATGACTTACGAGATCTGCGCAGGGGTGAGAGGCCTGGAGATTCAGGGCAATTTCGTCAAATTCACCGCCATTGGAGTGTACCTTGAAGACGTCGCCGTTTCGTCGCTCGCCGCGAAGTGGAAGGGGAAATCGGCCGACGAGTTGGAGGATTCCGTCGAGTTCTTCAAAGATATCATCTCTGGTAAAAAAATATTGTGATAAACAAATTGTTGAACATATAGATAGATGTTTTTCATGGAGACCTAATGAAACTGCAGGTCCTTTCGAGAAATTCACAAACGTGACGATGATTCTGCCATTGACTGGCCAACAATACTCACAGAAGGTTACGGAGAACTGCGTCGCAAACTGGAAATCGCTAGGGCAATACGACGACTCCGCAGCCGAAGCGATCGAGAAGTTCCTGCAAGTATTTAGAGACGAAACGTTTCCGCCTGGATCCTCCATCCTCTTCACTCAATCGCCTGCAGGATCGCTGACTGTAAGCGCTTCGCAATTTAATTATCAATTTCCAGAAGCTTTATCATATAAACAATTCATCGATTTAAGCTATGAATGTCGTTCTTCAGATCAATTTCTCGAAAGACGGTTCGATACCTGAGAGCGGCGGAGCGGTGATAGAGAACAAGGCGCTTTCGGAAGCGGTGCTGGAGTCGATCATCGGGAAGAACGGCGTGTCTCCACCGGCGAAACGGAGCCTGGCGGAGAGATTATCGGAGTTAATGAAAGAAGAAAAATCGTGAGGTCGGTCGATTGCTGTTCGATCTGATAATGAAAAACGCTACTAGCAGCTCTTTCTTCCTTTGTTCCTCCATGATTGTGTTTCAAAGCTTTGATGAATTTATTTATAGTGGAGTGGAGGGAGGAAGCGTATGAATAAAAATTGAAGGCTTAATTACACTACACACTTGTTGGATTGTTACCTATTTGAACAATTAGTTAGATTATATTAATTGATCTATTGAGTTTAGATGTCACTTAACAATCTATCATTTTGTTAGTCTCATAACAAAATATCTATTTTTTTTTAGTAATTGTATTATTTAGTTAATATTACGAATATCTTTCAAATTTACAATATATTACACAAATATTACTTTTATATCATACAATACTAATAGGTTTAATTTATGGCGTATTTAGCAATTAGCTGATAGCTGATTCAATTAGCTGGTTTGACTAACTGATTCGATTAGCTATTTGTATTAAAATGTTTGGTAAAGATATTAGTTGTTTATACATAAAATGACAATTGAGGATATTTCTATTTTATTTTTGTTTCTAATATATTCAATTATGTTCTTTTGAGTTTAGAATGTTTAAAGTTTTTTTTGTTATTGATTATTGAAAATTATAAAAATTTATTTTTATTAAAATATATAAATAGTTTTTTCTATCGATTAGTTCATTATATTTATAATTTTTAATAAATTTAATTTACTTTTAGTATAAAATTTATATAATGTAATTTTAATATAAAAATAAATTATTAATATTTATATTTTCTATTTTATGTTAATTTTAATAAATTTATATATTTTACAATTAAAATAATTTTATATAAAAATTAATTTTTTTAAATTTATAAAAGTAAAACTATAATATTATAAAATATTCTAATATAATTAATAAATAATCAAAATATATTTATTTGTGTAAAATGCATAATAAATTTTTAAGGGCATATAAGGAATAAAAAATTGTTTACACAAAAAGTTATTTCAAAACGTTGGCTAAGTTAGTTTTTTAGAAATTAACTTTTTGGGTCCAAAAAGCTATTCCAAAAAATTATTTTATCAAACACCTAAATTAGCTTTTTGACTAGTTATATAACTAAAAGTTGTTCAATAAGCTAAAAGCTCTTTAAAAAACTATTTGTCAAACACCCCTTAATCTTTTTATCTTTATTTCTACTTTATCCCAATATAATTACTAATATTTCTAAAACTCCGTGCAAAAAAAAAATAGATATATAGATATGAGACGAATTGAGTATTTAGTAAGTACAAGCCTCCTATTCATTTATTGGGTTTAGATGTATTTAGTAAGCACAGACCTCTTATTCATTTATTGGGTTTAAATGTATTTAGTAAGTACAAGCCTTTTATGTTCAGAAACCCGATGTCAATTAATAATAAGAGATATAAATAGAGTTGTGATCCCAGATCTAGAAGCAACAACCATTACTTTTTATATCTCATCGTGAGAATAACGGCAGAAATCCTAGCTGTTTTCTCAAAAGGAGTTGCGTCATAGACTTAAAGAATATAAATTCTCCGTTAATTTGTATATGCGAATCTATTTGCACTATTGGAATAAAATTAAATTTACTTTATTATCTAATTATTTTAACACGACAAATCTTGGGCTTAAAAATTAAATTCCTGATAAGATCTAACAACACTCTCTAATGGTGTCTTTAATCACTTCTCAATTTCATTGCCATTTGGTAGTAGTGTGAAGTGGCCGGGGGTGTGTGTGGGCGTGAGGATATAATTATTTACGTATCAAGAGTGTTTTTTTTTTTTTTTTTTTTTTTTTTTTTTTTTTTTTCGTATAAAAGAAAAATAATACACAATTTCAAAAAAATAATATAATAAAATATCTTTAAAATTTATCTATTTTTTTAATTTTGGTTTATTTTATAACAAAGTATAAATATTAAAAATACTTTTACATGTCACACTATACTAATAAAGTTATTTTAATTTTTTTTATTTTATTCATACTATATTCAACATAATATTAATATTTTTAAAATTTAAAAAAAAAAAACAAATGAATACATAGAGAAATGGCAGAGAGAGTAATTAATATGTTATATCTTTTATTATTTTGTTCGGCTATTTATGTTCGTTTTACTATAGACATGCAAATTTAGAAACAATGTAATTAATAAATAATTAAAAATATATTAGTAAAAATAATTATAGTATAATAAAAATAATTATAAAATAAAATTAAGATAACTAATTAGTGTAATTAAAATTATAAAAATTTGAATATGATATTTTATGAGAAAAAAATGAAACAAATCTCAAGATATCCATTTATTTTGAATTTTAAAAAATAATAGTATTATAATTAAAATGTGTAGTTAAACAAGGTAAAGATAAATTTATTTTTTATTTTTTGTAAAAATAATTATATGATGTAAAGTAGAAATATTTGTATAAAAATAAAATATATTTTTTAAAATAATTATTTTGTAATTAAACAATTTTAAATAGTAATATACTGAACTTAGTTAGTATTTGATATATTCTATGAAAAAATTGGAAGGTAGTAATTGTTTAGTTTTATAATTTTAGATACTTTTTTGTTGTAAAGTATAAAATATTATAGAATATTATAGGAAAATAGTACTATTTTTTGTTTTTCTTTTTAAGTTTTAATGTTAAGTATATATATTGTATATTATATATTTTAAATAATAATTTTTTTAAAAAAATTATGTAAATAAAAAATTAAGTGACCACAATGTTATTTTTTTTCTTTCAAAAGTATATATATAAAAGAATTGATACGGTGCTAACTAGAAATTAATCCGATATAATACATAATGTAGATTGTCATTGACAAATATACATTTTAAATATATGTTCGAGATCAACAATAAATATGGAACTTCTTCACTTAATATTTTTAAATAATTTTATTTTCCATCGTATTAATGAAATCGTGTAATAGTTTGTATTGAACTGATAAATTTTTTATAAATAAATAAAGTATATATATATATACTATATATTGTATTAATATAAATATATACAATTATACATTATATTTTTATAATATTTATAAAAAAATCATATCACAGAAAAATATATATATTATATGAACAAATTCTTTACGTAGACTATTATCATTTGTTACTGGTTCAAATGATGCATTTCTACTATATTAACATATTTTTTAAGTTTCTTATATATTTTTCTCGTGTATTAAAAATTTATATTTCATATACTGCAAATACAATTATGATTAATTCCAATAAGCACAGTAACCTTTGTCATGTTCTATAAATATCCACTTGGCACATTTTATTAAATTACTAATATTTTAAAAATAGTTCGATATATATATTTCAATTTTAGTTATTTATTAAAATAAGATTACATCACCCCCCCTATCCAAAAATCCTCTACTTCATCTCATTTAAAAAGCTCCAAAAAAAAAATCTAAAATCATAACTTATAAAAAAAGAAAAACATAAAGTAATAATAATAATAATAATAATAATAATAATAATAATAATAATAATAATAGTAATCGAATATATACATTATATATAAATAATAACTGCAGATAATAGATAGATGTGCTAAAGAACAAGTATGTAGCCCTTACAGAGGTAATGGAGTGAGACTTCTTTAAGTAGAGATGGTGGCCACAGATTCAGCAAGCTCCTCCAATAATTCCTTCTGCTCCATAGCAGCACAAGACTGTCCGTATACACAATCAGTATATATATCATATCATATCATATCATTAGGTTCGGGTTTGCTTTGCACAGCACAAATATACGAGACGATCTAAGTTAGTTAGTCGTTAGCCTGAATTACCTGAACAGCCTCCTCGATGTCCCCATCGAGAAATGATGTGAGCTCAAAATTCATCTTTAATCTGTGATCAGTCACTCTGTTGTCCTGAGGCATATAAAAGAGCACATTAAGACGTCTGCTCGAAAGCGCAGCTCAAGAACAGCACATTGTGAAAATAATAGGGATAATCGGACATGCTTTTCCAGTGCAAGGAATTGAAGCTAAGGAATATACCTTGTAGTTGTATGTCCTGATTTTCTCTGATCGAGCGCCGGTGCCCACCTGCCGTATGGTAAAGATCAGCTAGTTTGTGTTTATGTGACCGGAAGATTGTATATATTCGACCAAACCGTGTTAGTTTAATATTTTTTAAAAATGAATTGGGTGTAGGATTATGAACCACTAATAATGCTCATCTGCCAACACCGTTTATATAGAGCATAGATTTATTTTCTACTTATCAACAACAAAGAAAGGAAATTCTGTACGAAAAGAATGAAGAATTAACAAGACGAAGACATGCTAAAATCGACTATTTTTCTTTCAAGTGTGTGTATGAAAAAACCTGCATTTTCCGCTGATTACTAAGCTTTTCTTGTTGTTCTCTTACTTTCATCTCATACCTGTGGCAAAGTTACCAATAAAAACAAACAAGGTAAAAAGTATCAATATGTAATACAGTCTAGTAGCAAATGTGTACTAAAATATCAAAAAAGTGGGTGATTCTTAGAAGCAACTTCACCTAGAGGGTGTGTTTACTATACGTGAAACATCTAATCACATGTTTACTTTGAAAGATTAAAACCTGGTATTATCCTCCATCCGTATTTTTTATACTACTTTTTATGATTATCCTATCCTATCTTATAGATGGGATTAAATAATACCTTACACCATGATTAAATAATACTACAATTTTATCCTTAAAAGTAAACACACCTAGAATGTATCAGCAACTCTGCTGGGGTGAACTATAATAGTACTATCCATATATATATATATATATTTATAATGATAATAGTACTATATATTAATCTAACATGATATTGTCCCCTTACAGTTTTGCGCGCAATAGCTGAAGTGCACGGTTCTTGTTTTTAAGCTGAGTTCTTTCTTCGGTGCAAAAGATTCTTATTCCCGTTGGTTTGTGGAAAAGATCAATAGCTGTCTCCACCTTGTTGACATTTTGCCCTGCATTTAGAACTCATGCATAAATAAAAGGAAATAAACATCGAAAAATTAAAGCAACAGTTTCAGGAAGTAGAAGGCTTTAGATGAGAACTCAAAGCTTGTTCCGGTAACAATTAATAAAATGGCGTGGGGATGGAAAAGTTCCACAAATTTCTGGGTATACCTCCAGCACCACCAGATCTTGCTGTTGTAAGCTCGATATCCTTTGGGTCAATTTCAACGTCTACTTCATCAGCCTGGCAATATATAGCACAAGAATTAGGTTCAATATAATGTAATATGGAAACCAAAATTATACTAAAGCAAGTGAAACAAATGCAATTGATGATAAATGCTCATCAAAGTATTAACAAGAATTAACAATTAAGGATTACAATATTCCGTAATGTTTCAAGAGAAATAGCTAAGAGAATAAATAAAATTGTCAAAACTACTTATTAGTGTCAGTTAAAATGAGATGTCACAACATCATTGTTGAACAGATTTAGGAAACAATCACAGAAGTCTGATGAAATGAGATAATAGATCATATCAGATTAGCCAGCACTGCACTAAAGATGTTACCTCTGGCATGATAGCAACAGTTGCTGTAGATGTATGAACACGACCTTGGGCTTCAGTTTGGGGAACACGTTGAACCCGGTGAACACCCGACTCAAACTTCAGTTTGCTATAAACACGACTTCCTCTTATCTCCATGACGCAAGTCTTATATCCTCCTCTTTCAGCCTAGAAAGGAGAAAGCAAGTAAGCTCTATACTAATATGTTTGGTACTGCATGCAGGGGCAAATATGTATTTACTACCTCAGAGCTTGAGATAAGGGCATACTTCCATGAATTCCGTTCACTATACCTCTGATACATGCGTACCTAGCATGCATGGAGAAAAGAAATAAACAATTTTAACTGTCATATGTATCCTGACAAATATTATAGAAAAATACATCTGCATTTTAAAGAAAAAAAGGCAACTACAAGATCACCAGCCCAAAGCCCAGCCTCATCACCACCGGTCCCAGCCCTCACTGTAAATTACGAAAATCAACTATCTTAAGTCAATGAAAGAAATAAGTTTATTCTGATAGAAGTTGATAAGAGTTCTTTGATTGACTGATTATGGCCAAGGTCAATTTTAGAAACTGCGAGGAAAGAATATGGATTGAAACTTCAACACTAAATTTCATTCGATAGCTATAAAAATTTGGAGAACCATAATGAAATGAAAAGCACAATAAGATAGAGATTGGAAAATTTGAACAACAGTCTTGAAGCTATCGTTACAGATTTCCAAAATCCATGTAGAATAAGGACATAAACTAAAATTGAGAAGGACTAACATTACCCTCAAACCTCATCTCATCTGCCATATTAATGTAAATGAAGCAAGACATAGTAATAGCCTTCAACTGCCATGTTGATCCCAAAGCATGCATCTAAGAGTGGTTACAATATAATTGATTATTAACTTAAGCTAACCTTCAAGCATTATATTCCTTGCATCAAGAGGATCCGTCGGTACTAGCAAGACCTGTTGTTTTGAAGAAATATAGGATATATTTATAAGATTCATACAAATAATAAAAATGATGCTAACTAGATTAAAAACCTTTAGCCTCTCTTCAATCTCATTAATTTGTTTGGTTAAGCTTTGAATTTCTGCATCGATCATCTCTGCCATGTCATCATCATCGCCATCCTCTTTCGCCAAACCTGCACTTAAGGTAAGTGAATCAAGAGGAATGGGGGTGGTCAATTCTCATTTCTAATTTCATTTCCTCGCGTATTTCACTTACTAGAGAAACAGGAAAGCAAAATTTACCTTTGGCTTCTTCTAGTTGCTTTTCACAATCCTTAAAGCTCCTATATGTTGACACAACCTACAACATCAAAGAACCCGATGCGGTTGTATTAGTAAAATTTTGCAAGTAAAAAAAAATACTTGGTGGATTTTAAATGAGCAGTACCTCATCGAGCTCTGCCACGGACTGTGCTAATTTCTGATATTCGCTCGGATTTGAGACTACGTCCGGATCAGCCATTTTGACCTGGTGGTAGCAAATTTTCAATGTAATTTCCAGGAAGAGAACAAAAGTGGCGAGAGTGCAGAATTGATTTATTTGGTACATGAATCTGATATAATTGATGTTGATATCAATAGTATCGGAGTTGAAGGCAACATATGTCTTGCATTAAGAACATCCTTCTGGTTGTATCAAGATATGCTTTCGAACAACAGCACAAACCAAGGGATTCTTCAGCTATATAGCACTTATCAGCATATTCTAGGGTAGAATGAAAATTCAAGCTCAGTTGTATGAAATCATTCAGCGATGTCTAACAATTGACCGTATATCATTTTCTAGAGAACTCCTGTATAATATTAACATCACTAATCTCACATGTCACCGCTGAGGTTTGAAATCAAAGCCGCAAATTACTCAGCAGCAAAAACACAGATAGTCATAGCAAATTCCAAATTCATGAGGATAATAGCACGCACAAAATTCATACCGATAATTCTTTCCACGTTTTCTCGGCGGACTCTAATTTAGTAAGCAAATACGGTTCCTGCAGTTTCCGCCAAAAATAAAAACAGCATCAGCTGCAAAATACGAGTACCAAAAATTACGTCGACAAAACACATGGAAAGAGATAAAGAACTCCTCCGATACTGTTTTCCTTCCATGAATTTGAAAAATCAACCAATCCTAACAATTACCGCCATGCATACGAATCTTTGGGGGCGGCAGCGGCGCTCGTGCGGTAGACAGACGAAAGAGCGGTGCGAAAATTGAGCTCTCATGGGGAACGAAAACCGAGCGGTGAAGCTCGCCGTTAAAGCGTCCATAGCCTCCGGCAGGACGTCGGCGGAAGAAATTTGGATAAAGGCGCGAATTGCGAAATCCTCGACGCTGGAGCTGTTTAGTGACGGATGAACAACAAGCGATTGAATTGGGTTGCGGATTGGGTGGACTTGCCCAATCGTTCCGAACCGCCGGTTCCCCAATTTTTAAGCGGCGACTCCGGTCCGACATCGAACCGAATCCGTTCCTTCGTTTTTCAAACCGTAAATCGAACCGACAGTTAAATATATACTCTCTGTCAGACTTACATGTATGGGTTGGCAGGCTACCATATTAGTATTTTACATTTAATAATATTATTTATAATCTTGTGTAAATTGTAGTAATAAAAATATTTTTATTTAAAAAACGAGTACATCCGAATTATACACAAAAGCAAACTTTACCCAATTTTTACTGTTTATCACTTTTTTTTTAAAAAAAAAATATCGTATCTACTCAAATTTTTATTTTTTATTTATTCAAAATATAAAATCAGTACTTATTTATATTACATCATTTAATTATTTCAATTCAAAAATTTTATAAATATCTATGAAAGAGAGTATAGATTGAAAGTGGGAAGATACTTTGATAAATATCTTGATTGCGGATGTCCTTAATAATTATCTGGATCAATTTTATACTAAAATCTTTCAATCTATTATTGTTGTTTCTTCGTGCAAACTCAACTTTTATGAAAAAAAAAATATCATAATTATTTTACAAAAAAAAAAATGTAAGGTCACATTGCTTGAATAGTGGGGTAAACTCAAAGTGCATAAAATACGAGTTTAGTATTGAATGTCTTACTCTTGTATAATCTATATGAATTGAATTCTTTAAGGATGAAATAGTCATTATCACATCATTCGTGACGTAAAATCATTTTTCACCCCCAGGTACTATATTGTCCATACGTTATAAACATATTGTGATCATGCTATTTTTTATTTTTTGAAAAATAATAGATTTATCATTACTAATTTTAAATTCATTTGTCCTCCACGTCCTATAAACTACAAATCTCGAGATTATTGATTTTCCTCTGTTTCAACTTTTTATTTCTAAAGTGTTTCAAAAGATATTTGTGCTACCATAGTCTTTGTGTGGACGTAGAGTACGCTTTTTTTTTTTTTTTTAAAATATATTTAATATAAAATTTGACTGAAATTATAGTGTTAAAGTTGCTGTAATTTTGTGTAATTTGGGAGAAGGGAAACTTTTTGCTTAATCTACTACTTGCTGGGAAAATATTTTGGGACATTTTGGTATGAACTGTTTTGGTGAAATTGTGTGTTATACTTCTATTATTATTATTATCATTAGAAAAGATATTCTCTTAATTTATTAAGGGGCTGGTAGTGACAAATTAATTATTATTTGTTTAAGTGAATAATAAAATTATAAATAAATAAAATTATTTTTAATAAATAGATTGTACCTGAACTTAACAAACCTAAGAAAGAAAAGAAAGTAAAATAATAATGACAGATAATAAAATATTACATACTTTAAGGGTGTGTTTGTTTGGGGATTGAATTTTAATTCCATTATTCATTCTATTTTTTTTTTTAAAAACATCAAATTAAACAAGTATTTTTTTATTTTTCATATTATACTAAAAATCAATTTTACATTCAAAATATCACATCAACATCTATTTATATCACATCATACAACTATTCAAATTCAAAATTTTTACTATTCAAATCTCAACTCAAAATCCAAACCCCCAAACAAACACACCCTATATTACTTTATTTTAAAGAACAACACTATTCTTATAATTTAGGGTGTGTTTGTTTGAGGGATTTGTTTGGATTTTCACTATTTATCCTATTTTTCCCTAAAAACATCAAATTAAATACCTATTTTTTATTTTTTATATTATACTAAAAATCAATTTTACATTCAAAACATCACATCGAACACCTATTTATATCACATCATATAACTATTCATATTCAAATTTTTTACTATTCAAATCCCAACTTAAAATCAAAACCGTCGAACAAACACACCCTTAATGTATAAGTATATTCCCAAATTGAATCTTTGCCCAAAACTTTGAGGGAGAACTATTTTATTTTATTTATTTTTTATTATTATTTATACAATATTTTGGGTGTTTATTTTGTGTGTTTGGATGAATGCGATTTTTATTTTATTTTAATGTTATTTAAGATAATATAAAAAAATAATATTTTATATAGAATTATTATTATTTTTTATATATAAAATATAATATATATATATATTAGATTAATATACAAAATATATTATATGTTTTTTATAATATTTATAAAAATTATACCATTTAAAAATTATTGAGATGCACCAAACCTACATTTAAAGCAAAACACAAGGAGCAAACGACAAACTTAAGAGTTTAAGGTTATGTTTGATTTGAGTTTTTAGCATTGTTGATAGAAAATTTTATACACAATTTTGATTTTAAATATTTTTAAAAAAATTACATTAAATTATTATTATTATTATATAAACCCAAAAAAAACAAAACAAACCCTAAAAACACGCGACGAACCACGAGTCCACAACCCTAATAATTTCTATTTTCAGACGACAGCCCACCCAAGAAGGGCAAATACGTAATTCCAAACAGCTGACTGAGTGTCGGTTGCCAGCTGCAATTCCCCAAAACACGTTTTCAGGGATACAAAATCCATATTTCCAGTAGCGACTTTACGTATGTCTGCGATACGCCAAGCACGCTTTTGTTTTCACACGTTGGCGGGTACACACATACATACACAAAGGCAAAGCAGGCAGAAGACCAAAATTATAGAGCACATAAATAAATACGCTACCGTACGTAGGAAGGAACGCACGCTAATTGACGAAGCATCAGATACCGTACAAAACAACACCACCTCTCTCTCTCTCTCTCAGTACCTCACTCCCTCTCTCTCATACTGTTTCGTACAATCCGAGAAGGGCTCCAGGAAGGAGGAGGAATACCGAATACTATCCATCGATCAGAGGGGGGACAGTATATGGAATTACACAACACGGCCGTGTTGGAGGTTGTTTGAATGGTTCTTGCTTGTTAGCTTCTTTTAGCGGCGGCGGAGTTTGAATGGAGCTGTACGGCGATCAGGAGCAGGCGGAATGGGGCGAGGAGACGGGTCTGGAAGGTGGGTTAGGGTATGGATTTTTTTCTGATTTTATTGAATTTGTTTTTTTTTTTTTTTTGTGCGGTATGGCATTGCGCAGGTAGTTAGGGTTTTGAGGAACAGTTTAGTGAGGGGATTGATTGATTGATTGATATTCGGCCATGACTGTGAGCTATTGAATTTCGATTGCGTGTTTGTGACGTAGAGTCGATGCGGAGGCTGAATTTGTGGAACGGAGAAGCGTACCCGGAGAGGCCGGGTTTGCCCGACTGCGCATACTACATGCGGACCGGGTCGTGCGGGTACGGATCCAAGTGCCGCTACAATCATCCCCGGGACCGTATCAGTTCGGTGAGCTAGCTCTTACTCGCCATTAATGGTGCTCTGTATCAATTTTGGTGCTCGTTACTAAATTTTAGGGTTGGGACATTTTGTGGTAATAATTAATCTCATTGCTTGCTTATTTACTGGCTAGATTCATTTATTTCACCCTGTCGGTGGTGAACTTCAGTTGAAATGTTTAGGGTTTTAGGTAATTTATTTGGAGTTTGGTTCAATTAATTTGTAATTACCCTCTTTTGCATCAAGAACAGGGGGAGGGTTGTTTGAATTTTGAACTATTTCAGTGTAGTAGAAACAGAATGTTGGTCTTATTTCTTCTTTGTTGGGATGTTATATAGTTTGCAGGTGGAGATTATCCCGAAAGAGTCGGGGAACCTGCTTGTCAGGTATTCTTCTTTAGGCTTCGATTACTTCCGTGTATTCTTAACTAATTTGATGTTGGGTATTTGAACATTTACCACTGTAAATGTGCAGTTCTATCTAAGAACAGGAACCTGTAAATTTGGTGGATCTTGCAAGTTTGACCATCCAAAGAATGTCGGGAGTGTACTAATGAATTCACTTCTCAATGTTTATGGATATCCATTACGACCGGTAATCATAATCTGAACGATCCTAGTGTTTCTATGTTTACTTGCTAATTTGTGTCGTGAGGATATTTCCAATGTGACGCCAGTTAGCATATTATGTCTTAAACAGGGCGAAAAAGAGTGCTCCTATTATTTGAAAACGGGGCAATGCAAATTTGGTAGAACCTGTAAATTTGATCATCCTCAACCTGCTGGTGCGTCCGTGCCAGCATCTGCACGTCCATTTTATCCGACGGTGCAGTCGCTTTCTTCTTCTCCCGAGCATTATGACAGCACAAAGTCCAGTTACAGGGTTGCAAGACCTCCTTTATTGCCTGGCTCATACGTGGCTGGTGCGTACGGTCCGATGTTGCTCCCGGGAGTTGTTCCCATACCAAACTGGAATCCTTACTCGGCGGTAGGCATTTATTATTATCATTATTATAAGATCCATAATCGACAATTGGAAGCGCCTCCTCATCGAAAAATGTGCTTGGTTTTGTTTTTGGTTCAGGGATCAGTGAGCCCTGCTCCCTCACCTGGAGCACAGCCCTCTGTCGGAGGTGCAACTTCTGTATACGGCGTGTCACAATTGGGTTCTTCTACACCTACTTTTATAGATCCTTCAGGTAGCGTAATGACAGAGCAGCAATTTCCTGAGAGACCCGGCCAGCCAGATTGCAAGTACTATATGAAAACTGGAGACTGTAAATATGGGTCGTCGTGTAGATATAACCACCCAAAAGATTTGGTTATATCACTGTCTAATTGTGCTCTCAGCCCATTGGGGCTGCCTCTGCGTCCGGTATGCTCTGCCCTGTTATCCAAATTTCTGAATTATTATTTCCTTATGAAGCTATGTTTTTGGTTCGATGTGTCCTGTAATTCCTTTCCTTTTGTCTTGATTCTTGCCTTGGATGGTAGTTTTGGCATTTATTACTCGAATATGTTTGTGGTTATTTTTAATGCTATGTTTGCCTAATATATAGCCACATTGTTTAGGGTAAAAATAGATATCATTCTTTTGTTCAAAAGATGTGAAATGAATCTATATGTATAACTACATTAAAATGTTCGAGTTGTTTTCTTTCACTAATCTATACCCTATACATCAAGGGGTAGGTAGGTAATCAGGAAAACCAGATACGGCTGACCTTAAAATCTACATTATGCTTACGAAACATGAATAGAACCAATTGTACAATAGGAAATGCATCAAATGTTACGAGCTTGTTATTGCATTAGAAAGTTGTATATATGTTTTTTATGCCGACTACATTGAATTGGGTAACTTTTTAAGGATAAGTTGAAACAGATAGGTAATTGCAGTTACATATAGAACTTGGACTCAAACACTACATATTCACTACACTATACTAAACTTCATCTACATCTGTTTTATGAAAACCAAGTTATGAGATGCCCGAGCAAGCAACATCTTTTAGTTTTTTTTTTTTTTTTATTCAATTGCATAAATGAATGCGTCTGTTGAACAGGGGTTGGAGACCTGCACTTTTTACATGCAGAGGGGACACTGCAAATTCGGGCGTACATGTAAATTTGATCACCCCATGCCTACCATAAAATACAGTCCAGCTTCTTCATATACAGAAATGCCGGGTACTTCTTGCATTCTCAATCCTTCTCCTAAAGTTAACCTTTTCATCTAAATTATTTACATTAAACGACTGCAGGTTAAATGCACTGCAGGATCGAAAGTGGATCCTAGCACCACCAGGATGCAGCAACATAGATCACAGCTTCCGGTGGTTATGTGGACCTAAATGGCTTCAAAAAAATTGTTTCCACCTCACTCAACGCCACCCGGTTCTTGAATCAGAACTTGTCTCCAAGTAAGCAGCAAATCAGAATAAGATGCGGTGAAGTTCACTTTTTCAATTGATGTAAATACATTACATCCCCTTCTTACTTATTGCTTCGCGGATTATCAACTAGCCTCAAAACTTCTATAAGCATCATTGAACTTTTATTTTATTTTATTTTTGTTTCTGAAATTCTTAATTTAACTGATGACCATTGTTGGGAGCAAGATGATGACCATTTATTTCTGAAAAGATTTTTTTTTTTATGTCTTCCTGTGTTCTTTGTATGTTTATGCTGATTTTGGTAGAGATATACACATGCATAGACATATATATCCCTGTGTGTATATCTATAATTCTATATATATATCCCATTTTCTTAGGATTAGATTTTGGGATTGCTGTATGTTTCTGCAACATTTACATGGAGAAACAAGAGAGATGAAATCTACTCATAGTTTCATGGGATCCCTCTTTCTCTCTCTTAATCTCTGTGTTTAATTTATTTTGGAGTGAGAAAGAAAAGAGAGGGAAAACACTACAGGCAGGCAGGCAAGAAGGGCATGTATATATGCCACATGTTGCCATAAAAGCCTGCAAATGTGGTCCTGAAAGCATACATCTATTTTACACAGCAATATATATATATATATCCATGATATGATTGCAAGCACTGATTGATAATATATATATATATATATTAGGTTTTTGTTTACCCTAAAAATGCCATCTTTAGAACATCATTAGCATCATCCTATTCTAAGTGGATTACTTTTTTGCTGCTGGGGATAACAAACATATTACTAAGAACATCTCAATTGATTTCTTTGCTTAGACTAAGTGCCCTTTATTTTATTTTATTTATTGAATATGCATAATAGAGGTAGTGTTAGGTTATGCAGTATTTATAGGATAAAGAATAAATAAGAATGGCTGGGGCATTAAGCATTGGCATGGGTGGTGTGTGCCATTATGATCTCAGCTGCTCTCTCTCTCTCTCTCTTTCTCTCTCTAGGCCTATGATCTTCTTCTTTTTATTTTTATTAACTTTCTCTTTTTTAGTCTACAGAATCATCATGCCTTCTTTATTACAAATGAAGCATGCTTGTATGAATGCTCTTGTGGCCCATCACTTATTATTATTATTATTATTACTCCATGTCCACGTTGCTGTTTCTGTCTGTTTCACGTACTATGTCACTTTTTTTTTTTTTTTTTTTGAAAATAATTACATATTTTAATTTTATTTTAAATTTTTAATTTTTTTTAATTTTAATTAAATTATTTTAATTTTAATTTATAATTATTTATATTATAGGATAATTATTTTCACTAATATATTTTTAATTATCTACTAATTACATTATCTGGATAGAGGGAGTCTTATTTTGTAGTACACTAATTTTATTTTTTTTATTTAATTTTTTTTTTTTGTTGGTTTATTTCCCCTGTTTCTACCCATGCATGACTCAATTTTTGCTGACAGATCTTGTTATGTTCAGCCTTAGCTGAATTATGTGCAACTCAAGTGCTAATAATAATATTGCAGTATAAAATAAAAAACCATTTTGTTTTTCAAACATCACCCCCAACAAATTCAACACTAAACATTTAGAATAATTTTGGGTGTGTTTGATTTTTATTTTTGTTTTCCAATTATGTGCTCATTTGTTTTAAAAAAAAAATGTAAAAATAAAAAAATTACTTTTTAAATGATAAAATAAATTAATTTAGATTTCAATTTATACAATTTTCAATATATATAATATTATATTAATATATTCTTTAAATACAAGAATTATAAATATCTCCAATTAATTTTTGTATATATATATATATATTTTAATATAATAATTTTATATTTTAATTTTTTAAATCTCCATTCGGTAAACTTTACAATATGACCCAAATCATACACAAGTGAAATCTCATTAAAATAAACTAGAATCACATTGCAAGGTTAAATACTTCTAAGTGATCGATAGTAAAATAATACTTCCTCCGTCCCAAATATCGTCCGTCCCTACCGTGTCTGCTACATTGTAAACACGGTATTTTAGGAGGGGTGTAATTAGTAAATAATTAAGAATATATTAGTGAAAATAATTATCCTATAATATAAATAATTATAAATTAAGATTAAGATAACTAATTAGTTTAATTAAAATTAAAAAAAATAAAATTTAAAAATTTAAAATGAGACTAAAGTGTGTAATCATTTTCAAAAAAGAAAAGTGACATATTACATGAGACGGACAGAAACGACAACGTGTACATGGTATCCGGGACGGAGGGGATTGAAAAGAAGCCTCAACCAGTGAAAATAGTACATGCAAGAGCATATATTCTTCCTCGGGAGCTGGGATCCCGGGATCCCCCAAGAATCAGACACTCAAATCCCATATAATTAGAAAACAAATTAAGGCCCTGTTTGCCAAAAAAAAGAAAAAATTAGGAATCAGCCACCCGACACGTTGCCGTAATTTAATCCAAAAATCCTCACCCCCTGTGATGATTAATTATGTGATCCAACTCATATTCATGCATTCTTCTCCTCAGCTTTAATCCCCTTTACACACAATTCCCTTTCTCCTAAATTTAAATAACCCATCTTTAGCTTTCACTACCCCATCATTACAACCTACAAATCATTTTTCAAACCCTCAAAACACAACACAACACAAAGGGTAGAGGTAGGGAAGGGGGGGGGGGGGGAGACACCCCACCCCACCCCCCACCCCCTTAACCTTTCACCGAAAAGCAATAGGCCAACACACAATTCTTGACTCTGTGATTTCTTTATTAATGGGTTTTTGAGAAATCAATCAATCTTTAATCTTGCATGCCCTCGTGTGTGTGTGTGTTTTGCATTTCATAAAACCCCTTTGTTTCCCTTTCTCCTTTCTTCTCTGTTTCTCCACCTCCACATTAATGGCTGCCTATTCTTCATACCCCTAACTCAAAAATACAAACAGGGTTTTGTTGTTTGATTCAGCAACAAAAAGGGTTTCAGTTCTTTTAGAAAAAGAACTAATGGGTGTGGTCACTGTTGCAGAATTGAAGCCAAGCATTTCTGGGAAGAGGGCATTTCGTCCAAGTTCAAGCACAAGACATGTCACAGAATGGTAACAAACACATTTCATTATATATATATATATATATATATTAACCATTCTGTATTTGGGTGTAGATTCTAAAATTGTGCATTTCTTGATTTTAGACTCTAATGGAGCATTGAATGAAATTTGGTGTGTTCTATTTTGTTTAGGTTCATTGATGCTTCCTTTCCCAGACATATTTGTTCATTGATTTGATTCTGATTTGGCCCACCAATCAGGACTTTTTGTAGCCTAATGAAATTCTCTCTCTCTCTCTCTCTCTCAGGATGATGAATTTCTTATTTATTGTTTTGGTTGCAGAGAAAGAACAAAAAAACATATGAATCCCACTTGACAGTGACTGCCTTAACATAACATTCCTTCCAACCTCAAACTCAAATCCATTTTTATTCCTAATCCTAATAATTATGTTTCAAATGTCTATTTAGATACAAGTTTTGGAAGTTTTGGGATTTTTTGAAAATTTTAGAAATAGTAAAATATTGTATTTGATGTGATATTTCTTAAAAAATCGTAAATTGAAGTTCAAGAATAAATAGTTAACAAAAATTTTTAAAGTGTTTATATGTCCTCCCTTGAATTCCATCATTTCACTTGTAATAAACCCGACCCTCCGAAGCAAGTCCCGCGAATGTATTATGTGATTGTATATCCTACAAATCAATACGAGTCATTCCAACATTCTTTTGTCTTTGTCACTGTAATATAGTCAGACTCAGTGTGCTTTGCTGATATGAATAATCTTATTGATCTCACTAAACTTTTTTATACATCATTAGTTAATGTTCAAATACTAGTTTTGTGATTTTACGCTAACCTACAGATCAACACGAGTTCTTTCGGTGCTCTCTTTGGCACCATACTAGACTCGATACACGTATGACTAACATGAATAGCTTTTCAAATCGAATGATTAAGAATCTAATACTTAGACGGTCGTGTATAGATTTTTCTTCATGTGAATTCTCTAGGAGATATTAATGCTTATTACAGCCCAATAATGGTTATCCGTACGGCTGTCTCGGTTCCCTTTAGATTCCTCAAAAGATTAGAAAAACACTTCATCTCATCACCATATGAATGAATCACCGCTGAAAATGTAATGTAATGAAATGAACTCTGTGGTGTTGCTTGAATCCTTCTAATTCCTATCCTTATCGCCAAAACCGGCAAACATCGTTCGATGCCCCACCCGTTGCTATCTTTGTGTCTTATGTTTCGTCACGGGCCATACCATACGTATAATTGTGTATATATATCATTATTACATATCTCCAATAGTCTATGTCTATAAGGTCAATCTAATTGGTATCGAGCCCGTGAGAATTTCCCGGAAGTATAACTCCGTGAATTTAGGATGCCACCTGTGTAGGCAGAAGCTCGGTTTTCTCGGGTTTTTTCTTTTCTTCGATGGTGAATTCTTCTTTGATCCTGTGTTTTTTTCTTGCAGGCCGACTTCTGATGTCTCGAGCGATCTCACCATCGAAGTCGGGACAGCGAGCTTCGCACTTCATAAAGTAAGGTTTTTTTACCACTTTAATGTGTAATGGTTTAGGACTTCGTCGGGCGATGATGTAGGAGTCGGACATTTATTGCTTTTTGTTTGTAGTTTCCGTTGGTTTCTCGGAGCGGGAGGATTCGAAAACTACTGCTGGAATCGAAGGACGCGAAAGTATCGAGGTTAAATCTGTCAGGAATTCCCGGAGGGTCTCACGCATTCGAGCAGGCGGCAAAGTTCTGCTACGAGGTCAATCTCGCCGTTACCGTCGCCAACGTCGCGTCGTTGCGTTGCGCGTCACATTTTCTCGAAATGACGGAAGAGCTCTCCGAGAAGAATCTGGAAGCACGGACGGAGTCGTATTTAAAAGACATGATCCTCCCGAGCATTCCAAACTCCGTTTCCGTCCTCCATCACTGCGAAAGCTTGCTGCCGATTGCTGAGGAGATCAACCTCGTCAATCGGCTGATTACGGCGATAGCCAACAATGCCGGGAAAGAGCAGCTCACGTCGGGGCTTTCGAAGCTCGAGCATAATTTCCCGTCGAAACCCGACGCAGAGACATTGCCGTCGAGCTGGTGGGGGAAGTCGCTCGCTGTTTTGAGCCTCGATTTTTTCCGGCGGGTGGTGTCGGCGGTGAAGACGAAGGGGCTGAAGCAGGACTTGATCGGAAAGATTCTGATAAACTATGCGCAGAATTCGCTCCGTGGACTCGGGCAGACGGCGAAAGGGAACGTTTCTGATCCCGATTTGCAGAAGAAGCAGCGGGTCACGGTCGAGACAATTGTCGGCCTATTGCCAACGCCGTCGAGGAGGAGCGCGGTCCCGATGGGTTTCCTGTCGAGCCTGCTGAAGCATGCGGTCGCGACGTCGGCGTCGACTTCGTGCAAATCGGATCTGGAGAGGCGGATCGGTCTGCAGCTCGACCAGGCTATACTCGAGGATATTCTGATTCCCGCGAGCCACGGGAGCAGCCACACCCCGATGTATGACGCGGATTCGGTGCTGAGGATCTTCTCCATCTTCTTGAATCTCGACGAGGATGACGACGACGACGACGGCGTCGACAACGAGGGTAATCACCCGTTGAGAGACGAAGCTGAGACGGTCTACGACTTCGACAGCCCCGACTCCCCGAAGCAAAGCTCGATCATTAAAGTCTCAAAACTTTTGGACAACTACCTCGCCGAAGTCGCGCTCGATTCGAACCTGACCGCGTCGAAGCTAATCGCCCTCGCGGAATTGCTCCCGGACCATGCTCGTATGGTCTACGACGGGCTATACCGTGCCGTCGACATCTTCCTCAAGGTCAGCAATCCATCGTCGATGCTCGTTCGACGGGTAAGATTTATGATTTCTAACCGTTTCTCGAATGAACTATGACAGGTTCATCCGAACATGAAGGACTCGGAGCGGTACCGTCTCTGCAAGACGATCGACTGCCAGAAGCTTTCGCAAGAAGCATGCAGCCACGCGGCGCAGAACGAGCGTCTCCCAGTCCAGATGGCGGTCCAGGTGCTCTACTTCGAGCAAATCAGGTTACGGAACGCGATGAACGGCGTCGGGGGGCACAGCCAGTTCTTCTTCGGAGGATCGATGAACGGAGGGCAGTTCCCTCAGAGGTCCGGGAGCGGCGCGGGGAGCGGGTGCATCTCGCCGCGGGACAATTACGCGTCGGTGAGAAGGGAAAACCGGGAGCTGAAGCTGGAAGTCGCGAGGATGAGGATGAGGCTTACGGACCTCGAAAAGGATCACGTTTCGATGAAACAGGAGCTCGTGAGATCGCACCCCGCGCACCGGCTGTTCAAATCGTTCACGAGGAAGCTGAGCAAGCTCAACTTCTGGTTCCGATTCAAAGACATGAAGGTCGCCGGCGGCAAGGCGAGCTCCGAAAGCCGGTTTCTTTTTCAGAAACGACGGCGACATTCGGTATCATGAGTTCATCTCTACACCACTCCGTGTCATACCAACATTTATATATATATATATATGATATGATATGAATGTACAGAATTGAAGAGTGTATAGGAGGATTTACTTAGCTATGGTGTTTCTGGTTTTGTTTGGTTTTCAAAGTGTGTTCTTACGTACGTTGTGTTTTGGATTGGTTCATATTATTTATTTTATGCTAAATTGCACAAAATTTATTTATAATTTTATGAAATTGCGTCAAATTTTTATAATTTTAAAATTTTATAAATTATGCGTCTAATCTTTTGACAATTTTTATTTAACTGTATTTGACAATTTTTATTTAACTGTATTTGACCTAAATAGATTGAAACTGTGAATAAATTTTAAAATATCAATTTTTAAATTCTTAAAATTAAAAATATATTTATTTTTCTTTTATTTAGTCTAGAAATAATAAAACTATACTTTCTCAAAGTTCAATTTCATGATACTACCGGAAGTCGGTGTAATTTAGACTTTATTCTAAGCAGAAATCGCAGTTCGGCGAAGCTTTCTCATAAAAGTCGCGTTTACGCTCTTAAGGCGAATTGGAGAGCACTGCATTGGAGAGCACTGCAGGAATAGAAACTGTATATATTCGATTCGTCCCGTCCCGGCCGCGGCGGCGACGGAGGAACCCTAACTCTCTACCTTTCGCAAGTTCGCAATAAAACTGTATATAATCAATGGACAACGCCGGTAGGGCTTCCTCTGAGCAATCACGAGCTCCCGGCGATACCGAGACGTCGAGAGAAGTTTCCGAAAGACGGTTCCACGGGTATGTTTTGTTGTTTCCTTTTTCCAGCGTTGTTGTTTGGAGGATTTTCCTCGATTCTCCATCAATCGACGTTCTACGGTTATCGGAATTTGTTTCCGATTGTTGTTTAGGTGCAAGCATTACAGGAGGAGGTGCAGAATTAGGGCTCCGTGCTGCGACAAGATTTTCACTTGCCGCCATTGTCACAACGAAGCTACAGTCCGTTTCTGTTTATCATATCTGCCTAATTCATCAATCTGCTTTGTTGTATACCTGATAGTTTATGTTTGTTAGATTTCTCTGAGCAATCCGGAGGAGAACCATGAGCTTGTTCGCCATGATGTTAAGCAAGTAAATTACACTTTCTCTTGTTTTTTTTTTTAATTTTTTTATTATTATTCTTTTACTAACCACACTTCATTTCAATCGATCTTCAATTATCTTAGGTCGTTTGTGATGTTTGTGATACAGAGCAACAGGTCTTTCTTCATCACTTGTCAAACTTTTGTGGTTTCGCGTTGTTCTTTGAATAGATTTTATGACATTTTGAGTTCTGTTTCTTATTCCAATGTAGGTTTCCAACCGCTGCACCCATTGTGGAGTCAAGTTTGGAGAATACTTCTGTGATATATGCAAATTCTATGATGATGATGTAATCATTTGTCGAATTACTTACTTTCCAGTTGAAAATGGATAGTTTTACTTAGAACTAGGTGCAGATATAGCGGCGATTCTTGTTAAATTTGTATGATATATGGAAGCTTGTTTATGTGGCAGGTCATGAAAAGGCAGTTTCATTGTAGCGAGTGTGGCATATGTAGGTAAGAATGTTCTATAACCCGTACATGTTTGCTGAATTTCTTGGTGTGGATATATCATATACGTCACGTTTTCTGATAATATTTTGTTTGATCCGTTTGTGAATTACAGAGTTGGTGGACGCGAAAATTTCTTTCACTGCCCAAAGTGCGGTAAGGAGTTTGTCTTGTGTTGTATTTTCCAAATAATATCGACTACAATTTCATGGACTATGTGTAAATAATATTGAAATATATGTGAGATAATTCTTTAATTAAATCCTAGAACATTAACAATTGCATCTTGCACCTTAGGTCCCGAACAGTTTCCTGTTTAAGATTTGAATTTCGATGAGTGTAGGATCTTGTTATACAATAGATCTGCGTGATAATCATCAGTGTGTTGAGGACTCAATGAAGAACCATTGCCCTATTTGTTACGAGGTTTGTTGCTTTACATTGTCGAATCTTGATATCATTATAGTTCAATGTCTGGAAATTAAGTTAGCTCCATCATGCTTGCAGTACCTTTTTGACTCAACAAAACTAACGAAAGTTATGAAATGTGGGCATACAATTCATTTGGATTGCTACGACGAGATGTTTAAACAAAACCAGTAAGTCCGACATTGTCAAATGTTTCTGAGCTATATCAGATAGTGTTGGTTGATTCGACATTATCAATTCTGTTCTGATTATGACAGGTATCGCTGTCCTATCTGCTTCAAGTCAGCTCTGGATATGTCGAGGACTTGGGAAAGATTAGATCGAGAGGTGTTATTTTTCAAACTTTCGTTCATTGTTTTTTCTGTTCTTGTTGCTATCACTGCCGTTGCAGTGATGCTTAATAATGCTTAAGCGTGAGGTTTATTATTCATTTAGTAGGATTAGAGTTCATGACGATGATGGATCTTATGCACTCCCTCCGTCCCTTGTCAGAGGGGTCCTTTGCAATTTTGTAGTAGATTAAAAAATAATAGTATTTTATTGATTAGTAGAAGTGTGCAAAAGATTTTGATGTTTTTGTCCTTTGACGTTTTGTATAAAGTTAGATAAAAGATTAGGGTATTTTGGTATTAGGATATGACTATTTTTCTAACATAGAAAATGTATACTTTAAAATGAGACGGACAAAAAGGGTAAAAATGGTACTTTAAGGAGTATTGAAATAATGATCAATTTATATCTAAATGTGTTTTTACTTATGTTTTGGAATGTTATTATTATTGTTTTGGATTTGAATTATTTTGAGCTTTGTACGACACTAGAATTGAATCTATATTTTAAATAATCTCGAGCTTTAATTCTCTGATTTCAAATTGCATAGATGACTACGATTTGGTGGTTTGTACTCTCTTATTTCCATTGTGAATCGTTTCATTTATTTGACGCTATTCTGACTAAGAATTTCTCATTTGGTTTATTATACATAGATCGAAGCTACACAGATGCCTGAAGAATACCGATATAAAGTTAGTCTACTCTAACCATTTTGATTGTATGACTACATTTGCGCCTATTATAACTCTAATGTTACCATCGTTAATCCAAACTCGACAGGTTCAAATACTCTGTAACGACTGCAACACCACCAGCCGGACATTCAATCATATAATCGGCCACAAGTGCCAGCATTGCAATTCGTACAATACCCGGGTGGTGAGTGGGGAGATCGAAAGCCCGGAATCGAGCTCCGACTGAACTCAAGGTAAAAAGGGTTTTAAGCTTCTCCTATGGTTTTTAAGCTTTAGGTCTGTCGTGCTTTTTGTATGGAAAGATTGGATTTTTCATCCCCTTTTTTGCCACTAATGTTTGAATTGTGCATTTTGTCATATGGATAAATGTATCAGTGCACTACATTTTGGGGGAATTCCTTGGCTACTTGATAGAAAATGAAATATGTCTGCCGTGTTAAAAATAAGCCTGAGTTTTTTCGGGCCGTGGCTTGCCCAGCACAATTTTGATAATTAAAATTTTAATATTTAAATATATATATATTATCTAATGAAATAATTATAAAAATTAAGATATAGCTTGATGGTAAATTTCCTAATATGTATATATATATGATCATGAGTTCAATTTCATCTTGGACCATTTAAATAATTATTTATAAATTAGTTTAAAATTCAGAAAAGGAAAAAATCATTTAAAATAGAAATAAAAAATCAAACAGATCCGCCCTGCACACAACATTGCGTAAATTCAGCATTGTTACACAATACAGGTTTAATAGTTATTTGTTGGGTGAATAATCGTGTTTTTTTAGTATAGATATTATATCAAATACCTCTTATTTACACGCATCTAATTATAGTTTTTTTTTTTTCTTTAAAATAGGTGTATTCTCTTATTAAATTTTATCTAATTTTTACTATTTATTAAATTTTTTCTCTTCAAAAATATCAAATCACATTCCTATTTTTTTTATATTACATTAAAATTTAATTTTACATTCAAAATATCACATCAATACTTATTTATATCACATTATATAATTATTTCAATTCAATTTTATTTTTTTTATTCAAATTCCAAATTAAAATTCAAACCCCAAACAAACACACTCTTATGAATACTTGCTAAATGTAGTCATTTAAATTGTGTTTTTTTTTTTGTCAAAATACTCAACAAATTTTCAAAAAAAAAATTAATATATTACATACATTTGATATTTTTATATTATCTACACAAGTTTTTATATTAAACCAAAATACAAACAAACAAACCTTTATTTTATTCAAAAATACTGCTCCTATTTAAGATATTTTATTTTTTTATTTATATAAAACTTATTATATGCAATCATCAAACATCAGTTTTGAGGTAGAGTGTTGTGTGCATGTATCTTCTTTTGAGAACGTGTGCATATTTATTTATTTTTAACCATAAAGTGGTTTTTAATAATAAATAAAATACATAATATTTTGTATAATTTTATTATTAAAATCCAAAGTATTATATAGTTTATGCTTGGTTTTTGTTTGAAATTGAATATTTGATTTAAATTTTAGTTTATATAATATTTTGATGTGATAGAAAATATAATATATTTTTATTAAGAAATAAGCAGCAAAGTTTGTCGTTCAATATATTATTTAAATTACACTACTTCCTCTAAGCAGGAATTTATGTTGTCATTTCAATGGGGATTGAATCGAGAGGTTTTGATATTATTTACATAAAACACAAAGTTCAACTAGTGACTAAAAAGCTATGTAGAAACTAAAAATGCGTTCTCTGTTTATGCTCATTTTTGCACCTTGAAATGCAACACTACGGGTGTTTTTGTTTTGTGTGATAAATTGAATAAATATTTTTTTTAATATGAGATATAGAAAATCGTGTAGGAATATAAAAATAATGACTATGTGTGATATTATATTAATAATTTTAAAAAAATGTGTCGGAAAAAAATGGTGGAAGAACACACCCTACATTTTAGTCGAAAACAGTATCACAGCTACATATACTTAACACCACCAGTTCAAACTCCAAACCAGTAGTAGTCTAAGCCTAATCATCTCAACAGGCAACACCGTCTAGACGCAACCGTTGGAACAAATCCTATGACAATCCAACGGCCCTAACACTACACACAGACATGTCGAAAGTCGACAACTTAGAACTACTAAGATCAGAACATATCAGCAAGATATGTCGATAGAATCACAATATCCTAATTAGGTACTAACACGATAAATTATCCTAAAGCACGAGCGATCTTAGCCGTGAAGAAACCATATTTTGAATTGCTACACTCATTTTGATTTATTTTAGCTTTAAGACAGTACTGTCTCAACTTAGCCTTTTCCTCGCGAAGCATCTCCATGCTTAAACTTAGTTGTCGGATCACTTCTCTTTTCTCCTCGTCCTTCATCTTCAGCTCTTCCTTTTGAGCCTTGTTTTCTTCCCGAAGTTTCTCCACTTCTCTCTTGATCATTAACAGTTCCTTATTGGGAGCTTCGATCTCCGGGTGATCTTCTAGGAGCTTCTCTTGTTCCTCTACCGGATCGTCAACTTCAGATATGTCGTCGCATGTGTCTATTCCATAGGCCTCGAAGAAGCTGTCGTATGCTTGATCGTTAAAGGGCGGTGGGGTTTGGAGAGTGTGTTTGGAGGAAGGTAGGGGGGGCGGGTGAGGAGGGGTCGGGAGGCGAGGTTGTGGTTCTGATTTTACACGATCGTATCGCTCTGCTAGAGAACGGTACGATCTGTAGAATTCTTCGACTAGGCTGATGAGTTCGGGTCTTTTCTTGTAGTACATTTCTGCGCGTTTGGCAAATGAATCTGCGTCTTCGTGGATTATGTTTAACATGGCTTTGGCCTTCTGATCGAGTTCTGCCGAGTAGTCGAGGAAGGAGATTATACTCAAAAAAAATTGATGGTGAAGGATCAACATCATGTTTATATGTTTAATATGGAAATTGTTACTACTCATGCGCCTACAGCGGATAAAAACTGACACGACACGAATCTAATATGAAATAATTGGGTTTGGGTTAAGTATTTCAACTCGATTATGTATACGGATTGACACGAACCCGACATGATAATAAACAGGTCGAGTTAGGATTCAGGCTTTTGCCTCGAATCCAACGTGACAATCCGATTATAATATATTAATGAATTAATATATTCACGATATATGTATAATAATTATAATTTAATAATTAGCTCACATATTAAGTTAAACTTAGTTCAATTTTAAATAATATAATTCATAATACACATAACACTAGAATCAACAAAAACCACCATAATAAGACAACATAACAAAAAAATAATTGAATTTGAATCAAGAATTTCGATCTAAGTACGTATACTAATCAATATGAACCCGACATGATAATAAATAGATCGGATTAGTCTTGAATTATTTAACTCATTTAAAGTATTCAACTCAACGCAACAGCGACTCCAAGCTAAGTCAACTCTTTGCAGACAGGAAGATAGAGGCACATGGATTAGAGATTTTGCTACTGCAACAAAATCCAAATGCGTAGATCTCTAAAGAATCTCACTAAAGTGGAAAATTGTTCTATATGTTCATACTACTGACTCATAGCAGAGATTTGTTGACACAAAATTCAAATGCCTAACTCTTTAAGCAATCTCACTGAAGTAGAAAATTGTTAAGAAACTGTTATTGACACGAAATCCACGTGCTTAGCTCTCTAAACAATCTCGCAGAAGAAAGTGTTTTATTTTACTATTACTAGTAGTAGAAGCACTTGGTAACATATTCAATCTCAGATCCATGGAAGAGGAACTTAAAAGCGGAAAATAAATAAATAACAAGTTGAAAATTTAGGGAAAATCACCTACCTGCAAGTGTTGAATGAAGCCACAGGGAACGATTTGAATATTCATCCTTATTATGGCTGTGAAACCACCAGCACTGGTTTGATTCCTTGTTCTTCGTCCCCTCCATTTCTTCTTACCTTCAGAAACATGCAGGAAGTTAAAATGTATTCTCAAAAATGGAGGTTACGCTTGGAGAAAATGTAAAACTAGCAAAATTTCAAAATCGTCATTAGAAATGTTAAAACATCTTGGCGATACAGTACGAAAATCAACGAGACCAAAACCTAAACCTAGAACCTTTTCTACAGCTTGGTGAACTACTGCGACAGATTCCATTTTAAATCTATCGATGTTTGAACAGTCGATGATAAGTGATTTCCAATTAACAAAAAACAGCACAACTAATTAGCAGCTAGGACGTCCTGTTCTACAACATTCTATACTAATCAACATCACAACAGAATTGTTATTCAAACATTGCGAGGATACACAATCCACAGCAACAAAAACAGAAGCAATTGTTTCCTGTTTTGACAATAAAAACAATGCCATTGATCTCTCTCTTACCTGGAAATGAAACGTCGCGTCCAAGCCACCGCCGTGCGGATTCCGCTTCCACTTCCGTCTCTTCGTCTCCGACGCAGAAACCGCAATCTCACCGCGAAAACGCAACTCTCGCGTCGGAAGAGGAGAAGTTGCTGTGATCCAATTCAAACTCCATTTTGCCTCAAAATTGACATTTTGTCCTACTCTCTTCAACCACTCTCGTCCAACCAAACTCTGCCGCGTGGCAATCCGTTGGAGTTCGCAATTCATTGACTGTTCTACCCAAAACTGCGACTTCGATGTAACCTAATAAGCAAGCCATCTCGACAAACCCATAAAGGACAATTTAGTCATTTTATTATAAAAGTACTCCACCCGGTTCTTTTTCCATCCGACAGTCCCAAATTGAAGTAAAATTACCCCCATTACGAAAATATAAATGCGTACTAATAGGCACGATTCCAAATTTTATTCAAATCGGATACCAAAACAAATTTGATTTGTTTACTTGGATTTTATCTCTAATTTTATTTTTTAAAAAAAATACTAAATCAAATATTAAATTTTCATTTATTTTGTTACACTAAAATTTAATTTTACATTCAAAATATCACATTAATAAATATTTATAACACGTCAAATAATTATTTCAATTCAAAATATTATTATTCAAAATTAGAAACTAAAATCAAAATATGTCAAGTAGACTAGAACCGGCAATGGGTCGATTCGTGTCAAGTTCGTATCGGGTTGAATACTTTAAACGGGTTAAATTATTCAACCCTAACCCGACCCGTTTATGATCATGTCGGGTTCGTATTGACCCGTTTATTATTGTGGCGGGTTCGTGTTGACCAATTTATTATCGTGTCAGGTTCATGTTGACTCGTGTTGACCCGTATACATAATTAATCTAATTTCTTGATTCAAATTAAATAATTTTTTGTTATTTTGTCATGTCGTGTTATGTTAGTTTTTATCAATTTGAGCGTAAATTAAGTTAAATTATTTAAAATTGAACTTATTTTAAATTAATTTATGAGAAAATTATTAAATTATAATTATTTTACAGATATAATAAATATATTAATCAATATTAATATATTATAATTGAATTATCGTATCGGGTTCGAGTTGAGAGCCTCAACACTAACCCGACCCGTTTACTATTGTGTCGAGTTCGTGTCAACCCGTATACATAATCGGGTTGAAATCTTTGACCTAAATCCAATTATTTTATATTGGTCGTGTCAAATTGTCATGTCGAGTCAATTTTTGTCAGCTCTAAAGTGGACACATCCATTGTACTTAGGCTAAAAAGATTTTGGGCCACCGTAACTGAGTCCTAAACCCTAAACCCGGCTCAACCCAATTTTTAAATTAAATATTTTTTCTGTTTGACTGCAAAGTAAACATTTATTTTTTGTGCAGATTTCAAGTAGTTAAAAATAGTGTAATTATATTTTTGTCATTGTTTTTTTGGTTTAAAAGTAATTATTTAATATAAAGTAAAAGTATTTGTGAAAAAATGATATATTTAATGAAATAATTATTTTATAATTTGATATTTTAAAATAGAAATATGTACATTTTATAGCGGAGCAAGTGATAGTATAATTTTTCAAAAATAAATTTATAAATAAACAAATAAAGTTATGTTAAAAAATAAAAATGTAGGCCAATGGTTCTGTTCGTGTGTCCCACTTAATTTATTTTGTATAATTTTAATCACATTTTAAATTTTATAATTTATATATTTATAATCTAAAATAAAATATTTAGTTATTTTAATATTAATTTATAATTATTTTTATTATATAATAATTAATTCTATTACTATTCTTCTTAATTACTTATTATTTAGAATTTATCTAAAACTCTTATGTTTTTATTAATATTTGTTAGAGAGTTTGGATTTTGAATTAAAATTTGAATACTAACAATTTTGAATTAGAATAATTATATGTCATATAAATATGATGTTTAAATTATAAATTAATTTTTAGTATAATATAAAAAAATAAAAATAAATATTTGATTTGATATTTTTTAAAAAAAAAACACGTAATAATAGAAATTCTATAAAATATGTCAAACATACCTTTCTTAATTATTTACTAATTATATTTTACCTAAAATTTTTATATTTTTTACTAATATATTTTTTAAATTACTTACTAATAGTATATTTTATCTAAAATTTTCGTATCTACGGACATTTTGTCGAGACGGATGGAATATTTATTTGGTTGGATTCATATATTTAAGTTATATTTAAATATAAAAATAAATTTAAAATATTATGAACAAACTATTAAAATATTGATAGAAAAAAGATGAGATGAATAGAAAAAATAATAATAATTATTCTTTAAAATATGAAATAATAAAATTGTAATCTACTTAACATTACAAATACTCTTAGAAGTTAGAATACATTACACAAATGTCATTACCTTTATATCACACAATATTATTAAGATTATTTTAATCATTTCTACATTATTCCTATTACATCCCAATATAACACAAATATTTTAAAAACTCAGTGCAAAAAACAAACGGATACATAATTATGGGAGGAAGAAAGTATATAAATTTAATGAAAAACAATATTTATTGTTTTGCATTAAAATTATTGCTGTAAAAATTTTCAAAATAAAAGCGCACAATACATGGGGTGTGTTTGTTCGGGAGATTGGATTAGATTTACACTATTCATCCAATTTTTTCTCCAAAAAACATCAAATCAAAATACTTATTTTTTATATTATACTAAAATTCAATTTTACATTCAAAACATCATATCAACACCTATTTATATATTTATATCACATTGTATAACTATTCAAATTCAAAATTTTTACTATTCAGATCCCAACTCAAAATCGAAGTACCAAACAAACACATCCTTATTAAATATCCATAATGAAATGGAGGATATATTCGAAGCCACTATCCAGAAATTGATTCAAATTTCTCCACTGTAATAAATTCATTTTATCTGGCAATTTTTTTTTTCTATAAATATACAAATCCACTAACAATGAATCAGCACAAAAATCATAAACCAGAATCAAATTAATTAAGATTAACCTGGCGATGAAAAACACGAGTTTATGGACAGATCATAGATGCTGTAATTGCCAACATGGATTGTGACACTAAATATTCCCTCTTGGAAAACCCCATAAAGTCATAAAGCAGAAACCAAAAAAAAAGAAAAAAAAAAAGAAAAAAGAAAAAAAAAAGGGGTATAAATCTCAAGTAGAAAAAATCCCAAACCCTAATTGCCATTTTGTTCTATCTGCTGCGTGTTTTTTGTGCTTCAAATCCTCCAGAAATGGAGTCCACGCCCTAATTTTGGTGGGGTTCCTTCTTGGAAGTTGCAGGAGCTCAGTTTTATCTGCAGGTGCAGTTGCTTTTGTGAAGCAGCTTTGGGGAAGATCTGGCTTTTGAAGAGGAGAAAATTGCTCGGTAGCAGATCTGGATTGCCGCCGATCTTTTGGGTTTTCTCGTGGAAAATGCTGGTTTTGAACGGAATTCGTTTTTGGCGCTTGAGTTGTGTTTATTTGTAGGTTTTGTTGTGTATGTGAGGAATCGGAAATTAGAAAAAACCTCGCTGTTGTTGAATTGCTTCGAAGTGCGACGAACTTCGTGTTTGAGGTGGATTTTTGGGGGAAAAGCATCGAAAGTTTCCTCCGCGATGATTAGCGTTCTTCTGGCAGTTACTTCGCTGTTTTCGCTCTGGTAATTGCAATCTGTGGGGAAATAATTGGGGATTAGGGCAAAAAATTTCACAGAATCATGTCGTTCAAGAGTATGATACAGGATATGAAGGGAGAGCTTGGCAGCATATCTCGGAGGGGATTCGAAGGTAGGTTTGGGAGGTCAAGGTCTCATCGTGTTGTCGAGGACTGTCCGGTGACTGTAGTCGATGCTCTCCGGCAGAGTTGCTGGGCGAATATGCCGCTGGAGCTCTTGAGAGACGTGCTGGTGAGGATCGAAGGATCGGAATGCACCTGGCCTCCCCGGCAGCACGTCGTGGCCTGCGCCGGCGTTTGCCGGAGCTGGAGAGAAATGATGAAGGAAATCGTCGGAACTTTGGAAGTCTCCGGGAAGATTACGTTCCCAGTTTCTCTCAAACAGGTCGAATTATCGAAGCTATGAATTTACTTGTTTTTTTTTACATACATTGCTATTTTAGGTGCTCAGTTTGATATTTATGATCTTATCCAGTGTTTATGTTGCGGTTGATCTCTTCTGCCATTGTTGATTTGCTTGTAGCCTGTGATTGATGCGATATAAGCTTACAGTGTGCCTTAAAGTATTACTTTGATTGTTTGAAAAGTTTTGTTAGTTCATTAGTTATTTTTGGTACTTTGCGGTTTGTTCTTGTCGTTTTGTGTTCGTTGTGTGGATGAATTTAGTTGAGTTGAGATGTTATTCATAGGTCCTCGAATATTTCGTTTGTAGAACCCACCCGGAAACTTTTGTCTAGACCTAAATCAACATATAGATTACAGTGTATATGCTTGCTATTTTGTTCTTGTGCCGTAAAGTATGTTTGAAAAGGTTTGTTATTTCATTACTTATGATTGGTACTTTGCGGTTTGCGTTTGTCGTTTTGTGTTCGTTGTGTGGATGAAATTAGTCGAGTTGAGATGTTATTCGTAAGTACTCGAGTATTTCGTTTGGAGAATCCGAAATTTTATGTTTAGACATAAATCAATACATATAGATTACAGTGTATATGCTTGCTATTTTGTTCGTGCGCCGAAAAATATGTTTGAAAAGGTTCGTCATTTCATTAGTTATGTTCGGTACTTTGCGGTTTGCGCTTGTCGTTTTGTGTTCGTTATGTCGATGAAATTAGCAGAGTTGAGATATTATTCATATATCCTCGAGTATTTCGTTTGTAGAATCTGAAAATTTTTGTTTAGACGCAAGTCAATACATATAGATTACTGTGTATACACTTGCTACTTTGTTCGTGCGCAAAGTATTGATTGGATTGTTTGAAAACGTTCATTAGTGCATTAGTTATGTTCGGTACTTTTCGGTTTGCGTTTGTCGTTTTGTGTTCGTTGTATGGATGAAATTAGCGGAGTTGAGATAGTATTCGTAGATCCTCGAGTATTTCGTTTGTAGAATCTGAGAAGTTTTGTATAGACATAAATCAATACGTATAGATTGCAGTGTATACGCTTGCTATTTTGTTTGTGCGCCGTAAAATATGTTTGAAAAGGTTCGCTATTTCATTAGTTATGTTCGGTACTTTGCGATTCGCGCTTGTCGTTTTGTGTTTGTTCTGTGGATGAAATTAGTTGAGTTGAGATGTTATTCGTAGGTCCTCGAGTATTTTGTTTGTAGAATCCGAAACTTTTTATTAAGATGACGGCAGCTATTGTTTTGGTTAAAAACGTACCTATCATCGTGGAAGAAATTTACCTCTTTGTATCTTCTTTGTCTCGATCATAACTGGAAATACTTTGCTTATCTATTTCCGCAGCCCGGCCCAAGAAACGGATTGATTCAATGTTTTATAAAGCGTAATCGCGGCACTAATACTTATAATCTTTACCTCAATTTTAGCCAAGGTAGATTTCGATGTCTTTATTTGAAGTTTGGCCCTACTCTTAAAATTTCTCGCTTTATTGTTTCGGTTTTGACGTTCTTCTCTGTTTCCAGCTTCTAATGATGACGGCAAATTTCTACTTACTGCTCGGAAATGTCGACGGCCTACCTACAACGACTACATAATCTCGTTGAATGCTGACGATGTAATGAAGGGTGGCGGAAACTACATCGGGAAGTTGAGGTAAATACAAGGTTAATTTGCACTTCTTACAATGCCGTAAATACGATTAAATAAAATCTACGTGTGTGCTGTAACAGGTCGAATTTTCTCGGGACGAAGTTCACGGTGTTTGATGCTCAGCCACCGAATGCCGGAGCCAAAGTTGCGAAATCTCATTCGACGAGATTAGTCGGTTTGAGGCAGGTTTCTCCTCGAGTCCCTTCCGGAAACTATCCCGTCGCTCGCATTTCGTATGAATTGAATGTAATGGGTTCGAGGTGAGCTGCTCCGATTCTGTCAATTTCCCAATATCGACGATTATTCAGTTAATTTTTTTAAAAAAAAATCGATACAGGGGACCGAGACGGATGCAGTGCGTAATGGATACTCTGCCGTTGTCGGCGCTCGAGCCGCACGGCGTGGCCCCGACGCAGACGGAACTCCTTCCGGGGAGCCTGGACTCGTTCCCGTCTCTCCCGTTTTTCAGATCGAAGTCGACCCGATCAGAGAGTTTCCGTGGCGGGAGCGGGAGCGGGAATTTGGCGAGGGAGAAAGACGAAATGTTGGTTCTGAAAAATAAGTCGCCGAGATGGCACGAGCAGCTGCAGTGCTGGTGTCTGAATTTTAACGGGCGCGTGACGGTGGCGTCGGTGAAGAACTTCCAGCTGGTGGCGGCGACGGGCGGCGGCGGCGGCGGTGGGGAGGAGGGGGAGAGTGGGGTGTTGGTGCAGTTCGGGAAGGTGGGGAAGGACATATTCACGATGGATTATAGGTACCCGATCTCTGCTTTTCAGGCATTTGCTATATGTCTTAGTAGCTTTGACACCAAAATTGCTTGCGAATGAATTAATGATATATATATATGGGGGATTATGAGTTAATTACAACATAGGTGTGTACGTAAGTACATACATACATATATATATATATAATATATATATATGGCTGTTTTTGTGTGTGTTTTGTTGTGTTCTGTGTTGTTGTCTGAATTGAATTGAACTGATGAAACGGTACTACTTACTTGCTGGGTTTGGTTTGGTCGTCGTGCCCTGTTATTGTTTGTTCTCTTTTCTGTGTTTTTTGGGGGTTGGGATTGGGTTGAGCTTTGGATTTTTATTTTTATTTATTTTTTTAAATGATACTCTCTCCGTTTTTTGTTTATATTTTTTTCATAGTCTTATTTTTATAAATAATCATATCATCATAAAACTATTTTTACTTTTTTATTTTCATTATACGATTGTCACTATTTTTTACATTAATACTAATACACTCATAAGCGCAAAAAAAAAATAAAAATTTATTTATATTTTTTATCCATTATCAATATAATATTAATATTCTTTAAATTTTGTACTCAGCTCGAATACGTTTTTGACATCTAAATTTTTTATATCCCATGGAAAAAAATTGTAGGATCTCTCTTGGTTGACGAGGGTGGAGGGTCACTTTATCTGTATCGGTTTTAGGTTCGAAGCCTAAATCCTTAACAAATTTATGTTATGTTATTTATTTATTTATTAAAATATATTTTTGTTTTTTAAGTAAAAAAATGATATCTTTTACTTTTTATTTGTTATAGAAATAAAAATTTTATTTTTATTCATTTTCTTAAAAATTTGTGTGAGAGAAAATATAAATATTGATGACAGAGAAGTACTCCATCCGTCCCACATACTATTTTCACGTTGCAAGTTTCTGTCCGTCCCAAATACCATGTCATTTTTTTTTTTTGAAAATAATTACACACTTTAATCTCATTTTAAACTTTTTAATTTTATTTTTTTAAAAATTTTAATTAAACTAATTAGTTATTTTAATCTTAATTTATAATTATTTATATTATCTGATAATTATTTTCACTAATACATTCTTAATTATCTACTAATTACACCCCTCCTAAAATACAGTGATATTTTTGTTAGAGAAGAAAAAACTAATCTTTGTTATGATTAAAAGATTCTTTTGGTTTGTTGTGGCAGGTTAATAAATAATATTCTCTTTGTTTCGGAATAAAATGTTTTTATTTATTTATATTTTATATGTAAATTTTTTAATATTAATACTATTCCTTATATATGTAATAATTTATTAAACATCACTATAAAAGAACAAAAATATTAATTTTTTATTTTTTCGAGGGGACATGGAAAATGAAAAATGAAAATACTATTTTATTTATTAGTAAAAGTGTAAGATAATTTTAACGTTTTTATCTTTTGTATTTTATACATAAATTAATTATATACACAATATTATGTTTATAATTTATGTAAAATTTAAAAATATTTTATTATTAGCATGAAATTTACTTTTACTATAATACTCCCTCCGTCCCATGTAATATGGGTGTATTATTGTAGACATGGAAATTTAAATAAAGTATAATTAGTAAGTAATGAAGAAATGTATTAGTAAAAATAATTATTATTTAGTAAAAATAATTATAGATTAGGATTAAGATAAATAAGTAGTTTAATTAAAATTAAGAAAATTATAAAATTTAAAATTTAAAATGCGATTAAAGTGCATAATTATATTTCCAAAAATAGAAAGGACAAGTTATATGGGACAGACGAAAATAGAAAATAGGGACAAATTATGTGGAACAGAGGTAGTATAAAATAAATATTTTTTAATATGACAAATGAAAATAATAGAAACGAATATCAGTTGAGCAACCATTAATTTAAATGAATGCAAAAATACTACTACCTCCGTCCCACATACCGTGTCTGCTACACTGTAGACACAGTATTTTAGGAGGGGTGTAATTAGTAGATAATTAAGAATATATTTGTGAAAATAATTATCCGATAATATAAATAAATTATAAATTAAGATTAAGATAACTAATTAGTTTAATTAAAATTTTAAAAAAATAAAATTTAAAAAGTTTAAAATGAGATTAAAGTGTGTAATCATTTTCCAAAGAAGAAAAGTGACATGGTATGTGGGACGGACAGAAACGGCAACATGAACGTAGTATGTGAGTCAGATGGAGTAATATAATTTATTAAAATATTTTTTTTATGTACAAAATACAGACGAAAATAGAGTCATTGTCGAGCTCGATGTAATACTCGTTATAATGTACTATGATCAACACAATCATTATGAATTTGTTTGTGTTTAATTTTTTTATTGCATGTTGGGACTGAGTGAACTCCACCAGTATGAGGCCATTTGGAGAATATCCAAAAATAAATCCGTGCGGGCTTAGCCCAAAGCGGATATTCTCCAAAAGGCCTCACACTAGTGGAGTTCACTCAACACTAGTATGATATTGTCCGCTTTAGGCCGAGTCCGCACGGATTTGTTTTTGGATATTCTCCGAAAGACCTCATGCTAGTGGAGTTCACTCAGTCCCAACATTGCAGATTACTTAACTAAGTTTATAGTGTAATAGTTGAAGAAAACAATCATATTATATACTCCCTCTATCCCAATATAATAGTCTTGTTTACTATTTTTGTCCATCTCAAAACAATAGTCTTATTTTCATAGATAACCATATCACCATAAAATAATCCCTACTTTTTCATTATTATTATACAATTGCGACTACCTTTTACATTAATATACTCACAAGGACAAAAAGGTCATTAATCCATACTTTTTATCAACCACCAATATAATATTAATATTTCTTAAATCTCGTCTCCAACACAATAAAACTATATTTTTGGAACGGAGGGAGTATATGATAAACAATTACTCTCTATCCATTTTGAAAGGGACTTTGGGAGTTTTATAATAGATTAAAAAATAATAATATTTTTTTTTATTAGTGGAAGAATGTAAGAAATTTTGACATTTTTTTTTTCTTTTGATTTTTTGTAGTATAAAGTAATTGTATGTGTAATGGTACGTTTGTAATTTAGATAAAAAGTTAAAAGTATTTTAGTATTATTATATAATTATTTTTACAAAAAATAAAAAATGATACACGAAAATAGTAAATAAATACTTTGAATTATGACTAATGGAGTATAACATAATTGATATGTGATATTCAATCTTACAGATATTAATATCAATAATTAGATTAATTCTGTATACAAACAATATAAATAATAAATATATAGCCCTTAAATGACAATACAAAATGTTACACTGAAATACTAGACTCGATCGAATAGAGTATCAATAAGAAAATAAACAATCATTTAATCTTGATATCATTAATTAATAATTAAAAACAAAAAATAATATTCATAATACTTAAATTGTAGGTATAAGAAACTCCCTCCGTCCATCTAGAAAGTATATATATTTTTATTTTGGAACGTCCAATTACAAAGTAAATATTTCATTAAATACCTTACTTTTTTCCACAAATACCTTTACTTTACATCACATCATTACTTTTACACAAAAAAATAAGGGAATAAATATCATTTTACTACTTTTAACTACTCACTATAATTAAAATACTAGTATTTCTTAAATATTGCGCCAAAAATAAATATTTACTTTGTGTGTGAACGAAGGCAGTGTGTATTATCTCGGTCAAATGAAATATAAATAAAACAATAAATAAATACTTCAAATATTTTATGAAATTATTGATCATCATATAGTAAAGCATTTAAAATAAATAATAAAAATACAAACTTTTGTTTTTAACAAAAAAATATATATTTTTTAATATAAAAAGTACAAATAAATATTAAATCATTGTCAAGTAGATATAATTGCTTCATTGTGATATGTATTTTAACATCTCTTATAAATTTATCAATATATATTGTCCATGTAAATCTACAGATTTGAAGTCATTTGAATAACATTTACTCAGTCCCATATAATTTGTCTCTATTTTTTATTTTCATTCGTTCCACATAACTTATTTTTATTTTTTTAGAAATATAATTACATTTTAAATTTTATAATTTTTTTAATCTTAATTAAACTATTTAGTTATTTTAATCTTAATTTATAATTATTTTTACTATATAATAATTATTTTTACTAATACATTTCTTAATTACTTACTAATCATATTTTACCTAAATTCTCCTATCTACAATAACACGCCCAAATTATCTAGAACGGAGCGAGTATAAACTAGTGTATGACACTCAATATTAATATATATACATATATTGTACCATGGCATATAAATAATAATAATAAAGTACTGGCAACCCTTAAACCATAATGCAATATGTATATATATATGGTAAATTAATTTTTAGTCTCGTATTTGACATTTTTTTATCATTTTAGAACTTTTAGTGAACCATGTTTGAAAATATTTTTATAAGTAAACTTTTTTCGCTAAAATAGTCCTTCGGTACTGGACACGACACGCTGGCTGCCATTGCTGACGTGGCGCTAACGCGGTTGATATGTCATCGCCATGTAAATGCCACGTTAGAGGACCATTTTAGCGAAAAATAAAATAAAATATTCGTAAGACTATTTTTAATCAGAGTCCATTTAAATGTTCTAAAAATAATAAATGAGGTCATATATGTGACTAAAAAAATAGTTTACCAAGACATTTTGTAATTTTTTTTTTTAAAAAAAAAACGTGTCGCTGACGTGACATCTACGTGACGATGGCATGTCAGCGACGTCAGCGTCACGTCAACAACGGCGAGCCAACATGGCGAGCCCGGCACCAAATGACCATTTTAACGAAAAAATTTATTTACGAAATGATTTTCAAACATGATCCACTTAAAATCCTAAATGATAAAAAAGGTCAGATACACAGTACTAAAAGAACAATTTATTGTATATATGTGGCCAGACATTTCCACATGTAGAGAGTGCAATTTAAAGGATTGAGCTATTTTTTTACACATTTGAGACTAAGGCTCGAACTTAAAATACAAATATATTGGATATATAATTAGAAATTTTAAGAGAATTAACCATAGATTATTAAAATATCTTTCAAAATAATAATTATTTGATATATATAACTAAAAAAAATATTTAAAATATTATATTAAACACATTTATAATTTTTTACTTTTTTCAATTTTTTTATTATTTTCAAACTTCGAATTTATACCATAACAT